AGTTTTATCTTGGTGATGTTGGAGAATTATTTTTGGGTATGAGGGTGGGTGTTGAAGCCTCAGACTTTGCAAAATTTACCTGTAGGCCCGACACCACTGCAAATGTGTTGAGTTCTCTGATTAGGGAGGTTGCTGTGTTTATGGGGTCTGATGTTGTGACCATTAGGTCGTCTGCCAAGAGCCCTAATTTATAGGTTCTGCCTTTTATTTCCACTCCCTTGATGTCTGTGGCTGCTCATATTCAGATTGCTAGAGGTTCCAGAGTCAGGGTGAAAAGGAAGGGAGATAGTGGGCATCCTTGTTTTGTGTTGCTATGGTATTAGAGTCCATACTGTTAGTCCTGCATATTGCTGAGGCTTGGGAGTATATTTGTTTGAGGGTTTGTAAGAATTTGGGACCAAATTTTATGTTAGTTAGTACTGCTAGTCGGTATTTCCATTCTAAGCAATCACAAGCTTTGAGGATGTCTAGGGACACAATTGTCAGTGGGAGTTTAGTTGCCTTGCTGTGTTGAGGGGTGAAACAAAGGCAACATAAACCTCTGAAAAGGCTTAAGAGGGGGTCTTAAGCTTTAGGAGTATCAAGCAACACAGAAAAGGGGTTTCTCGATTGCTCCAGCACTGCTTAAAAAGTGACGGAGGAAGGGAGAACCTCAGCATTTGGAACAGTGCATTTCCGGCTGTGAGACGCCTCAGGACTTGAGCAAACCAGTGCTAAACTTCTCTGAAGAGAGGAATTGAAGTTACAAACATTGCTCTTCAGTAATAAAGAACAAATTTTACATAACGAAGGTATCTGGAATGAAAAGAAATAACTTGGAATTTAAAACAAAGGCAAGAGGGAAGGAGAAAAGGAGGTCTACCTCAGTGCAGTTTTAACAACTGTGGAAAAGAACTTTGCAAAAGAGAAAGTTCTAAAGAATAACAAAATTATTGCATATTAAAGAGCGGCATAAGAACTGGCTAGCTTACAGGCATTTACGACTGGGAGATCTTGCAGACTTGGGGCTTGGTTCCCATCAGAGACTGTTGTTGAAAGGAAGAACAGGGCTTTTGGAACGGGGCGGGGTGACCGAGGAAGGAGAGGACAGATGGCTGACCTTGCTGTTAAGCTGGGGCTTGTCTGCATGGTCCCCAACAAAGCGGAGCAGTGACGCGGGGTCTCATTGTGACGGAGAATGAGGTGAGGGGAAAGCGTGGAGGTGGAAAGGAGTAAAAACGAAGAGAGAAAGTACAGGCAAAATGGTGGTCTACAAGGCATGTCAGAAAGGAAAGGAAGATTCCAAAGGGGATTAGGAAGAAACAGAAAGAAGAAAAATAGAATTAAAATATTTTGTTTTTTATTGGTGTATCTATGTTTTTGTTTATTTGAAGAGTCTACAGAAATAAAAAGTTATGGAATTAAAACTTATTTCATAGAATATAAATGTAAAAACAACAAGTCAAAAAGAAACTGTACTGTATAGTTTCTGTAAAGGCAGGAGGTGATCTGTGGAGATACCAGAACCCTCCTGAAGTGGTCATTGTCATAGGAAGGCCAAGGAAAGGTCTTGCCAAACTCATTGTCCTGAGACCATTCCAACTGTCACCACAATGAAAGTCTGGATGTTGCTCTTTGGCCCTGCTTGGATTTGGGCAGGATGGGAAAGCAATACTTTCCTAGCATACACCAACACGATAATGAAACAGGTTAACCTCACTAATTGTTCCCCATGTCCTACTCCCAGCAAGGATTTCCTTCTGGTGCACAACCCCTGAGTATTTCAGAACAAAACACCACCCGAATGTTCCCAGTGATACTGCAGGTAAATGTTACTCACATTTCCCATCGCATGGTGCAAACGTTTGGAAAGTTACCCCCAAACAAGAGATTTCTGGGTGCTGCAGAAGTATGTTTCCAGTGGGAAGGAGAAATTCCTAAGAATAAGTGCACTAGGCCCTGGAAAAAGCAGAATGTTGGCCAGTACCCAAATTGCCCATTTATTGTACCATTAGCTAATGTGTCAAGCCTCACAAATCTTAGTGACCCCTGGGTCTATGGGAATCATAGCAACATTCTGTTGGGAAATGGTGTAAAAGGACAGAAGGTGAATTTGTCCCTTTTGACAGTTTCAAGGTTTCCTGGTGTTACCCAAACTGTAGCTGCCCTGCAGAAGTCTGTGTACCAACCTCAGGTACTTTGTGACTTGTCAGCAGGAATCTACTGGGTAAGTGGAACATGGGCAGGTAAATTCCTTCTTCCATGATAGGATGGAACCTGTACACTGGTCTATGATTTTCCAGCAGGGTTGCATCAATTAACCCCCACCTCAGCACAATGGGGGGGGGGTGCAGTGACGTCACAGAAGGGGATAGGTTTCCTGCAATAATCTTCCCTAACCTAGGAGTAGCCTGATCCTGGATTTCTAAGGGAATGGAGGGCTTAGCTAACAGCACTTACAAGGCCATAATTGGACTCCAGACAGAAATAGATTCTTTGCGGGAAATGGTTTTAGAGCATCAAGTAGACTGTATCAATCAGACTTGTGCTTTCTATGTTAATGAAAGCAGAGAAATAGAGATGCAAATAAGATATGGGAAGTAGGGGCTCAGCTCAGAGCATGGAGAAATGGAAGGATCCAGGGGCGTAGGAAAGGGGGGGCATCATGGAGGGGGGTGACAAATTATCAAGGAACAATTACTGCCCTACTAAAGGTAAGGTAAAGGGACCCCTGACCATTAGGTCCAGTCGTGACCGACTCTGGGGCTGCGGCGCTCATCTCGCTTTATTGGCCGGCGTTTGTCCGCAGACAGCTTCTGGGTCATGTGGCCAGCATGACTAAGCCGCTTCTGGCGAACCAGAGCAGCACACGGAAATGCCGTTTACCTTCCTGCTGGAGCTGTACCTATTTATCTACTTGCAATTTGTGCTTTCAAACTGCTAGGTTGGCAGGAGCTGGGTCCGAACAACGGGAGCTCACCCTGTTGCAGGGATTTGAACCGCCGACCTTTTGATCGGCAAGTCCTAGGCTCTGTGGTTTAACGCACAGCGCCACCCGGCGGTTCATAAAAAACTTTTTTTTTCAAAATGCCTGTTCTAAAGGTCTTATCTTACTACACTAAGGATTATATTGCTACATATGAAATTTCATGCATATCAGTTAATATCTTGACCCTCTTCCACAAAAAGAGCTGTTTACTTGGCCATTTTCCTATGTCGTGAAGGCTGAAATTTCAACAAAGCACGTGACTTTGCTAGACTCTTTTCTTCTTTAGGCAAGCATACCTAGATGCTTAGGAAGGTAAAGTAATTTTAATCTTAATATTTTACTTTTGTATTTTTTAAAGTAGGATTGTTAATTTTTCTTGATTTTACTGCTGTGGGTTTTTTTGTTTTTTGTTTTGGTACACCAAAAGTTTGGCAAGTTTTTTAAAATAAATTTTATTAAATAAATAAGCAATAAATATAAATAAAATAACACAAACCAAAACACAATCCATCCTGTAGATTTAAGTATCTGTCCATAGTCGCCTACTTGTTATCAGAGGCTCAGAATTCACATACCTTTGTAAGAAAATATGAAATAATGTAAAACCATTTTTGCAGACAAAAATAAATAAATATCAAAGGGGGGGGTGACAAGAAATTTTCTGCACAGGGTACCACCTGACCAGTTGGGCTTTATGGTGGAAGTCTCCCTGGTCAGAGCTCCCAACTGCAAAATGAGTTAAAAATACTATTAGCAAGCATAACAATAGGGCTGTAGTTATTCCTTGTGATTTATATCTGCTTTCCCCTATTGTTGCAATACTGTTCTCGCTTCCGGCCTCAATCCCCTCAGCTTCCACTGGTCCAGGTAATGACACTGGAACATCTTCTGGGTGAAGGAACCTATCCAGGTACAAGTTGGCTTCTGTTCCTGCTTCTTCTCTTTTGTTGTGCCAAGAGTAGCCGGCAATGTCCTCCAGTGGCTGGCAGGAAGCAGAGCTGGAAATAAAGCCTAGTGTGCAGCGAAAGGAAACCTTGGAACCACAGTGGGGGGATCGGAAGTCATGTTAGATCAAGCGAAGGATGAACTCAATTTTGGTATGCAAGAAGTGTAAATTGTCTTTAGTTCGCTTTTGGAATGCCTTGTGTTGATTACTATATATTGTTTGATTTGGTCTTTTTTGTTTTGTAATGTTTTTTATATTTGGAAACCAGTAAAGCATAAAAAATGCACCCAGTGGAACGCCCTCCCACAACTATCTGACTTTTAGAAGACATCTGAAGGCAGCTCTGCTTAGGGAAGTTTTTAATGTTTGATGTTTTATTGTGTTTTTAATATCCTGTTGGAAGCTGCCCAGAGTGGGGAGGGCGAGGCCTGGAGTGGTGGGCAGGCAGACAGACGGGCCTTGCTCCGTGTTTCCTTGGGTGGTGGTTGTTCTGTGTGCCTTTATTTTTAGGTCTCATTATGATTACAGAGGTACTTCAGGTTACGGTATTCCGGAGGTCCATTCTTAACCTGAAACTGTTCTTCACCTGAAGCACCACTTTAGCTAATGGGGCCTCCTGCTGCTGCTGCGCCGCCGGAGCACGATTTCTGTTCTCATCCTGAAGCAGAGTTCTTAACCTGAAGCACTATTTCTGGGTTAGCGGAGTTTGTAACCTGAAGCGTACGTAACCCGAGGTACCACTGTACCTGGAAATTGTCTTGTGTACTTTGTGTTCTATTTATTGCCCATCTCTCTTGTAGTTGCAATGGGGCAACTCTGGACTTGCTGTGAGAGGCCTGGAGCACTTTTCCCTGTGGAAAGGTGGCATACGAAGAGGATGAAGAGGACGCCGCCGGCATTTTTAGGCCGAGGTCAGCCTAAAGCGCCGCCGCCGCACCTTCGTCTTGGCCCTGAGGACTCCAACTCCCAGCATCCTCCGGCGCCGCCTGCCGGAGGGGCGCCCGGCCAGGCCTGGGGTCTCCGGCGCCCGCCCGCCCGCCCGCTGCCCGCGACGCGGCCGCCCCGCCTTGGCCCCTCCCGGCCTCCCTCCGGGCCTCGGGCGCGCAGGCGGAGCAGAGCCGGCAGGCCGCCCGGCGGGGCCATGACGCGGAGATGACGCTCCGGTGACGCGACTCCTCGGCGGCGCCCGACCCGGAAGCGGAAGAGGCGGGCTGCCTTGGCCTGTGTGGAGACGAGGCCGCCGGGCCCTGCCTGCCTGACGGACTCTGCGAGGCGCGCGCCATGGGGCCGGTGAGTCGGCGGGGCCCGTCGCCTGGGGGCCCGGGCCAGGCGGGAGTCCGGCCGGGCGCGGGAGGCGGCGGGGGCCTGGCCGGGAGGAGAGGCCCGGGGGCGGGGGCGCGGGCCTGGCGGGGCTGTGGCGCAGCCCGAGAGGGAGGCCGCGGCGCGCGCGGGCTTCGCCGAGGGGAGGGCGGGGGTTGGCCGGGGCCGCTCCTCCTCCTCCTCCTCGGGAGTCCGGCGGCGCAGGGGGGCCGCGAGGGCGGCCACGAACCGGCATCTCCTCGCAGCGCCTCCGAGGGAGGCCTCGCGAGTTCCCCGGGGCTCCGTTGCCGTCCCCCGGCGGCGCCCCCGGAGCGTCCCTCGCTCGTTGGTCCCGTGACCTCGCGGAGAACGGAAGGGCTTCGGTCGGCGCTGCCTTGGCCTCCCTCGGGCGCCGTCGGGGCCTGGCCTCTCCCTCGCCTCGCCGTGGCTCCCTCGGAAAGCCCTCCCTGGGGGTCCCCTCGGGGACCCCCCCCCCGTTGGTCCCCACGGCTCTCCGCAGGGACTCCGAGGCTCAGCTCCGCCCGCCTGGGGATCCCCTTCGCCCTGTTTAGGGCGGCTGCTCCGCCTCGCTCCCTCGCCCAGAGATCCCTTTCCCCCTCGAAATCCGCCGCGTCGCTCCTTCTGCCCGCCCGTTCCTTAGGCGCGCTCCCTCCGCTTCGCAGTCGCTTTGTGGTGGACAGGAAGGAAACACGACTGCTTAGATTTCGTTTCCCTAAGGAAGCAAGCGCATCTCTGCCAGACGCGCAATTCCTCTTAAATTTGCTAATAATTCATTCCATTGAATCCCTGCTCTAACTGTCCTAATACGTAGCTGTATTTTGAGAGAGAATATTGATGTTTGAAAGCTCATCTGCCAAACACCTTAATCAAGAGTGCGGGCTGAGAGACTGGTGAGGAGAAACCTATACTGTACTGTGCTATTTTTGGATTATGTATGTTTTTTTTTAAATAAAACCGCACTTTCGTAGCTCCTAATGGAGTTCCCGTTTAAAGTCTTTCATACAAACCCCTGAAATTTGCCGTATTTCAATAGTGAAACAAAATTAGCCAGTATACATGTTATATGCACATTGATTTCTGTAGTATGGGAAAACAAAAGTATGAGGCTTTGGGAGGGTTTTTTTTTTTTTACCCAGCCTAACCTACATCACAGGGTTGTGCAAAGACAAAATGGATAAGTGAGGGAATTATGTAAATGACACTGATTAAATTAAATTGTAAACAGCCAAAGTTAGTATGGTTTGTTACTGTGGTAAAACATTTGCATGTAACTTGCGATGATAAGAGTATCATTCAGTCTCTAGTTTGCACTTCTGTATTAAGTGGGGCGGGGGGGGGGATTGCTAGTGCATTTTGGAAAAACCTAAGACCTGACATTCTGTTCTTCAGCAGGAGAAAACAAGGAAGTGCATACTCCTAAGTAGGTTAGTGGGATTGTGGAACTATTTCCTGATCAGACAAATTGAGTGAAATCTAATTGCAAGCTTGATTAGGGATGTCACTTGCATAAAAGCATGAACTGGGGTAGTATTAACTGCCACCTCCAAAATGTTCTTCTTGTTCACTGCATTTGAAATTTATTGGCAAAATGGTATTGTGATAGAGACGTGATTTACCTAAAAAAAGTACAACATAAAATGACTCATCAGCATCTTAAGTTGGGTGTAGAAGTGTAGCTTTGTGGTTGGTGGACTGTATATAAATTATATTCTCATGGAAGAGTATCTCAGTAGAACCACCAGGGGAAACATGTATATGTTTTTCTTCATAAATACTATTTTTCTTCATAAATACCTTTTTATTACAGACACTTGTTCTTGGGGTACTTTGTAATCAATTCCTATATTGCTTTGCTCAAAACTTGCTCTGAGGCATGTTAGATGACTTGTTTATAAGCTATTCTTTTTTATTTGTGAATTAAATAATTGCTCCTTTTTCTACAGTGGATCAAGTATTAGCATAATTTTGCAAATGCTCACATTGTAATAATTGGGAGAACTCTTATGTGAGATGTAATAATACTCTCTGAATACACTGTCAAATAGGTTAGGGCCTGTGGGGCTGAGTCATGGTATATGTGTTCAGAAGGAGACTTAAAAACACAAAACAGTTGAACACAAAACAGTAGCTGGAAAGGGTTTTTTTCATTGCTCTGCTACACATGTTTTCTGTATTCAGATGAGTTACTCTTTTACAAAACTATGTGCAAATAAGAAATAAGACACCAATATTGAAGTACTTTAATGCTTTCTTGTGTATAACAGTGCAGCATAGGCTACTGGCTCTATTACCCTGACTCCTTTTGATCTTACCAGTTCTTGTGCATCTTCTCCTCTCATGGTTTCTTTATTTCATTTTACTTTTTTAAAGTTTCCATTTTTGTTTCTGAAGCATGATGGATATGCCATCTATTTCAGCTTTAAAACTATATGTTACTGGTTTACAAGAGCCAGTGTGGTGTAGTGGTTAAGAGCGGTGGACTCGTAATCTGGGGAACCGGGTTCGCTTTCCCGCTCCTCCACATGCAGCTGCTGGGTGACCTTGGGCCAGTCACACTTCTCTGAAGTCTCTCAGCCCCACTCACCCCACAGAGTGTTTGTTGTGGGGGAGGAAGGGAAAGGAGAATGTTAGCTGCTTTGAGACTCCTTCAGGTAGTGATAAAGTGGGATATCAAATCCAAACTCTTCAACCTCTCTTGGATCTGAATTGGGTTGATTGCCTATTTAAATAAATATTGCTTAATAAATTATATGAGCTGTAATAGATTGATCAAATTTACGTGGATGTGTGTTTAATAAAGTAATTGCACTGAAGAAGACACAAGCTTTGACTGTGGTGCAGTATAAATGGTCAATAGAAAATATATTCCATCTTCTGAGACAGCACCTGCAGTTATTGTAAATACAGACAAACCTCGGTTCTTGAATGTAATTCGTTCTGGAAGCCAGTTTGGCTTATGAAATGTTCGACAACTGAGGCACGGCTTCTGATTGGTTGCAGGAGCTTCCTGCACTTAAGCGGAAGCTGCGTTCGGCTTCCAAAAAACGTTCGAAAACCAGAACATTTACTTCTGGGTTTTCAGCATTTGGGAGCTGAAACGTTCCAAAATGGAAGTGTTTGGGAGCCAAGGTTTGACTGTACTTTTTAAAAAATGAGCTTTTCTTAAATAAAAGGGGTTGCTCTATACCAGGGGCCGGCAAACTAAGGGCTGCGGGCTGGATCAGGCCCAATTGCCTTCAGGATCCAGCCCACGGACTGTCCGTGGATCGGCGTGGGGATTCTGTTCATTTGGGCTGCGCCATTTCCCCCCCTGTGGCATTCCACCCCCCTACTGCGGTGGCACCTCCTCCCTCCCTCCTGGATTCTCCCCGCCCTGCCTAGAGGAGGAAGGGAGCTGGGCTGAGTGCCATTTTAAGAACCCCCTCTCTGAAGCCAGCCCTTTCGTGCCACTCATCTTCCCTCCGCTGCTGCCGCTGTCACTGCTCTGGTGCTCTGTGGGCCAGAAAGTGGAGCGGATGAGCTCGCTCTGCCTACCCACGAGAAGCAGAAGCAGCGGTGGTGGTGGTGGCGGCAGCGTCAGCCCCTGGGAAGGTAAGCACTGGGGCTGGGGGGTGGGGAGGAGGACTACTTGCACCCCTTGCCTCTTCTTCCAGCTCCCGGTGCTTATTGTCTGGCCCACCACAAGGTCTGAGGGACAGTGGACCAGCTGCTGCTAAAAAAATTTGCCGGCCCCTGCTCTATACTAATTGGCTGCAGGGCAAATGGAGGTGATGTAGCAGGGCCATTTGGGCCAACTCTCATGTGCAAAGGGGGGGGCCCCTCAAATTTAGATAGCAATGTTACCTATCATAAACCCCTGTAAATACCAAATCAGTCCTGAAATTATGTACTTATATTTTGTGGTTTCACATAATGTTTGCAGATAAACTGCTGTAGGATTTTTGTGTCAAGTGATTTTTTTACATAGGCTGCTACCTGACTAAGCGCATTCTTAACCATGTTTACTAAGGAGTGAGACTGCATTTACGTGGGGCTTCTGTTCCGGGCCCCTGCATGCGTACGTGAAATCATGTATAATGGGGAGCACCCTGGAGAGTCCTGGTGGCTCACGAGGAGAGAGCTCTTCAAGCTCTGGGGAGGGTCTCCTTGCAAACCAGGAGGACTTTCCAGCATGCGCCCCCCCCCATTTCTGGGATCCCAGCGCTGCACATATGTGTGGTTGTGTGCAAATAGAGTATGCACAAATGGGGATTTGCCTTCTAAATCAGTCATTCTATTAATACTAGTGGAAGTTTTGTAATTCTGTTCATTGAAGTTAAAAGTCACATGCGCGCCCATCGATGTCATTGTTCAAAACCCCCTCTTTATGTCAAACAACTTGAATGGTAAAGCGATCTTAGGCTGCTCCTCTTGTACAAGCTGATAAACCCCAAGTGTGAGCCCAATGCTAAAATTGGTTCAAAAATTAACAGCACAAAATTATGCATGTTTCCTGAGAAGTATGTCTCAGAGGACTTACTGTCTAGTAAGTGTGTGCAGGATTGTAGACTTGTATGCATATAACGGAGGCAAACTGACAATGGGCAATCTGTGTTCAGCTTCAAATTGGACAGGGACTACGTGTGGAGATTATTGCATTGCAGGAGGTTTGACTGGATGGTCCTTGGGAGCTCTCCCAACTACAATTCTATGATTCAAACCAGTGTGCATATTGTCAGAGACACTTAGATTCTGACTCTTCATTGAACCCCCTTTGCATAAAATGTGTTCTGTCTTCCTTTGCAAATACTCTTTTTGTTCTGGGTAGCCCATATACCCTTATGAAGTGTGAAAATGTGGGAAAAGGTGAGACTGGAACCTAATCTGGTTGGTGAACAGAACAGTGTACAGTGGTACCTCGGGTTACATACGCTTCAGATTACAGACTCCGCTAACCCAGAAATAGTACCCCAGGTTAAGAACTTTGCTCCAGGGTGAGAACAGAAATCGTGTGGTGGCGGCGCAGCGGCAGCAGCGGGAGGCCCCATTAGCTAAAGTACCTCAGGTTAAGAACAGTTTCAGGTTAAGAATGGACCTCCAGAACAAATTAAGTTATTAACCTGAGGTACCACTGTATTGGTGGGGTGTCAATTGAGCAGCAAATCTCCCAATTATCAGGACACTATTAGCTCCCTCTCCCCCATGAGCCAACAGTGTGACGCGGCAGCTAAAAAAGCCAATGCAATTCTGGGCTGCATCAATAGGAGTATAGCATCTAGATCAAGGGAAGTAATAGTGCCACTGTATTCTGCTCTGGTCAGACCTCACCTGGAGTACTGTGTCCAGTTCTGGGCACCACAGTTCAAGAAGGACATTGACAAACTGGAGCGTGTCCAGAGGAGGGCAACCAAAATGGTCAAAGGCCTGGAAACGATGCCTTATGAGGAACGGCTAAGGGAGCTGGGCATGTTTAGCCTGGAGAAGAGGAGGTTAAGGGGTGATATGATAGCCATGTTCAAATATATCAAAGGATGTCACATAGAGGAGGGAGAAAGGTTGTTTTCTGCTGCTCCAGAGAAGCGGACACGGAGCAATGGATCCAAACTACAAGAAAGAAGATTCCACCTAAACATTAGGAAGAACTTCCTGACAGTAAGAGCTGTTCGACAGTGGAATTTGCTGCCAAGGAGTGTGGTGGAGTCTCCTTCTTTGGAGGTCTTTAAGCAGAGGCTTGACAACCATATGTCAGGAGTGCTCTGATGGTGTTCCTGCTTGTCAGGGGGTTGGACTCGATGGCCCTTGTGGTCTCTTCCAACTCTATGATTCTATGATTCTATGATTACTGTAATTAAGAATGTCCTCTTTATATTATTCCAGGATGAGCACTGTTAGTTAATAATGTTCCGTAATTTTCTGGTGCATTTAAAATGTGAAATTATATGTTCTCTTTTTTTTTAAAAAAAAAGCATGCTGCGCTGAGAAAAAATGTAGTAAGCATCAAATCTTATAAATAATAGAGAGATCCTTTCTGTAGAAAGTAGGAAGCAATATAGATATGACCACTTCTCTAACTTAACTGCATAGCCTGCTGTGTTCAAAAGGCATTAGATTGCATGTTAGGCTTAATATACATGGCCTTGGTATTCATACTGTTCTACACAGTATCATGTGAGCTTGTACATGCAGTTCTGAAATCAGAGAAGTATTGCTCTGCTTCTAGTGTTGTTCCTCACCCGCTTTGGGGGCAGGAAAAAGAAAAACACACAGCACTCAGTTGTCTTAAATGACTTTCTGAATCTATAACCAAGAGTCTGAGATCACATAACAGGTGCCCCTTAAAAGAAATATCAGTCAAGCCTAGAGAAGGGTATCCTAAAATTGAATTCTGATTGTCTTCTGTATATTGAGTTTGGTTCTGGAGTCTTGCATTCCAGTCTAAGCCACAGTTGCCTTACATAGGCATCAAGCACATAGGATATTTTATTCTGTATTTTCTAAACAAGGGTTTGAAGTGTATGTTCATTCTTCCTAATGTATATGTGCTAGGGATAGTGCCTAAAGCCAAAATCGCATATAGTCAAAACACATTAGGTACAATGGCGGGTGGAATGCCAAGGTTTTATTTCTTGGATGCCCCCTCTTTAATTTTTGTTTTAATTCCTTCAAGCACATAAAGCTGAATGTGCACTAGTTAAAGGTGTGTCAATTTTGAGTGTACTGTACTTCATCCCCCTTGTTAATATTCTAATGTTTAATGCTGGTCTCAAGCATCCCAGAAGACGAAAGAAGTAGAAAGAAATACAAATAAACTAAATAGGAGTAATATCTATGTAGCTTAACATTTTTAAAACAACAGCATTGAATGCAGGTATAACTTGGTTATGATAGTATTATATAATCACTCCTCTGAAATGCAGTTTACATGTGTTTCTGTGATAGGTTTAATATACGTTCATGGAATTTAATAGAGGGTTTATTCAGGAGAGCTCTTCCTTCCTATATCTGTATCCAGTAAGTGTTTAACTGTGGCATTTAATTGGTAATGTCTTACCTCTCATCTAGCCTTTGGTGAAGTGTCATTGCACACTTGTGGTATTCAGAATCAGAAACCTATTGGTTATTCTGATCTGTGAACAATTTGGGGCACTGTTTTTACATCATTTTTCATATTGAGAAAATTTCTGCCTGTTCTTCCAGCTTCCATTCTAACTATATGAGCTCTGAGCTCTGTGTTCTGTTGAACTAATAGTAGAAATATTAATTCTGCTTTATATTTTGCTAAAACTTATAAACAAATACTAAGAAATACAGCAAAAAATATCTATCTATCTACACGTGACCTACGGGGGGGTGGTTTCTAACTCTGTATTTATAGCTTTTAAAAAACAAAATAGAGGGTGGTGGTGGTTTACTGATTTGTTAACTGAAAGTCTGATAATCACTCTTCTGTTACTCTTGGTTGGCTTGCTAATTTGAATTTTGAACTTCACTTTATGACAGTATGCCTAATGGGCTGAATTAATTATAAAATTCAATCAACAGTTCTTTTTCCACACCACTGAATTTCCACATCAGGCTGAAATTTTAACATTGTAAGAGAGAGTGACTGGTTACCCAGTCAAGAAGACAAATGTTTGTAACACTTTAATTAGAATAGCAAGCTCTCTGTTACATAAAATAGAAGCTGTGTAACAAAAGATATTAACTAGCATGCATGGATACCTCCAGGACCAAGAAGGACCCTGAGCTGTGTGTGACATTTGTTTTGGTTTAGGCTAACTCCCCAAAGTTACAAGGCCTTTTAAGGGAAACCAGCTTTTACAAGATCCAAGAGGCTTACTTTTGTCTCAGAAAGGTGTCTCTACCTATGTTATGCTTAATGTCATTGTGTTTCTTGTTTTTTAAATATCTAGCAAAGGCAACAAGATTTTGTATTTTGCAGAAATAAGACATTTCCACCTTGTTCTGATGGCTGGCTACAAATGCTCTTATTCTTGTATTGCAAGGGATTGGACTAGATGACCCTCAGGATCCCTTCGAACACCACAATTCTATGATCCTATGATTCTAACTACAGAGAAACCCAATAGGTCTCATCTTATTTATTTAAAGCATCTATATACTGCTTAAAAGATAGCGTTTCTAAGTAGAGTACATTAAAATAAAACATATGAAGGATAAGACAAAGAAAACACCAAAAATCAAGCAGAAACCTGACTGCTACCCTAAAATGCCTACTGGAATAAGGAAGTCTTTGTCATCCACTGGAAGTTAAACAAGGAGTGTGCCTCCCTCTGTTGGGAGGGAGGTCCACAGGCTTAGGCCTACAGCACTGAACACAGTTACCTTCCTGGTGCTACTAAATACTGTAATACCTCTTAACAGAAGGTTATTACTTCTGATGATTAAGCTTCATGAGAACAATACCCTCCAGATAAGACTTGCACAGGACGGCAGACTCTCTAGAGAAATCCCAGTCCAAAGAGGAGTTAGACAAGGATGCCTATTAGCCCCATTCCTATTTAACATCTATGTTAACTCCCTGGTCACATGCTGCCGTGAATTGAAACCCACCCCCCTGTGTTCTCTAATGGCAGAAAAGTACCAATTTTAATGTATGCGGATGACGCCGTTCTTCTCTCTCAAACCAAAGTGGGTCTGAAACGTGCCTTAGGAAAGTTTAGTGACCAATGTAACACTGAACTGCTAACAATTAACTTTGCCAAAACCAAAATTGTACATTTTAACCGCTCCTTCAGGAAGGATAATTGGAGCGTAAAGGGAAACGCCATTGAACAGACTAAGACCTTCCAATATTTAGGCATTACTTTCTCTTATAATGCCAAATTCTCAGCACACTTGACCACATCAGCTATATCAGCAGAAAGAAGTGCAAATGCTATCCTTAGATTATTCAGAAGGAAAGGAGCTGGCTTCCTCCCGATGGCCCTAACAGTCTTTCAGGCAAAATCTTTAGCCCAACTTCTATATGGCTCTCAAATTAGCCCCTCTGCCAACCTTAAGACCCTTGAAACAGTACAATCTAAATTCTTAAGATCATTATTTGCTACCCCTAAGTGTACACCTAATGCAGTCTTAAGGCAAGAGGCAGGACTGCCCAGAGTGGAATTAAAAGTCTGGGAACAAGCAATATCCCTCTGGCTGAAAATCCATTACAATCCTAAGGGTCTATTACCTTGCTTCCTGGCCGCAGTTCCCTATCCCCCTTGGCTTATGCAAATAACTAACAAGATCAAACAAATTGGCCTAAACCCTGAAAATATTTTTATTGGAACTCTGAACAAGGCAAAAGCTACTATTACTCGGAGACTTTATGATATCGAATTACAACAAGAAGGCGCCCTACTCCCAGAGACGTATAGATGTTTAAAAGCTTGGCCTAATTTTACAGCTGCCCTTACTTAACCAACATCACTAGCGAAGCCTATAGATGGGCTTTCTCTAGAGCCCGCTTTGAGACAATGCCCTCAGCAGTGCTGTACGGCAAATTCACGCGGGTTCCAATGCATGCGCGTCTCTGCCCTTGTATGTCTAATAAGGTAGAATCTGTCACACACATTCTTCTATCTTGCGAATTCTATAGTGAAGAACGAGCTCAACTTATTTTACCGCTTTTATCAAAATTTATACCCCTTCAATATTATTTGGAATCCTCCCTGAAATTCTTCGAAAATACCTCCTGGAAGATTCCTCAAGCTCAGTATCATATGAGGTGGCTAAATTTTGCACTTTAGTAATTAAGAAACGTAAATCTCTTCTGTCGAATGGCACACTGCGAAGTTCCCTTGTGTAACCTTTTTTCTTTTCTGAAGTTGTTGCTGATTTCTTGTTGTCTGATCTTGGGATGTTTAGTGTCACTGGCTTTGGCCGCAATAAACTTGAACTTGAACTTGAACTAATACCTCTGCGAACATCGGCCCTGTCTAGCGTCCATTCCAGCGAACGTCCGTGGCAAACCCTGGAACGGGTTACTTCTAGGTTTGCTGCTCGCGCATGCGCAGAAGCTCAAACCGCTCTAAAGTTGCAAAGCTGACGGAACCAGTGCTAAATGATCAATATGGAGGTTTCAACTTACCAGAAATGAAAACTAGGGCTGGGTGTCATATTGTTCAAAACCGGGTTGAAGTCTATCATTTTCTTCTTTGGCAATCACTCGTAGCCAAGTAAGATTGTCTTCCATAAACACGGGTTTAACAGTGAGTCAATAATAATAATAATAATTTGTTTGTTTGTTTATACCCCGCCCATCTGGTTGGGTTTTCCCAGCCACTCTGGGCAGCTTCCAACAAAATATTAAAAATACAGTAAAACATCAAACATTAAACACTTCCCTAAACAGGGCTGCCTTCAGATATTTTCTGAAAGTCAGATTGTTGTTTATTTTCTTGACATCTGATGGGAGGGCGTTCCACAGGGCAGGCACCACTACCGAGAAGGCCCTCTGCGCTGTTCCCTGTAAGCTCACATCTTACAGTGAGGGAACCGCCAAGGAAGGCCCTCGGAGCTGGACCTCAGTATCTGGGCAGAATGATGGGGGTGGAGACGCTCCTTCAGGTATACTGGGCCGAGGCCTTTTAGGGCTTTAAAGGTCAACACCACCACTTCCAATTGTGAACAGAAACTTACTGGGAGCCAATGTAGGTCTTTCAGGACCATTGTTATGTGGTCTCGGCAGTCACTCCCAGTCACCAGTCTAGCTGCTGCATTCTGGATTAGTTGTAGTTTCCGGGTCACCTTCAAAGATAGCCCCATGTAGAGTGCATTGCAATAGTCCAAGCGGGAGATTAACAGAGCATGCACCACTCTGGCGAGGCAGTCCACGGGCAGCTAGATTCTCCGCCTGCATACCAGAAGGAGCTGGTAGACAGCTGCCCTGGACAGAGAATTGACCTGCACCTCCATGGACAGCTGTGAGTCCAAAATGACTCCCAGGCTGCGCACCTGGTCCTTCAGGGGCACAGTTACCCCATTTAGGATCAGGGAGTCCTCCCTGTCCCCTGTCCCCCCACAAAGAGTGCTCATGTCTTGGCAGGATTCAGCCTCAATCTGTTAGCCGCCATCCATCCTCCAACTGCCTCCAGATAGTCACACTGGACCTTCACACATCCTTCCACAGTGGGGACATAGGATTCTGAACAACATGACCAGTCCAACAAAGTTAATGTTGAAGAATCATTGCTTTCACACTGGGATATTATGATATTGGCTTCATAATTTTTGACCTGGAAATATATTCTGAATCAGTGTGTGTGTGAGAGAGAGAGAATGCAGTATTCATGATGTGGGGGAAAATTTGAAGCCAGCCAATGCCTCTACCTGGCTCCATCCTTATTTCAGACATGATATATCAGTATATCATGTTGTTAGCTGGCTTCTATCACGAAGTTGAAAACCAGACATCTCCCAGCCCTACTGTTAGCCTCTGCATAGCTCTATCCTTATTTCGGACATCGTGATATATCAGTACATCACTGTGTTTAGCTGGGAATATATAGTGATGTTGAAAAACAGATATTGTGCAGCCCTAATGAAAACCATTGATCATGAGCATAGTTTAAGCTGTTGATTATAGGTGTGCCAATGCTGTTGATTATGGGTTATCAATCTGACACAGCCATTCTATTCCACCCAGCTCTTCTTCCCCTCCCAACAGGCAGCATTCTGTGGCTACTAAGTGTTCTCCGTCCTCATTGGGCTGTTGTTGCTTTTTTAATTTGTAAAGTTAATATTAATGCAAACCATAGGATCCCTTTATGTCTGCTGATGCTGCCATCTTGTGCATGGCTACATAAGTGGTGGTAGTCAGAAAATTCGACTGGAATTAGCGTTCAGGATAATGATACTCCAATCCAGTTACATTGGCCAGGTGGTGTTGTGTTTCGCTGTAGAGTGGGAAAGAAACTAAGTCCATAAGAAGAGCCTGCAGGAATGGGTTAGCTGCTTGGTCTCACAGTAGCCAGCCAGATAGATGCTTGCAGGGAAACTTGCAAATAGGATTCGAGCACAAGTGTATTCTCCCCTTCCTTTGTATGTTTCAAGAGTTGTCATACATCTTCTCTCCATTGATTAATGAGGGCCATAGATTTGGATCAATATCAGTCTTTTAGCCGTAGTGAGGGTGCAGAGAATCCATTTACATTGACAAGTTGTCAAATTCCATATAGTAGTTAATACTTTAGAATGTTATTATCCTGTGATAGTATACTATATTTATACAATATAGTACTTTCTCCGCAAACTTCATAAGGATTAGATCAGGCTTCCTCAAACTCTGCCCTCCAGATGTTTTTGGCCTACAACTCCCATGATCCCTAGGTAGGAGGACCAGTGGTCAGGGATGATGGGAATTGTAGTCTCAAAACATCTGGAGGGCTGAGTTTCAGGAAGCCTGGATTAGATGTTGCATATGTTTCAAAGAAGCATTATCCTTATTTCATCTCTAACAGCATGTTGTCTTAGTTCCTTTCTGTACAAATGTTATGAAGTCCAATAAATTCTAAATCTTTTCTGTTGTATAAGATACAATTTAAAATCAATTGACAACTTTGCTACTGAAACTATAACATTCACCCATATAGACGCCTCCAATTCTTTACTTCATTTGTTTCTCCGAGCCTGCATATCAAATTGAATTGTTGATACCAAGCAGGGCTTCTTTTCAGGGAGAACTCGCCGGAACTCAGTTCTGGCACCTCTATGGTGGGTGCAAGTGCATTCTAAGAGAAAGAGGGAGCTGTTCATGGTGAGTTCCTGCACCTCTTTTTCCATAAAAATAGCACTGATAACAAGTATCTATAAAAGATAGCCGCTGGCTTTTTAGTCTCATAGGATTTAGCCAATTGTTCTAATGTCTGTGGATGCCCAGGAGTTCTAGTGTTATATTGTTGCAAGTGTTAGAAACAGAGATATAAAAGCTAGGAGCCAAATGGCATATGAAACTTAGCTTTCAGTCGCCACAACAGTACCGTATTTTTCGCCCTATAGGGCACACTGGCCCATAGGGCGCACCTCGTTTTTTGGGGGTGAAATAAATAAATAAAAATTTATTCCCCCCCCCCAGCCGCCGAGCTTCCCCCGACCCCAGCCCCCAGAACAGGCTGCTATCCGCAAGCCTTGCGAGCCCGGCGGGAGTTCCCGCCGGGCTCGCAAGGCTTGCGGACATCTGCCCGAAGCACTATTACAACACAATTGAAGACAAGATGGGGGATTTAGCTGAAGATGGAATAAATGCTGTGCACAAAAGACAAGTTCTTTTAAAATAAAAAATCAAGTGAAAAAGTAGGCTAGGAGAAATGTGACTGCAGTTTCATTCTAGGAAAACTAAAAACCAATCCTCTCTTACTTAATTAGAGTGGGTAGTTTGCCAAAACTTGTTTTTATAAATTCGCGAACAGCTTTGCATAGATAATTTAATCAGTTCTTTTTGCAATTTGTGTTATTTGGAGGGTTGTAACCAGCCAGAGCAAACCAGGTTGTGCACAGAGCACAGTGGGGCTTAAGTTTAGGCATGAATAGGACAGTAGCATCCAGTGAACTTCATGGCTGAGTGGGGATTTGAACCCTGGTCTCACAGATCCTAGTCCTGCAGACACTAACCACTCACTGGGAAGAACCTTTTTCTTTCAGTTTGCAAAGTCACAACTCCTGTGATAGGTGGAGCTGCCAGTGAGGGGCATTGTCTCATTCTGTCCATTCATGCCCACATCATGTGATTATTTTCAGTTCTAATGCTTCTATTTCTGTAAAGGAAAGCACTTCCCGGTAAATGGTGCAGGAGCACTCACACAGAGACGGTGAACTCGTAACTGCTGCCTCCCATGTTGTGTTTGCTGTGTTAGCAGCAGCACAGTGACATCTCTGGGACACAAGCCAGGGCAGGGTGTATGGAAGCCCTGTCTGTCATCCAAGGGTCCAGCCGCCTCCATAATTTGGTGCTACTGCATTACCATCTGAATCTACATAATGGGTTGAATCCAGAGTTTCTTAACCGGAGTTCTCCTTGTGGAATAGGACACTCGGGGTTTGGTAGCCCCTGAAGAGGGTTGGGGGGACGCTAGAATAGTGTGGGAGTCAGTGCAGAAGGCTAAAGGTAGCAAAGCTGCCGGCCTCTCCTCCCTGCCCCTCTTCTATCCCTAGAATTGGATCCATCATAAATGAGTAGGTGGCAAGTTGGTATTTTAAGTGCTTTTTATTGGAGTTGTAATAAACTACTGAATAGAGGAGGGTCAGGATAACCAAGTATTAAATGATTCTCATTCAGGAGTAGCTTTCAGCTTTTTTTTTTAAAGAAATAGATAAAACTAGGCTTTTAAAATGGTCAGTTGCTTAGCTGCTTGCAGCTAATAAAAATTATTCCTAGGTAGCCAAGCAAAGAAATTTAGTAAGCAGAATGCTGGTTTGCTTCATGCTGCTCAGTAACTGTTATTTAATGCTGCCCATTTGAGTACTCTTAAGTTGCATGAATAAATATTGGTGTGTGTAATGCCAGTTTGAGAGTCTCTCTCCTTTTTGTTTTGTCTTTATATAAAGTAGTCATGAACAGATAGATTATACCTTGGGATATTTGTGTAGACCATAATCTTATCACTTACCCTGCTATCCAAATTCATATTTACTTTCAGTTTGATTATTGAGTGAATTGAGAGTAAGCCCGTGGTGTGCTCCATCTGACTTGCTACTAAAATGCCTTGGAACTGTGTATCGTTGTACAAATTGTAGGCTGTAATTCACAAACTGTTTCAAATCAGATGAGCTAATGCGGTTTAAATCCAGCTATTCTGATTTCACTGGTTTGTGTTCAACTGATAATATGGTGATTAGTACATTGAGGAAAGAATACCTGACCACCACTGGGGAGACACGATTTAAAAATAGCCAGACATACTTGCAAATGTTCCAGGACATCTTTCCATTTGGTATTATAGCAAATATGTTACAGCTTTATATTAGTTACTGGTGAAATTAAGTGGACAATTGAATAAACATCTTTTCTCTTCCTCGGCAGGGTTTCTTGTGAGTCAGTATCAGCCTGCATATGCAAAGAGCATCTCTTCTGAGCGACTGTGGCAGAACTTGGAATGTTGGTTTGTTTCTGCCTCTGATGGAGGAATAACCAGATTTCTCATTCCTGCACTGAAAGACTTCACAGGAGATACAAAATGTCATCAAATCGGAGTCAGAACCCACATGGACTTAAACAAATTGGTCTTGACCAGATATGGGATGACCTTAGAGCTGGAATTCAGCAAGTTTATACAAGGCAAAGTATGGCAAAATCCAGATATATGGAACTCTACACGTATCCTAACACATTTCTGAACAATCAGCTACTAATCTTACTGTTGATGTAGAATTATTCTACATAGGCAACTTTAGTTGTTCACTTATGATGATACAATTTAATTAGTTTTTTCCAATCAGGCCTTGAATGCCCAGGATCTCAGTATTTGGATGGAGAGAGAGAAAGGATGTTTGACTTCACTTGAACCTCTGGTTTGTGTTTAGGTTCACTTTTTGCCCTAGGAACTTAAATGAGAGACTCGGAGGCTGTTTGGCAAAACCAGAGTCTTCGGCTCACTTTTGATATTCTGTAAAAAAAAGTTGTTAAATGACAAAAGTAGCAGGGTTATCCTCTTTGGTATAAATGTCATCCTAAATTATTCTGTCTTTGTTATGCCATGTTGCTGCCGAGTTCATGTAGGTAGGAATGGTTGTTGCGAGATGACAATGCTCTGATGACAACTTTGTGAGTAAGCAATCCAAATATTTTACACCAGCCGCCTCCATTTTTACTTTTATGTAAGAAGGAATGGTGTTTACCAGAGAGCAAAAGCTCCATGCTTCACGGAGTTTTACAATCTAAATATAAAAAAAAAACCTTAAAATAAAATTTAATATTGAATTGAAATTCCCTATTTGTGTTGCAATATTATTACTAGAATTCCAAATCGTAACAAAGCTGATTAAAGATAAAAAGAAGTTGTCAAATACTTAAAGGATATTCATATTTGAAATCCGAACTTCTTTGTGCAGATATTGAGGATTTTTATTATAAGCAGGCAAAATCTGTTGAAACTTAATTCGTATTTGACAGCCTGATTTTATGCATATTTACTCAGATGCAAGTTCCATTGACTAAGTAATGTGCATAGGACTTTGTCCTTAGAGGATTATCAGGTACATATTACTAATGTTCTATCTAGCTTGTAATTGGACAGTGTTAAATTTAGGATAATTGGTATCTTTTACCAGAGTTGGAGTTCCAACATGTGCTGCTTTTTGGCACAAATCAACATTTATAGGACTCCTTGGAATTTCTGACTTAGCTGCAGTGTACTTCGTTGCTACACTGCAGATAGATTACATGTTCTGTTGTTTTGAATCTATCCTTGTGATACTAGGATTGTTTTGTTTTTAAATCAGTCCTTGTGACATTAGCTGAGGCAGAACAGATGGCAGAAGACTGTAAACATCAGTTGCACAAGTAATTGATTTGGATATTTAATATAGAAAGTTTTATAAGAGCAGTATTCTGATAGATTAAGGTAAAGGTACCCCTGCCCATACGGGCCAGTCGTGTCCGACTCTAGGGTTGTGCGCTCATCTCACTTAAGAGGCCGGGAGCCAGCGCTGTCCAAAGACACTTCCAGGTCACGTGGCCAGCATGACAAAGCTGCTCTGGCGAGCCAGCACCAGCGCAGCACACGGAAACGCCGTTTACCTTCCCGCTATAAAGCGGTACCTATTTATCTACTTGCACTTAGGGGTGCTTTCGAACTGCTAGGTGCGCAGGAGCTGGGACCGAAAGACGGGAGCTCACCCCGCTGCGGGGATTCGAACCACTGACCATACGATCGGCAAGTCCTAGGCACTGAGGTTTTACCCACAGCGCCACCCGCTTTTTTTATAAGTTTTTTATAAAACTTTCTATATTAAATATCCAATTGATTTGGATATTTAATATAGAAAGTTTTATAAGAGCAGTATTCTGATAGATTACTTGGAAGTAAATTTTGTACATTCTATTTACATGGTTACACTAGAAGATAGGGTCTTGGAGACAGTCTTGGAGCAACTTCCCAGCTATCATTTTCCAGTTTCTGTCTTAAGCATGTTAGCATTTAGATAGAAAATGCCTTGAGCAGCTTTTGTGTGAATGGTGCATGTAAAGTTATAATGGATTGGCTGATTTGCTTGCTACTTTTTATGCAGCTTCTAGGTGATTTCCTACATGCTTAATCTTTTTGTATTTTCCTTACTGGGTAGCTGGCTAACTGAAAACCACTTATCAGGTTATTTACATATTAATTCTTCAATCCGTGGTTTTGTTCACATGGCAGGCATGGCAAAAATTAGCTTAATGTTGGTTACAGTAGGAATGATTGTTGAGTAGAGTGGGATTGTTGTATAGCGATGATTTTGAACTACAGAACTAGTTCAGTGTGATCAAAGGGTCTCTTAGACTTGTTCACCTGTCCTCCATGCCAAATGACTACAGTCTGTTGTCAGAATTACAGCGTCTTTCCATAAGAGCGAATTAAATATTTGGGGGAAAGTATATTGAAACTTTCTCTGATCATCTGTTTCCATTTATATTTAAGCCCTTTGCCATAGTGGTGTGGGTAGGGTTTGGAAGAAACAAAGTCTATTTTTGAGTCCCAGCGACACTTTCCCCTGAATTAGGTCACATCTCTTGAACATTCATTGGCTCTGAACTTACGTGGAGGAATGATGGCGGACTATGATGACTGCTGGTGCTCCCATTGGTACAAATAGTTAATGCAGTGATTTAAAAGTAATCATGGTATAAATATTGGTTACTAAACTCCATTTTGAAATAAGGGAGGTCAGGGATCAACTTCATCACACCAGAGACAAGACGTTTTCAGGGATGGAAGAACATCTTGAGTGAGGAACTTTCATTGGGCCCACACATGGCATAATTCAGGGCACCAGGTCAGCAAAACCACATTCTTTTGATTATTTCAAGACTGGAATTAAGCACAACTTGGATTTTCTATCTGCCACTTGATTGGTACGCAGAAAGCAAACAGACTGCTGGAGGGTGAAAAAGTACTAATCAGCAGGCTAAGGAGCAGGCTCAAAGGCTTATTTTAGTTACTAGTGACTACAAAAGATGATAACAGATGAGAAATTGGTATAAAATCTTTATATTACCTGTGATTCTCTGGTTGGGGTGGTATTGATTGCAAAAGTGAAGCTGCAGCTAATCAGTGGGGAATGGAATGCTGGCTTGAAGAGACAGGCCCAAATTTCTAGAAGCAGAGACTGCCAAGGGGGAGATGAACAGCACCCAGTATGGCAAAGATACTGATGAATGCTTCATCGATTGTTGGTTTCATATGTTAGATGAACAGCTGATAGAACTCGAGAGATGTGCAGAATGGTAAATGCACTTCCAGCAGAGAAACAGTGGGTTAAAGAATGCACAGGACCTGTGGGAAAAGATCTTGACCTAGGTCTGCCTGAACTTGAGAAGACAAAGGCAAGGTGGGTAACAGCAAGCGTTGAAACTGAGTGGATACCCATAGAGCTCTTCAGGACTGAAGCAGACACAGAATGCTGTTGGGATGCTGGAAGAGATGAATGGAATCGGAGACACTAAGAAACAATGAGATTCATAGAATCATAGTGTTGGAAGGGACCACAAGGGCCATCGAGTCCAACCCCCTGCCAAGCAAGATTGCAGAGACAGAGCTGAGGGGGGGGGGGGACTTGTGTACAAGCTGAAGTGAAGAAGAAAAAGCCTCCAAACTCTTTGTGAATGAAAAAAATGGGGTGTGTGTGACTTCTATTATCTAAGATGGAGAAGAATGGCAAACAAGAAATGGGGCTGGAATACATGGAATTGGGTACAATTTAATGATGACTCAAGAAGTAAATAATTATGGACTCTTAAATTGTTCAGATTTGTTGGAACCCGTGGAAGGAAATTCCTCCTATTGGATCAGAGAAGGATTATCTTTGATATTTAATAATAACAAGAAGAGCCTCTCTGGACTTTTTGGGTGGAAAAAGGAATGAATGATCTTGAGGTGTCTGGGGCTGAAATTAGGAGAACACTGACTAGCAGAGTGAGAAACAGCTGGATATTATCTTGAAACACAGCTAGATGTTATTTTGGAGTGCGCGTTTTGAAAATTTTGAATCATCTTCAAACTCAAAACTGACAGATGGAGAATCGGAAGACCTTCACATAGAGGAGGGAGAAAGGTTGTTTTCTGCTGCTCCAGAGAAGCGGACACAGAGCAATGGATCCAAACTACAAGAAAGAAGATTCCAACTAAACATTAGGAAGCACTTCCTGACAGTAAGAGCTGTTCAACAGTGGAATTTGCTGCCAAGGAGTGTGGTGGAGTCTCCTTCTTTGGAGGTCTTTAAGCAGAGGCTTGACAACCATATGTCAGGAGTGCTCTGATGGTGTTTCCTGCTTGGCAGGGGGTTGGACTCGATGGCCCTTGTGGTCTCTTCCAACTCTATGATTCTATGATTCTTTATAATTATTTTTCCTTTTCATTAACTCTATATGTTCCATGAAGGGTGATGATGAAAAGCCTACATGAGAGGCAGGGTATAGAGGATCTCCCACGGTGGGAGGCTGTGGGAAGAGGGGAAGCGCCCGGGGGGAGCTGGGAGGGCTTTACCTACCTTTGTGTGGATTAAGAGTAAAGATATAACCTTGATAGAGGGTTTTGTATTTTACTTTCTTCACACACACACAAAATGTAACCTGCCTCTGTAGAATCCTGGGAACTGTGGTTTGTTAAGGGTGCTGGGAACTGTAGTTCTGGCAGATGTAAACTGCAGTTTCCAAGATTCTTTGGGGAAAGCCATGTGCTTTAAATATGTTGTAAATGTATTGTATGACTAGGACCCTATATCCAAAGAGGACATATAATGTTCTCTTAATTGAGAGTAAAAATGGCATTGGCTGTTACAGCTAGTTCTTTCCCCCACCTTCAGCAATGTTGTTTTGCTGTCCCATGTTTTACTTTCCTTGGGTTTTCTTTTAGTTCTGTTGGCTTCTATTTAGGTAAACGTATTCACTGACACTTCTCAGTACATGTAAATTTATTGTTTCTTCTAAGATAAATTAAAGTTGGTCAACAAAGCTGAGACTGTGTTCAAATCCATAGTATGTAGAGAACTGTCTTTGTGATTCGGAACTGGAAGGTAACTTATCATTGCTGTAGTTAAAAGCAAAAGTAATTATCCTCAACGGATGTTCATTTTATTTCCTTCTCCAAAAAAGAAGGCAAGGCAGGTTTTCCATACATCCTATTTCCATAGCTCTCTTGCTGTTAGAAAACATGCCCCAACCAACCAATCTAAGTCTGCCATACTGAAACCTTCTAAAAGTACGCCGTTGTATGAATCGGGACATCCACCTCTGCCCTGAACCTTCTTCAGCTCTTCTGGCATATAGGGATAGTCCTGACTTACCTTTATATATGATTATTTTCAAGATTTAAAAGATAACGTAGGTGAACCATTTTGAATATTTAAAAGTATTAATTTCACACTCGTTTGTTAATTGATTATAGCATGTAGTCTACACTGCATATTCCTTAACTATTCTACCAGTCATGTTTATAACTACTGTACTAGTGTCCATCAGTCTAATCAAGCACGAGGGGCTGGTGTGCCGACTTCTAAGTCTAAAAAAGGCCAAACACCTGGAGGAGCTCAGTTTGTTGGCTTGGAACTGTACAAGCGGCTTAAAGAATTTCTGAAGAATTACTTGACAAATCTTCTTAAGGTAAGACAGTAATTGTATCAGCTCAAAAGCTAAGGATTTAAGGTAGTGCACAAGTTGCCTTTAAACTTCTGTGGAGCATTTTGCTGTCACTTTTAAAATACATGTACAGTGGACACTCGGGTTGCGAACGTGATCCGTGCGGGAAGCACAATTGCAACCCGCAGCGCCACGTGTGCGCATGCGTGGGTCGCAATTCGGCGCTTCTGCACATGCACAAAGCGCTGAAACCTGGAAGTAACCAGTTCTGGTACACCAGTTTCTTTGGGTTTCTGCCTCATACTGTGGCCCTTTTGGATGTAATATTGAGCCATACTTTAGCACTTCAAACACTGGCAGCTGGAAGTGTAGACCTTGTACACTTCACTCTTAGATGTGGCCATGAGGAAGATAAGCTGCAATAATAATAATAATAGTAATATAATAATAATAATAATAATAATAATAATAATATTTTATTTGTATCCTGCCCTCCCCAGCCGAGGCTGGGCTCAGAACAGCTAACATCATAAAAACAACACAATATGCATAAAAACAGACATCAATTAATTAAAATACATCTTAAAAGTAATTCAGACAAGTTAAAATCTGGGCAGGTGGCAATTATCAGGTTGGAATTGAGAGTGGTTAACACTTGCTAGGACCAACTGTTTCCACTGATCATACAAGGACCTGTGAACGGGTTGGGGGCCTCCTTTGGGCTTGTTTTATACAAAGGAAAGTAAGTCAAACTGCATCCTAGCTCTGTCTTGCAGGCCCTGCAGAAAGATGTCAAATCCCACAGGGCCCTGGTCTCTTGTGGGAGAGCGTTCCACCAGGCTGGGGCCACGGCTGAAAAGGCCCTGGCTCTAGTCGAGGCCAGTCTAATTTCCCTGGGGCCCGGGATCTTCAAGGTGGTGTTGTTAGCAGACCGTAAGGTCCTCTGTGGGGCATACCAGAAGAAGGCTTTTGCTTCCTTCTTAGCTTATTCAGAGTTCCCCCAATTTGGATGTAATGAGAAACTCTCAATTGGTTTTAAGAGCAGGTGCCTTGTTCTGCTACTGCTTGGGCCCATAACAATCATGGTTTGGCACAACACCTGCTCTGGGCCTGCCAGTCTCTGGAATCTCAGATTCTGAATTACAGTGCTTGGCGCCTCTCATTAGTTCATAGACTGCTCTGAAACATAGTATTCAGCAATAGGATTAAATAGGTGCAGGTTGATCCCACCAAACATTTTTTCAAATGCTTGTCTGTTCTTCACAGACCTGTTCCCAGCAAGCTTTTGTCATTCCAGTTGGAATAGAATTAAAGAGGCACTTTCCTAAAGATGATTTAAATTGAACTATGGTTGTCCTGCTCAGGTACAGAAGTATTAAGATGTCTGTTGTCTCTCATAAAATTGGTTCTACCTTTCTGCCCAGTGGTTGCATTCCCAGTGTCAATTTGGAGTAAGCCCTCTGGGGTTAAAAGAAATGCTTAACGCAGGGAGTGGGGCTTAAGTACATAAATAATATGGCAACAGTTGCAGAAACATCTCTGGCTATCTGAGATGATGGAGAGCTGTAACCAGTTTTCCAAAATGATGAAAACTGAAGAAATTCTATAAGCCTATGACTTTGCAGGAAGCAAAGATGGACATGGTCTCATGCCTTAGAAAACGTGTCTCCTTGGGATCCAAATCACTGTGAGAAGCAATCAAGGATTGCTAAGGCTCCCGCTGTACTCTGACCTCGGGCATATCACAGACGTCCTGCTTGTGTCTGGCATTACCCCCCCCCCCAATTTCTCTTTCAGGATGGCGAAGACTTGATGGATGAAAGTGTGTTGAAATTCTACACTCAACAGTGGGAGGATTATAGGTTTTCAAGCAAAGTGCTGAATGGGATTTGTGCCTACCTCAATCGACACTGGGTTCGTCGTGAGTGCGATGAAGGCCGCAAGGGAATATATGAAATCTATTCAGTAAGTATTCCTAGAAGGTGGTAACTTTCAATGGAAAAGTATTTGTGGGATGTCTTGTTTGTTTTTAAATGGGTAGACACAAGAGCTTTGTGTAGCTTTGTTTCTACTGCGGCATCACAAAATGTTCATAGCAAGTTTTTTTTATTATGAATGCTCTACTGCTATGAAACATGAGCCATTAGCCTGTGGCAATCCACAAGTTTTTGGCCTCATCCCTGATCATTGGCCATTCTGGCTTGGACTGATAGGGCTGGAGTTCAGCAACTCCTGGAGGGTCACACTTCTGCTATAAAATAGAACCTGCACTACTGGCGTGAGAGGGCCAGTTATGCTCCTTGTCTTCTGGATCTCTCAGTGGCTGCATTTGAACATCATCGGGACCTGCTGTTGAATCTCTGGGTAATTTGCAGAGTTTCTGAATCTTGGCCATTCACTGATATGTGGCAGTAAAAGAGTCTTGTACTCTCTCAGAGAATAATAAATGCATTATGGCATAAGTTTTGTGCATGAAGTGCCTCCGAAATTAGGCTGGAGAAACAGAAAGCTTAAGGGAAAGACCACAATTGGTTTTTTCTGTGAAAGTGTAATTCACTGAAAACAAATTCCTGGACATTTTAGTAAGCATACATAGGATTGTACTACAAACTTATGCTCATTCCCTTTTCCTTCTCCTGCAGTTCACTATTTTGCACCTGATTGTAGGTGATAGAACATCGGGTTCTAATTAAAAACAAAGAAACCCCACATTCCAGCAAGCCTGCAGTCTGTCCAGTCTTGCCCTAAGGCAGAGGTGTTGCTCAGTAAGTCCACTTAGCAGGCAGCCTCCATGCAGTTTTACAGGGCTTGGGAATCCCTTGAAAGACAATGTTCATTAGAAAATGTTTATTGAAAGAAGAAAGTTCTGAAAAGCACAGTGTGTTTGTGCTGTAGACCACAAACTTCTATTTTCTTCTGTTAAATCCTAGCTTGCCCTTGTCACCTGGAGGGACTGTTTGTTCAGGCCATTAAATAAGCAGGTATGTATTTGCAGTGATTCCTATATTTTCTTATAAGGTTTGCCTTAATTATTTATAGGACTAATGAATTGTTTATAGGACTAAAAGTATAAATATATATCCATATTCTTTAAGTAAAAGTTATAACCTGTCAAATAAGTCAGTATCCTGCCCAGAAAAGACATACTGTATTTTTCGCTCTGTAAAACACACTTTTCCCCTCCTAAAAAGTAAGGGGAAATACATGTGCGTCTTATGGAGCGAATGCAGGCTGCGAGGCTATCCCAGAAGCCAGAACAGTGAAAGGGAGTGCTGTGCAGCACTCCCTCTCGCTGTTCTAGCTTCTGCCTTAGCGGGGAGCCTTCATCCCGCTGCCCTGTGGAGGCTTCGCGGGCTATCCCAGAAGCCAGAACAGCAAGAGGGAGCGCTGCGCAGCTCTCATTTAAATCTTTAATAAAAAAAAATTGGTCTGCTGAAAAGTAGTTTATCATTATGCATATAGTTAATAGCTGCCTTAAACAGTAGTTAATCACATTTGATTGTACATAAGTATTCTGTGTTATTAATAGCATACAGTACAGTGGTACCTCGGGTTACGTACGCTTCAGGTTAAAGACTCCGCTAACCCAGAAATAGTGCTTCAGGTTAAGAACTTTGCTTCAGGATGAGAACAGAAATCGTGCTCCGGCGGCGTGGCAGCAGCAGGAGGCCCCATTAGCTAAAGTGGTGCTTCAGGTTAGGAATAGTTTCATGTTAAGTACGGACCTCTGGAACAAATTAAGTACTTAACTAGAGGTACCACTGTAATGTTATATAAGTTCATAGTTCTAACTATAATGTTTTAAAAACAAAAGAAATATGTTTTATACCAGAGGCATCTTGATAGCTCCTGATAACAGCATACTTTGGAAATGCATTTTTAATCATTTTACTTTTCAGTCCTTATATCCCTATAGGAAACTGTTAGAATGAAAGGGCTGAAATGGGTCAACCTGGGAAGGGGGCATTGCCATGGAACTGGTCTCCCCGAAGCCCTACCACTGTTCTCAGGGGAGTAGAGGTTGGTGTAGAGGTGGGAGACCAGATTGACCCCACTGCTGTGCTTGCACCACACTGGACCTTCCCCATCTCCCAGTAAGCCCCGTAAGCATGGCTGATGGGAGGCCAGTGTTTGGTGATGTCCTTCCCCAGCAGCCACTTGAGTCACATGCCATCTACCTGGAGGCAGAATGCTTCTGAAGACTGGATAGTTACACATGATTCAAGAGAGCTAAACATGCTCCAGAGGAAAACAATTAAAATGAAAATAATTAATATTCACCTTTGATTTTGAACTATAAGGATTTTTGGGTGACCCTAAGCTTTCAAATGTATGCATTGGTGCTTTGTGTAATTGGTTTAAATAACTAGTTTGTCTTCACTTTATTTCCTTTTTTAAGGTAACAAATGCTGTGCTGAAGCTGATTGAAAAGGAAAGAAATGGTGAAACAATCAATACAAGACTGATCAGTGGAGTTGTGCAGTCTTATGGTAAAATATTTTTTATTGGTAACTTCTCCATGCCAGACCTGTACAACTCCCAACTATTTGCAACCCTGTGGATGAATTTGAAATCTCCCTTATTTGCAGTCCTTTTCCTACCCCATGCCTGGTGTGTTGTAGAGTTAGCAGAATATCAGCTGCTTCAGCTAATCAGTTAAGTTGCATAGCCTCGTGTTTAAGACTTGCAACAACAAACTGTATGACACAATCTGGGTCTAATGCCTGCTTCGTCATGAAGTTCAATATACCTGCCTACTCTCCGTGTGTAAATAGTTGGGAGAGTGAAAGCTTTATATGTTGCTTATATTGAATGCCCTTTTTATAATGCCCTTAGAAACAATTACATCCACCCATTGTTAAGATGGCAGAAGGGAAGAACATCTCTTACAAAGACCTGTTTTTTGTTGTCTGATATAGAGAGGTATATATCCTTTAGAACATCCAGATTTCTTGCCAAGACTTTACAGATTCGTGTAATAAAACTTAAAGGGGGGATGGGAAATGATTTTTTGTGTAAAAGTCAGGGAGTAGAAATGTAAACCACTATTGTTAGCTGTATTCTTCTTATTTTTATGTGTGTAATGGCTGCTTGCTAAACACAGTACAGTGGTACCTTGGTTTAAGAACACCTTAGTTTAAGAACAACTTGGATTAAGAACGCTGCAAACCCGGAAGTAGGTGTTTTGGTTTGTGAACTTTGCCTTGGAAGCAGAACATGTTTTGCTTCCTGTTGAGTGTGTTCCATTTGTAAATTGAGTTAAATTTGTAAACCAAGGTACCACTGTAAATCACACAATGATCGATCAAAGAGTATAAAACAGCAGGGGAGAGAGGTAGGAATAGAGCAATAGAGAATTGAAGACTGAAGGAAGAAAAAGTCTGCAATCCTAACCCCACCAATTGGGGAGTAAGCACTGAATTCAGTAGTACGTCTGAGTAGACGTGGCTAGGATTGTGCTGAAAGAAGGAATTGGAGCAAAAGTTACGCACTTCTGCGCTAAGTCTTGTGGACACCTTCAACTATGATGTGGAAGACAGAGCTCGCTTCAGATGTAGAAGCAAGAGACTTGAGCACTATGAAGGTATGTGGCAGTGAAAAGCCTTTTCAGGAAGCCACTTTTGCCTAATAAACAATGTTGTTTTGGGGGAAAATATGTTGTGATGCAGCTGCCACAAATGAAAACTACTTTGTCTAAATGTTTCCTTTAAGGTTGCTGTCCTAGGGCGCTCCTATCTATGAGTAAATCTTTTTAATCTTGGTTGGGATTTTGCTCCAAGTCACAGATAGGGAACTTCAGTCTGTGGATCAAATGTAGCACTCCAGGCTTCTGCAGTTTGAAGGAGAGGTATGGGGGGGGGTTTGGTAGGAGCTCACCTTACTCTGAGTTTTCAGACACTTCCTCTGCATTTCTTCTTCAAACCCTTGTGGGGGTTTAAACAGAAGCACAAGGGGGCATTTGAAAGCCTTGTGGTTTGCTTTGAAGTCCCAGTGTTGGGGGCTAGAAAGAGAAGCATCCCCTGACATCACTGTGTCAGGAGCTGGCAAGATTAAGATGTGGCTTCGTGGCCAGAAAAGGTTCACAATCCATGTTCTTGGGCTGCAGTTACTGAAATAATAGTTTTGTCTGCAGTTCTAACAGCTTGAATTTAAAAGAGAAAATATTTACCATTTTGAACTTTTAAAAAACACCTCTGCAAACAAAACAAAATTATTAGAATTTATAGCCATGGCGATATGCTATGCTGTGAGACTGGCTTGAACTGCAGAAGCGTGCAATCTTGTAATTTTATGTGCAGGTTCTTCATCCCACTTTCAGCATTCTTAGATAAAGTTGATGGAATCTTTCTGAATGGATTGATAATTTTGCAGTTCATTAGGCATAGGTACAAACATAGAACCTTTCCTATTCAGCAGAATAACTGTATGATTTATTTATTTGCTTTGTCCCTATGTTTCTAGTGGAGCTAGGTCTGAATGAAGATGATACTTTTGCTAAGGGCCCTACACTGACAGTGTATAAGGAGTCCTTTGAGTCTCAGTTTCTTGCTGACACAGAGAGGTTCTACACAAGAGAGAGCACTGAATTTTTGCAACAGAATCCAGTTACAGAATACATGAAAAAAGTAAGTGCACTTGCAGTACTTGCTGCCTAGATCTTGAAACTGCTTATGGAATTAGAAGTAATAGGATTGTTTTTGCATGGTAGAGGTTCGAGGGGTTACTTAGTTCTAGTCAAGCTGAATCCCTCATCTTCTTTTCATAATTCCTGTAGTTTAGGTTTTGTTTGTATAAAATTCCTCCTCTTCGTTTGTCAGCTGGTCTAACGTTAATATAGAATGTTCATATTCTAAGTTGGGGGTGCTTTCCAGTCTGGAGCTGGCGCTACAACCAGCTCCGAATCTTGCCTGATCCTGTCCAGCTCAGCCATGGGGGGCTTTCTGCCTGTCTGTTGTCAGGCGGAATGGCAAGCACTCTGCAGGTGGCAAGATGCCAGTGGATGCCAGAAGGCCTGCCTGATCCAACCTATGCCCCCCCCCCAAAAAAAGTTGATACAAAGGAGGGTTGGATTGCTCTGTTAGCCATCTTTCTACTAAAACCTTTCTTTAAAAAAGAGCATCCTTCTGCTATTTTTCTGGCACTCTGACAAGAGCAGCTCACAGGCTCCTCTCTTGAGTTCTCACTTCAACCACAGTTTGGAGAAGATAAAAAATAACAGGAACCACCGCTGCTGTTCTTACCTTATCCATATCCCACTGCAAATGCAATAAATCTCTGCCCCTTCGCGCTGCCTATTTTGCACATGTCAGAGGGATTCAGGAAAAGGAAAGTGGTTTGTGGTAGAGGCTGACTGTCAGCCAAGCCAGTACTTGCATAACCCCTGATGATCCAAATAAGTGTATGGAGGTGACACATAACTCAATGGCACAGTTTGTGCTTTGTGGATTCTTAGGTTATCGGGTTCCCCAGCCATTATTTCATACCCACACCCACCTGTTTTGTATTTATTCCTTTTTATATGCCACCTTGGGGTTCTTTTGGGATGAAGGGCAGCTTAGAAATATAATCGATAACAGCAATAATAATTCCTGAGATTTGTTGAAAACTGATTCCATTTCAACAGTATTGAGCTAGATAGATCAGTGATCTGAGTCTAAGGTAGGTCCATATACGTGCCACTGGGAAAGGGTTTGAAAACTTGTTCTTAATATGCTTCTTCAAATATGAATTCATAACATTTCATCATAGAAATAGCAGCAAAACCACTTGCGACTTCTTGCGACTTGGACGTTAGGACCATTTCAGACTTTGCTTATTTGCAGGCTGAAGCCCGCCTCCTGGAGGAGCAGCGGAGGGTTCAGGTGTATCTCCACGAGAGCACGCAAGATGAGCTGGCTCGGAAATGTGAACAAGTACTGATTGAAAAACACTTGGAGATATTTCATACAGAATTTCAGAACCTGTTGGATGCTGACAAAAATGAAGGTTAGCATTCTCAACTTGACTTCTAGACATTTATGAGTAATGTGAAGAATGTGATAGACCTTTGCCCAGGGTGGCTTCCTCTACTTAAAATTTACATAAAATTGGGTGTGGGGGAGAAGAACAAATTTAAAAATACTTGATTTGTAATTTTTCAAAGAATTACAATGCATAGGAATGTATTTTTGCCATATGAAAAATCTACTTTCAATTTCTGTGATTAATAGCTTTTAAAATTAAATGACAAGGATTTTAAGGTGACCATCACTTGCATTAGTAGACAAATTCAGTTTGGCCTAGTTATAAATACTGCCAGATGCTAAGCATAGGAAAATGGGTTAAAATATGCAAATTTTGTTGTTGTTGTTTAGTCATTTATTCGTGTCCGACTCTTCGTGACACGACTTCCCGGAGCAGGAACCGGCAAGCCACTCCAGTATCCCTGCCAAGAAAACTCCATGGACAAAGACAACAGGCATATAAAAATATGCAAATAGGGGAATTTTTGTGTGTGTGGTATAGGACATTAGTTTCATGGGTCTGATTGAAAACTTCAGTATTCGTTAGACATAATGGACTTTCCAGGCTGTTTAAAAGCCATTGTAATAAAAATGTTTACCTAAAAGTGTTATTTATGGCTTGGCCTGAAAGAATTGTCAAGACACTTTCTATAGGATGGGTTTTAGGTCTCCTGCTATGTCACCAGATGTCAGTGATGGTGTGGTGGAAAAGTTTCTGATGCAGAATTCTTCAGCAGAATTTTTTGCAGTTGTTCAAAACCACATTTTCCCATAAAATTAATCAGTGAGTGGATATAGTTTAGGGTAACAAATTTAAAACAGATGCCATTTTCATTTTACATTAATTTATTTATATTTTAGGTTTTTCCCGTAGCCAAAATTAGTTGAACTGAAATATGTGTTTAGGATAAAATTCAGTAAATGCACTTAGTGTAGTATAGATTTTCATGCAAAGAATAAAAAAACTTATTTTTATTTGACTATTTCTGAACATTTTTAGACATGACAGAATAATTTAAATTTTCAAGATGAAAATTAAGGCACTGTAAACCATTAACATTAACCATTGACGGCGTTCCGTGTGCTGCGCTGGCTCGCCAGATGCAGCTTGTCACGCCGGCCACGTGACCTGGAAGTGTCTGCGGACAGCGCTGGCTCCCGGCCTATAGAGTGAGATGAGCGCACAACCCTAGAGTCTGGCAAGACTGGCCCGTACGGGCAGGGGTACCTTTACCTTTTACTTTAAACCATTAACATGTTTTTCATACTAAAAACTAACACACAATAAAGTTTGTTTCTGAGGGATAGTCACCTGAAAAGTTTCTTATGTTTGATTTTAGATTTGAATGGTATTGTATATTTTGTAGTCGCCTAGTTTGACTTGTGTTATATCCACTCATTATACTGCAAATAAATTTTATGAAACCAATGCGTATTACCTCTGAAAGCTTTCCCCACAACTTCACTGGTTTTGAGCAATTTAAAACTGAGTCCACTGTGTTTGTGCGGAGCAGTACTGAGCCTTATTCAGTAACCAAGTATTGTCCTATTTTTGTAGAACATCAAGCAAGTGTAAACATGTAATAGTTACCCATAAAAGGATGAATAAATTTAATGTGGGGTTAGAGAATTTAGTCATTTGCCTTGCAACAGTGGTGGTTTGATTTTTAAAAACTACAAAGTTTATATCCCTCAAAATCAACTTTTTCCTAAAAATGTTTTTTGATTGCTAGCTCTAGATCTCCTGAAGGATTTTTGGTTGGCAGACATTTCTTTCACTTACCTGCCCAGTTATAGGTGCCTTAAATTTATCAGGATTCCGCTATTGAGAGGGGAACCCTTAACCTCAGTGAAGCTGTTCTGTGGAGCACCACTCGTGTCATTCATCATCAAGTTAAAACTCAATGTCCTATTTTGTCCTGCTTATTCATGATTTTGGATAACATTGACAATAGTTAAATTTAAGCGTTAAGGTTTTAAAGTTTTCCTGCTCTGGAATTACGATGGTTTAGATGGTTCTGATATGTTTGCAAATGTATTTCTTGTTTCCTGAGCAGTTCTCAGATGCAGAACTGACGTTTGTACAACTGAAAGGATCTGTTTCCTCTTTTCCAGACTTGGGGCGCATGTACAGCCTTGTGTCTCGAATCCAAGATGGCCTTGGGGAGCTCAAAAGACTTTTGGAAACACACATCCACAGCCAGGGTCTCTCTGCCATTGAAAAGTGTGGAGAAGCTGCTCTTAATGCAAGTATTTCTTCCAAAGGAACTTTGATATCTTGAATCTGGGCACATTGCCCCAGATTCACCATAGGTTTGATAAGGAGTTGAAAGAGCAAGAGACAGACCAACTGCAGTGTAAGAATTACTAGACTTTTCCTGCAGGGTCAGGAATATCTACAGGGACTTCAAACATTGCTGATTCAGGACTGGGTCTGTAATAGGCGGTGACAGTATACGCAAGCAGAGAGTTACGGCTGGGGCTGGTGGGTGCCCCGTGACCTCTCAATCTGTAGCCTCGTGCTGTGATACAAACTGAGCTAAAGAGAAATGATGGCTTCAAAATATGGCATTAAAAAGCTTGAATGCATCTCTGCCGGATAATAGACTGGTGCTCTCACCTCATCTAACCTTGGGTATTTTTTCTTGATAAGAAAGGGGGCCATTGTATGTGAGATCCTGAGCTGCTTGGCCAGTGAACTTGCCCTAAGTAGACAAGTGACTTGTTGAAGATATCCTGGTCTCTTGTGGCTATAAGCATCTTATTTTCAATTACTGCTTTAGTCGCGGACGTAGAGCTTCCTGAATTCTGCCTCAACTCTCTTGTGAAGTTTTTGTCAGTCAGGAGGACTACTCATTATTTGATTCACATTTTACAATCATATTTGATATTATAGGGTCCAGGGGTGTTAAGCTTTCTCCAAGGTGAGCTTGCATTGTGGTGAAGTAATTAAAGGATTTTCTGTCGGAAGAAATGATGAGGTGTTCAGTGTAGTATGTTTTTCTGAAACTTAACACTCAATCAAGTTCTGCTTTTGAAATGTCTTTATTGTTTGTCAGTTGTTTAAGTGCTGAAAATGTTGCCTTAAAATCTGTAGCTGTGAGAATTCTGAAATAGGGCAATTTTGTCATCTCCCTCTCTAATTTCTAGGATCCCAAAATGTATGTACAGACTGTGTTGGATGTCCATAAGAAATACAATGCACTGGTCATGTCTGCTTTCAACAATGATGCTGGCTTTGTGGCTGCTCTAGACAAGGTAAATGGACTTAAACTTTGTAGTTGTCCTTGATAATTACTCATTTTGAGGATGTCTGCAAGTTTAACTTCTTTGTGTGTATCACAGGCTTGTGGTCGATTTATAAATAACAATGCAGTAACAAAAATGGCCCAGTCATCCAGTAAATCCCCAGAGCTGTTGGCACGGTATTGTGACTCTCTGCTCAAGAAAAGGTATGTGTTCCATGGGGAACTCTGTGACTTCTGCAAGTTAGTAGTAGACTAGAGTTGTTCACACACCATTCATGAAATGAAATGAAATTCCATTCTAACTGTTGATCAAGGAGTCTTGTGCACACTTCTAATCTTTACCTGTAGCTGGGAAAACTTATTTGTAGGTTTCAGTCTGGTTATTCCTACATGTTAACCTTCTTTAATCCCTTACACACAGAAAAATTCTGTCAGAAATGCTCAGCTACATTACCTTTCTGGGGCCCCTCTTTGACTCAGGATTTTCCACAGGGAGAGACTGAAACTGTGTACTCTTTAATGAGGATGCAGTCTTCCAGGATTAAGAAAAATCTAGCACTAAAATATCTGCAGGATTTCCTGGTTCATTCATTCATGACTCACAGCAGTAAAAGAGGGTAGGTAAGGGAGCAGCAGTTCAGTGAGAGATCAGTGTCCAGTCTGTCTCGGGGAGACTAACATTCCTGTTGGTATAATGCTTGGGAACGGTTAGATCAGGGGTCAGCAAAATTTTTCAGCAGGGGGCCAGTCCACTGTCCCTCAGACCTTGTGGGGGGCCGGACTATATTGGGGGGGGGGAATGAAATAAAAGCACACATTCTACTCATGTAAAAACATGCTGATTCCCAGCCCGTCCATGGGCCAGATTTAGAAGGCGATTGGGCCGGATCCGGGCCCCGGGCCTTAGTTTACCCATGGGTTAAGGTAAAGGTAAAGGGACTCTTGACCATTAGGTCCAGTCGTGGCCGACTCGGGGGTTGCAGCGCTCATCTTGCTTTATTGGCTGAGGGAGCCGGCGTACAGCTCAGCATGGTCATGTGGCCAGCATGACTAAGCCGCTTCTGGCGAACCAGAGCAGCGCACGGAAACACCGTTTACCTTCCCGCCGGAGCGGTACCTATTTATCTACTTGCACTTTGGCGTGCTTTCGAACTGCTAGGTTGGCAGGAGCAGGGACCAAGCAACAGGAGCTCACCCGTCGCGGGGATTCGAACCGCCGACCTTCTGATCAGCAAGTCCTAGGCTCTGTGGTTTAACCCACAGCGCCACCTGCATCCCATGGGTTAGATGCTGCTTAATTGTTGTAAACTGCTGCCTTTTGGAGAGCTTTATTGCTGCAACTAAGCTGTGCATATCCTGAGCTTGTTGTACTGGAAAGTAAAGGAGATTTTATGAATTGCAAATGGTAAGCATGTTGAACTGTAACAAAAATGATGCCCTTTTTACCACAGCTCAAAGAATCCAGAGGAAGCCGAGCTTGAAGACACACTCAATCAAGTGGTAAGGTTCTTACTCTAAGCTATATTCTGCATTCAAATAATTCTTTTTGCAGACTGCTTTAGAATGAAAATTGAATGAAGATTGAGAGAATTGTGGAAAAAAACTTATCAGCATCTGTGCATATGTTTTAAACTATTTGTTACAGCCCTTAAAAATAATTAAAGTGAACATTGGTTTGTGTATGCTTACATTTATGTAAATTTATATTGTGCTACATGTTCTGAAAGATTTGAAATGTTTGAAATCTTAAATGTTTTTAAAAGTGTTATAATATTTTAGTGAGCTGAAAGTTGAGATTTTTTTGAATACTTTTGAATTGTTTGCATTTAGAAAATAATGCTAAGAATACATGCTTTTTCCAGATGGTTGTCTTTAAGTATATTGAAGACAAAGACGTATTTCAAAAATTCTATGCCAAAATGTTGGCAAAACGGCTTGTGCACCAGAACAGTGCTAGTGATGATGCTGAGGCAAGCATGATCTCCAAATTGAAGGTGAGTTGTGTTTGGGCCTCTCCCTCACCACCTTCCTTTCCAGGATTACACTGCAAAGCAGCCCCTCCAGAATGTGCTAGAATACAGTTTCCATCACCCTGACTGTCAGCTATGCTGGTGGAAGACAAATAAGGCTCCCCACCCCCACAGTAAAAGAATCCCAAGAAAAATACATAAGCATGCTGGTTGGATTTTCTCTTTTTTATGTACTGGGGTTCTTACATACTTCCTTTACTAGAGTTAGATGGCTGTAGAATAGTAATCAGCCTCCAAACGGCTCACCAAACTTTCTTAGTGAATGTTGCTGAAGCATCTATAGGCCAAAAGAGCCTCTACAAATTCTGTCACACAGCGACTCCTGGTGATTCGTTTGTGTGGCTGTGGCACACAAGCTGGCTGTCAGTGGCTGGGAAGAGCCTGCTCAGTGGCTGCCAGCCCGGGGTCTTAGTTTGGGGGTTATTCAGGATAATTAAGCAGCATAAGAACCATGAAGCTCTTAGGTATAGTATCAAATTCAATATGTCAGTGCTGACTGGTGTCTGCAGTCTCAAGTCAGAGATATTTTCCAGCCCTGCCATTTGGGGTTTTTTTTTAAAGACCTTCTACATGTGAAGCCCGTTCTCTGCCACTGAGCTATGACATCCCAAGTAAGCTCACAAAAGTGACAGTCTGGGCTTTTCTCAATTGTCTACATGCCTGTGAAAAACAATAGCGAGTGAGGTGAAGCAACAATCCAACTTTCCCATTAGGTTTGCCTTTGAGGAACCCATTTTAGCCCAGTGACTGGTAGGGTCAAATTAACAAGAGGGGGGATCATAACACTTGTGTGTCTGTCTTCTGCAACTTGAGGTAGACCTCAACCATGACAAGTTACAAATTTATTGCTGTGTGGTTGCTCTTTCTGTTGGCTTTGCTGTGTTCTGGTTCTGCTCAGCTAGGGCTGCCTTATGTCTGGAATTTCCGCCTTTTTAAATAGGTGTGTTTTGTTGTTGGTAGTTTCTACTATTGGATAATTTTGGAAACTGGGTCCTGCTGTAAGATGTGTGGGTCTTTTCTTCTCTCTCATAAACTGTTCTGTGGTTAATTACAGCAAGCTTGTGGCTTTGAGTACACCTCAAAGCTTCAGAGGATGTTCCAAGATATTGGTGTAAGCAAAGACTTGAATGAACAGTTTAAAAAGCACCTGTCCAATTCGGAGCCATTGGATTGTAAGTTAATCTAACTATTTGTTTTAAAACCTGAATGGTTGAGTAGCCAATTTCTTTTTTTTTTATGTGATGAAAGTGAACAATTGATGAAGAAATGACAATTCTTGCTCTCAAGAATAAGCAAGTGGTAAAATGTGTTTGAGTCGAGCAAAGTGTCTCGTGCCAGTGGTGTCGGTCGTCTTGTAGGTTTGGTTAACTCAAAAGTGCATTGGACATACTATTTGTGCAACTGGCTCATATTTGGTCTAATTTGGCAAGAGCCACTGTAATTCAAAATGTGATCTATTAGACCCTAAGTTTTAAATATAAGCCTATTTAATCTTCCCCAATACATTTTATTTGAAAGAACAGAAAGCTCTGTTTTTATATATTCAGTATATAAATACTGAAAGAAAGAGTGTATATGTGTTTTCCTTTTTTCTCTTCCAGTGGACTTTAGCATACAGGTTCTGAGCTCTGGATCGTGGCCCTTCCAAATGTCTTGTGCATTTGCTCTCCCCTCAGAGGTGGGTGCATTAGTGTTTTAAGCTTGCATTTCCATTTACATGAGAGTTGTAATCTGTGGGACGAATGAATGAATGAATGAAGCCAAGGTGCTTTGTGCAATTTATAAAGGTGGCTTCCCTGCCTCCCACATCTATGAGGTGTACAGTTCATTGAGCACTTACTATAATGTGTTCAGTCTGGATGAGAGCCATCTGTAAATTGCTCCTTAACCACTTGAAATGGTGGGGTATTAGTGGGTGGCTGTCACAGATGTAAAGCAGACCAAGAATCATAGAGTGGTAGAGTCAGAAGGGACTTCCAGAGTCATCTAGTCCAACTCCCTGCAGTGCAGGAATCACAACACCCCAGAGACGTCTGGTGAAACACATTTAACCGTGATGGCGTATGGTCAGATTTTACAGTGAATTACTGTTCCAACCTCTCCACTTCATTTCGAGAACAGTCCAGTTTCAGCATGCTTTCTGTACTAGGCAGCACTTGAATCTCTGCAGTCAAAAGAAAAGGAACTCTTGCCTTCTGTCTGTATTCTTGCTTTTGGACTGCCTTCCTCAATAAGAGCCAGGCAGTTCTTGCAGAATTGCTGGTGGATATTCATTCCACCACAGTATTCACAGTAGGGGGGAGTGGAAGAGGATGTTGGGAGGAGTCAAAGTGAGCAACTGGCTGGAGAGTGTAGCTGTAAGGGAGGTGGATGAAACTATATTTTAAATAGGATGCTATTCTGAAACCTAAGATACCCTTTTTATTACGGTCAGTGACATAAACTGGGCAGTTATGTTAGATCAGGAATCTGGAACTATAGTAACCCTGTGTAAAGAAGGCATATTCTGAATGTAATTAGGTCCCTTAATTAAACTAGTGTATTTATTTGGAACTGTCTGTCTTCTGGTCTGGGTGGATTCTAAGGGGACTCTCTTTCCAACTGTCTGGGTTAGCTGTAATGGAAAAAAAATATAAAAGGAGAATTCTCTTGCTCTCTTAAGTCAGTGGCTAATGGCAGCAGGTATTTTGAGGGAAGTCTGAACTCAGCGGGGCAGTTGAGGTACTGACCTTAGTGACCTCCGGGCGATAAGCCCTTGTTGGGAACCCAGGGAACATCATAAGGGCTTTTTCTGTTATAGTGCAGGAGCTTCCTGCAAATTGTTTCAATTCTATTACATGCATATTGCAAATGCCCTTTAGTTTTTCAATGAAGACAAGCTGATAAAAGGTCTAATCTGATTTTAAAACTAGGTTGGTAAAATAAGGCTGAAAACGTGACATTTACATGGCTGTGTTTTTGCTTTGCTTTGCAATATGTAGCTGGAGCGCAGTTACCAGAGATTTACTGCTTTTTACGCTAGTCGCCATAGTGGAAGAAAACTGACATGGTTGTATCAGCTCTCCAAAGGGGAACTGGTTACCAATTGCTTCAAAAACAGATACACTTTACAGGTAAGGTGCACCCTTGTGCTGTTGATACGAAGGTTCTACAAGTATCAGTAACTGAGTATAGAGTTCGTAGGATCATAGGATTGTAGAGTTGGAAGGGACCCCAGGGTCATCTAGTCCAACCCCCTGCAATGCAGGAATCTCAGCCAAAGCATCCAGGACAGATGGCCACGCAACCTCTGCTTAAAAACCTCCAAGGGAGGAGAGTCCACTAGCTCTTGTGAGAGTCAGTTCCACAAATTTAGAAATCTGTACTTGACTGCTGCTCTTAGAGTTACGTTTGCATATGGAGAGCAGCTTGCGGAAGCTGCTTTATCTCCCAGAATAAGGAAGTATACAGGCTGGAGTGAGGTTTGGTTTGGTGCAAAGGAGTGAGACACAGGAGCTGCAGCTCTCCCCAGATTCATTTTTATGCTGCCCATTAATGGTTTAAATAGCTACTTTCTTCTCCCTCCCCTGCATCATTCTCACTCTATAAGGCTCTTGGCCGGCTCTCGATAGCAAAGTCCTGAGCATACACACGCACCCGTGCACCGATTTTAGAGGAGTCCTTGGCGAAGGGTGCTCTGTAAAGCCAAAATAGCTAACACTTCCAGTTGGCTCATTTGAATTCATTTGTTTGATAAAAGCAGGCATGTCCAAAGTCTGTTTCGGGGGCCTAATCTAGCCCCTGTGGCAGTTTATTTCCTGTGGCAAAATCCTAAAAAAAGCTCAACAACTTTGGCATGTTCACTTCATCAAATCTGTCCCTCTTTGAAAAAAGTTTGGATGCCCTTAGAAAGGGACTGAAACGCAGACGAGCTCTTCTGTTCATTTGTCTGCTTTGTGTCCTGAGGCTCTTGGTGGGGAGAAAGTCTTTTGGAACATTTCATGAATAGGCTTTTATTCATAATCCAGATTTTTAAAAATGATCAGTACCTAGGAGGAAGGGGTTTTTAAAAATAAGAATTTGTACAAAAAGCAGAACAGCTGAGTCTAGGAGAACAGGTTTGTTCTAGAGTTTGCTTTGCTTTTTGTATGAAGCAGTAAAATCATTTCTGAGTTGCTTAAATTTGGATTTTATTTCAAAAAGAACATTTGTCCCATTTTTTCCTTGAAGGCATCTACATTCCAAATGGCAATCTTGCTGCAATATAACACAGAAGATGCCTACACTGTTCAACAACTGACAGACAGTACTCAGATAAAAATGGTAAGCGTTTGTTACGTTCACAGTAGGTTTCCTAAGCATTTGTTTTTGCTGAAGGCCTCTGGAAACCCAACAATATCCTTGCTTTTATTGCACTCTTGGAGGCTTTTTTTTATTCCAAAATTTAGATCTTGACAATTTCGTCTTTCATTTTAAAAAGAAAGCAGGCTTCCTAGCTCTGATGACTAATGGCAGGCTAGAAAGACATTAATATGGTGAAACCTTCAAAGCCATAAAAGGGTTCTTGTTGGATTTGGTTGAGGGAGGTAGAGCTGGAGCGCCCTGGATAATAAACTCTTTGACCTTTCCCATATCTAGTAGAAGTGAAGTAAAATACTTAATCTGCACTATTCCACTTTTGTGGAATTTTATATTGTTCATTTCATATCTGGCCCTTCTTAGAATCATAGAATTAAAGAGTTGGAAGAGACCACAAGGGCCATTGAGTCCAACCCCCTGCAAAGCAGGAAACACCATCAGAGCACTCCTGACATATGGTTGTCAAGCCTCTGCTTAAAGACCTCCAAAGAAGGAGACTCCACCACACTCCTTGGCAGCAAATTCCACTGTTGAACAGCTCTTACTGTCAGGAAGTTCTTCCTAATGTTTAGGTGGAATCTTCTTTCTTGTAGTTTGGATCCATTGCTCCGTGACCGCTTCTCTGGAGCAGGTGTTCTTCACAGTGCAGAGCCCAGGATGGCATTTTGCTTTTCTTAATTTTGTCTTTCTTTAGGGTATAATATTTGAGGGAGGGGAAACCTAACACACTAACGCACCTATGCGGTTGCAGAGAAGCACTCTGCTTTCTTCCCCATCAGCTGCAAAATAAGTATGTGTGCGCCTAACTATAAATGGAATGAAGGACTAATATTTCCCCCTTCCCTTTGTCTTTTAGGATATTTTGGGACAAGTTCTACAGATTTTGCTAAAGTCAAAGTTGCTGGTAAGTCTTCTTGATTTGCTGGGGTAGGATGTGAGAGAAATGATTTGTTGACAACTTTTTCCTGCATTGTTTCTTTTGTTTGTAGGTGTTGGAAGATGAAAATGCAAATGTCGACGAGGTGGAGTTGAAGCCAGATACCTTAATAAAACTTTATCTTGGTTACAAAAAGTAAGGCAGATCAACTAATATAAACCATTTATGCATAACCATAGAAGATTTCTTTCTTAGAACTGTGTAATTTGTTGCAGTATATTTTTAGAATTTGAAATGCTGTTTCACAATGACTGAATTTTGAAAGACCTTGTGAGCTCCCATTGTTCTGTCCCTGCTCCTGCCAACCTAGCAGTTCGAAAGCACGTCAAAGTGCAAGTAGATAAATAGGTACCACTCTGGCAGGAAGGTAAACGGCGTTTCTGTGCATTGCTCTGGTTCACCAGAAGTGGCTTAGTCATGTTGGCCACATGACCCGGAAAAACTGTCTGCGGACAAATGGCCAGTAAAGCGAGATCAGCGCCGCAACCCCAGAGTCCACGATTGGGCTTAACTGTCAGGGGTCCTTTACCTTTACAAATTTAATAAATAATAATAATAAAATTAATGATTGGGGTAAAAAGCCTTTTGAATCTGCCATAAGGTGGATTAGTGCTTCTGGCAAATGCTACTTGTTGGAAGAATAGTGATTGCTGCTGCTGCTATTATTATTATTATTATTAGGTAAAGGTACCCCTGCCCGTATGGGCCAGTCGTGTCTGACTCTGGGGTTGCGCGCCCATCTCGCTTAAGAGGCCGGGGGGCAGCGCTGTCCGAAGACACTTCCGGGTCACGTGGCCAGCGTGACAAGCTGCATCTGGCGAGCCAGCGCAGCACACGGAAACGCCGTTTACCTTCCCGCTAGTAAGCGGTCCCTATTTATCTACTTGCACCCGGGGGTGCTTTCGAACTGCTAGGTTGGCAGGCGCTGGGACTGAGCAACGGGAGCGCACCCCGCCGCGGGGATTCAAACCGCCGACCTGATGACCGGCAAGTCCTAGGCGCTGAGGTTTTAACCCACAGTGCCACCCGCGTCCCTGATTATTATTATACATTAATAATTTGATTTGTTACCTGCCCTACACCCCAAGGTGCCCTGGGTACATGTGCCAGGCCACAACAACTCAAAGCACAGCATGAAAAACAGTTTGAAAGAAATTTCAGTGACAAAAGTAGAAGAGGTCCTAAACATATACACCTCAGGTATAGTTGCAGGAAATTGTTCAGCAAATGTGCTAGACACACCTCTGGGGAGAGAGTTCCACAACTTCACTGGGAATGCCCTCGTTTAGTCATATTTGAAAATAACTTGGATGTTAATATTGTGATTCTAAATGGTTGAGTTGGCGTTGTTTAAACAACAGAAGTTGGCTTGCAAGTAAGCATAAATGTAAGAAAGTGCATATATAGGAATATTTAAAGAATACAATTGGAACTATTGCATCTCCTTGGAAATGTCTTTATATCAGTTTTTTAAAATGAAAATGGGGGCAAAATAAACAAGCCGTCTTGAGGACTCAGAAGGGGGAAGGGAAATGCTCAGGAAAGAGCAGCGTCAATTGCATTGTCTCCCCTGCAGCCCCTTCCTGTCCCCAATTCCCAGCACATTTCCCCTGCCATTTAAAGTCTTATTGCAGCCTTCTACGTCATGAGAATGCAGGAGAAGTCCTGCTGTTTCCGTCCTAGGGGCCCATCCATGGTGTCCATCCATCCAGTTTCTCAGTCTACCAAAGTCCATGTCTTTGAGTGCCTTCCACAAGATGCTCCAGCTGCCCTGGGCAGAGGGCTGACACAGAACACGCTGGAGGGAGAGTCTGCCTTCTGCTTTGGCATGGGGCTGCCTTAGCACCTGCGAGAAGACCTTCTGGCATTCTCTTGCCCAGGAGCACCTAGGCAGGCAGTGGCCTGGGAGGTGGAGAGGGAGAATGAGTGGCTGAGGGAGGGAGGGAGCCTGTGTGCTGGGGAGGGGGGAGAGGCTGTGGCCACCCCCAGGATGCCTGCAGCCCTCAGCCAAAGGAGAACATTCCTCAATGCACCGAAGTGAAAAGTAAAAAGGCAAAGCCAGTAAGTGGAATAGGGCTCATACATTTTTTATCTAGTAAAATTTCCAGGCAGTTCTATAGTTGTTGTTTTTTTTTATCTGTGCGTTGTAAAGTTATTTATCTGCCTTTCTCCTGGCAGCAAAAAATTGCGAGTGAACATTAATGTGCCAATGAAGACTGAGCAGAAACAAGAACAGGAAGCTACACATAAGAATATAGAGGAAGACCGAAAACTACTAATCCAGGTGACTTGGAATAGGTAGCTCAGGAACTTGGACCATGTGCAGAAGTTCTGAATATTGCTGATCTTTATCTAGTGGGATTCTCTTTGTTCTCATGGGTGGCAGAATTATGAAATAATTTTGCTTTTAACAGAACTTACCTCTGCAATGGTTAATATTGGTGATTAGCAAAGTGAAATTACAGAAGACTCTTTTTGGAGGAGCCCCACAAGAGCTAAAGGGGCTTCATTCCCAGGATTGTAACACATTGGCCAGAGGTTTGTGTCAGAAGTGTACAGATTCATGGCTATAAGCAGAAAGGAAAACGCCAGAGTTGGGCCCATTGCTCCATCTCGCCCTGGTCTGTTCAGACAGGCTCTTGAAAACCTCCCATCTTTCCCAGGCCAGCTGCCTGAGGCCCTGGATTGAGCAGGGCCCTTTTGCACGCAGATGTCCCTTATAGAACTGTCCATGGGGCAGAAAGCAGTCCTGCAGGATTTAAATACCTTTTATAAAATGGTATACAATGCTCGTTAAAATGGCAATGAAAACATTTTAGAAACAGTAGACATCATAAAATGAATACCAAGAGTTTCTAAAGCAAATGTACATATAAAAGTACATGTCTGCTTCAGCTTATCTAAACAAACAAACAAAAAGGTTTTTTGAGGCAGTAGAATGGCGGCAGCACTTGCCCAGGTATTTTAGTGACTCCCACATTAACTTCCAGCTCTCCGTCCCAAAGGGCAGGTTCCTCCATGCAGCAGCCAGCGGGGAGGTCAGTCTCTTGACTAGATTGAGGCAATTGCTCATTGATCTTGTGGGATATCTAATGCAGAGCTGGCTTTTAAATTTACCGTATATACTCGAGTATAAGTCGACTTTTTCAGCACATTTTTTATGATGAAACACCCCCCCCCCCGGCTTATATTCGAGTGAGGCGGCTGGCGGCAGCAGAGGGACGAGTGGCCTGAAAGGAGCCCTTTTGGGCTGTTCCTTCGTCCTCCTCTGCCTTTGCCTTTGCCACCACCACCAGGTTTGTGGTGTGAACCGGCTTATACTCGAGTCAATAAGTTTTCCCAGTTTTTTGTGCTAAAATTAGGTGCCTCAGCTTATATTCGGGTTGGCTTATACTCGAGTATATACGGTACTTAATTCAGGTGATACTATAAAGGAAATATTCTGCCATCTAGGAATTTAAAATTGTGTGTTCCAAACACATAGTGAGCAACATTTAAACTGCAGTATATAAATTTTATGAAATAAAGTAAGAAGGGTGAAAATCTGTAAGATTGGCTATTTCTGCTGAAATGTTCCTACAGCCAAATAGATTTGTTTTGCTATAAAACACGGTCTCCATAATAACAATTGTGATTGGTCAAAAGTCTTTGGTAACCAGTGGCTGATCTTGGATGACTAAAACGATTCCCCCCCCCCTTGCATGCTAGGCTGCCATTGTAAGGATTATGAAGATGAGAAAAGTCCTGAAACACCAGCAATTGCTGGGAGAAGTTCTCACACAACTGTCATCAAGGTTCAAGCCACGAGTTCCAGTAATAAAGGTTTGTCTAAAGAGCCATCTTGTAGTTGGAAAAACAAATCTTTCTCTGTATGCATCTGCAGCCCTTTCCACATACAGAAAAATAGGGATTAGCATAAAATATACCAAGCTTCAAGTAGAATTATGACACTGTCTGATCCTGTTTCATTATATTTCAATGTAAAACTTTCAGCAACACTTTAAAGGGTGCTTCCACACGACAGGTTTCCATAGTGTCTAATCTCACATCACCTTCATCCAAATCACGGCTCATACTACCCCATTTAAATATAGATTTTCTGCAGCAAATCCAAGAAATAAAATCAACATCTGTAGTCTGTGCTTGTCTAGAAGCTGGTTAGTGCATTTTTGGTGGGTTGGTCACATGTGGCTACAAATTCTGGGTGACCTCTCTCTCTCCACACTACCAGTTTGCTCCTTCTCTGGACACAAGCTGCCCAGTCAGTGTAGACAATACGGAGGTAGATCCACGATTGCTAGAAGACAGCTTCGTCTTGCATTTCAGCGCTCGGGGTCGTGGGGCAGTGGCAAGGAAAAACTGCAATTTTGGCAAACTGACCTAGGATCAGGTGACTCCTGGACACGCACCCCAGGCTCTTGTGCAAGAGCACCACGTAGAGATCTCTCTACCGTTCCTTACCTCCCAATATATTGTCTTTGGCTATTTTTTGTTACAACAGCACCGGCTGTTCCTTTGCTCTTGCAAAAGTTGCCTGCCTTTTGCAGGATTTCAAAAAGGACTTCACTCCTTTCATATTCACATTCTGATGCCTTGCAGGGAATCAAGTTGGAAAGGTTTCCTGCCCTAAAAAATCTCGCTCTCCCTTCCCCCCGTTTGTGTGTGTGCGCACAATCATTATATAATTACATAGCTACTATAATTACATAGATTGTTCTTTTAGAAAGCCATGGTGGTTGTGTGTGGTTTTTTTAAAGTTGCTCTGTGCACTCTTACAAACACTTTTTATCAGCTGTAACGAAGATTACTGTTATCAAATGCAGATGACTGCTAGTATTGGGGAAATAAACCATGACACAGTGTAATATGCCATGTGTTGTTCATCTCAGGTTGTATTTACCTAAATTTAAGACCTGCTAAGGAGCAGATGGTTGTTCTTATACCCTCACATGTAAAGCCACAGAATTCAAGGGTGTGCTTTCTATTTCCCGTGACTGTAAATTCTTTTTTGGATATAGTAACCCCTAACTTACACAGGGGATTGCGCCTAAAGCCAGAATTGCGTATAGTCAAAATACATTGGGAGCAATGGCAGGTGGGATTGCCCAAAGTCTTTTTCCCCCAGATGCCCACCCTCTTTTTATTTATTACTATTTTGCCAAGCATGTGAAAATGATTGCGCACAAGCTAAATGTGCCTTAAGTTGTGGGCTGACTGTACTCCTGTGCTGCTCAGATGAGACCCAGCAGAACCCTCTGGCTCCATGCAGTGCCTGCTGCGCTTATGTCATCTCTGAGGACATTTAACTTGGTTCAGACTTGGGATGCTGGTGCTACTGCCTCTAGCCTGTTCCCCCTCTATTGCTACCTAAGTCCCATTAAAAAAATACTACAATACTGAAGTTGTACTATAGCATAGTGCTGTAGTTTACATACTGTATTTTTCTGTATATAAGACTAGGCTTTCCCCCTAAAAAATAATGTCCAAAATTTGGGGGCGTCTTATACACGGATAGATCTCCCCCCACTTTCTTAAATTGGACTCCCCAAAAATAGGTGGCATCTTATAGACAGAAAAATACGGTACTTTTTCCTTTTTCCTAAAAAGGCTATGAACAATGTCACATCTTTCTGTTTTCAGAAGTGCATTGACATTCTAATAGAGAAGGAATACTTGGAGCGAGTGGATGGCGAGAAGGACACCTACAGTTACTTGGCTTAACGGTTCTCAGCAGCTGTCTGGGTGGCAAGTAGTTAAGTGATTGAAGAAATGAGAACAGAACTTGTTGGCCTGCTGCCGTCTGGACCTCCATTTTTATAACCAAGACTAGGACTTCCATCTGCCAGTCTTGGAATTACATCAGACCTGCTCAGGATTGATACATTTCAAGTATGTAAATATGGACACCAATGCCATTTAACCTAATTTAAGAACAGAAAGGAATCTGAAACCTCCCTTGGAGGTTGCATGCTACTTGCATTTAAATCAATACATTGGCTATACAGCAACAGGTTGCCAGGCAGCATTTATACATACATGTTGGCAGCAGTTTGAGAGAGTCTAATTTGGCCCATGTGTAATCTGCTATAAAATCATTTGTATAGTGTGTTTCATTTTTTAATGTGTGATAAATAAAAACTTAAAACTTTCTGTACAAGTTGCATTTGGTTTTATTGTTAAGTTCCATGAGTTCTTTCTTAAATGTAAATAAAAGGTATAATTATGAAAGCCAGATAAACTAGTCCTGTTTTGCTTTTTGTATTGCTTCTAGTGATGTCAAAGTCTGGTTGCAGGTACTGGAAAAGTGAAGTTTGCCCAAAACTTTTATTGCAATGTGAAAAGTGAGAGGGAGTTTAAAGGAATATTTCCTTGGCCAGAAAATCCATCTTCCATCTGAAATTAATATTGGTATTACAAATCCACCTTTTCCCAATAATCATGCACTTTCATAGAATCACCAGTTATACCCAGGTGGATGAATACATCATCATAATCATCAGGTATGGGGGCATGTGATATTTAGCATATGTGGTGCACACAAGCAGCTGCCTGGCCATATTACACACACTGACTTTAAAGCCCCAGGATGGTACCGTATATGGAAACTTGCCATGATTATTTACAGATACAGGGACATGTGACATGGCATTGCAGTTGATTCAAACTTCAAGCATAGTGACTCATGACAAGATGCTATGAACACAGTTCATGGTCATTAAAATACAGAGACAGCTTTGAGCAATTCTAATTTTTAGAAATTTTAAAGTTTGTCAGTTGCATATAAACACTGCATAGAAATCAGGTAGAAATTTGGACCTAAGTTAAAATGATTTCAGTTTTTAATAATAAATCTATGCCAATTAAGATTGTTCAGGTTATTGAACTTAATGGTTGGAACATTCTTAGTGGATGATGGTCCATCAAAGGGGCTATTGTGGCTACCTAGCGTACAAGGCAGGAAATGCACACAAATTCAAGGAAGTAGGGCCACTGAATATCCCGTCCATTTCCTGCTTTTTATACGGGCAGCTGATTTTTTTAAGCCTCTGCTTTTTACTTCAGTCCTTATGACTAATACTGTGTGTTTCATGAGTCTCAAGTGTGTGTGCTGACTTGGCAGCAGCCACACTTGTTTTTAACAGCTTAATGGCAGCTGCCTCGTTCTCTAGAACAACCCTTGTCATCTGTGAGGCCTGCTATGGTGGCTGTCTCAAACACGGTTGCTGTGATACACCCAATCTCACTGCTTGGAATAAGGCTTGCTGCCACCAAAGGTAAAGGGAACCCCTGACCATTAGGTCCAGTCATGGCTGACTTGGGGGTCGCGGCGCTCATCTTGCTTTATTGGGCAAGGGAGCCGGCATACAGCTTCCTGGTCATGTGGCCAGCATGACTAAGCTGCTTCTGGCGAACCAGAGCAGCGCACGGAAACACCGTTTACCTTCCCGCTGGAGCGGTACCTATTTATCTACTTGCACTTTGACGGGCTTTCAAACTGCTAGATTGGCAGGAGCTGGGACCGAGCAAAGGGAGCTCACCCCGTCATGGGCATTCGAACCACCAACCTTCTGATCAGCAAGTCCTAGGCTCTGTGGTTTAACCCACAGCACCACCCGTGTCCCTGCTGCCACCAAAGCACACTGCAAATTTGCCTTTTCTAAATCAGCAGCTGCTTCAGCACTTCACTGATCCTTCCAGTAACAACAGGGAGCCTGTCATGAACCTGATGCCTCCCTTCCTCCTGTTTTGTTTACTACTACAGAAGTACTACAAAGGTGGAGGCATTTCTTGGGGCAAGCTCAGCCAAATTGTGCGAGTCTACCCAGATTCTGCAGCTATCCCTTCAAGCTCCTATTATGTATCCTGATGCCTGCTCAGTTTGCCCAAGTCTAACCAGCCTGCTCTTGAACGTCAACAGCCAGTGCCTTCCTTGGAGGTTTTTAAGGAGAGGTTGGATGATTCTGTGATAATACACAAAACTTTGGGTATTATCTCTGGGAAGATTTAAAATTAGTTCTTATTTGTTGGGTGCTTTACAGAGATGACTTCACAAAGATGCATTTGATAGTTTAAGTTCAGTGGATAAATGTCAAATGTCACAAAATTATGAAAACATTTATTCTTACTTTAGACCCTCTACAATCAAGCAGGTGTTTAGGGAGACAAAGTCAGCTGTGTGATCAAGAAAAGGACATCTATACTTGAGGCCCTCACTGCTCATTGTGCTGTTGACTGAAGATGGGAAAAGGGATGAAAATTGCAAACCTGTAAGAGTGATGATAGAATCAAAGTTGGAAGTGACCCCGAGGGTCATCTAGTCCAACCCACTGCAATTCAGGAATCTTCAACTAAAGCATCCAGGACAGGTGGCCTTCCAACCTCTGCTTAAAAAAATCAAATGAAGGGTGGTTACTGGTGAAAGTTTCATGGGGGTTCATGGATTTGAACCTATGCCTCCAAGTTCTGCCAAGCATACTGATTCTTCTTGTCATCTTAGGTTGAATCCACCCCGGCTATAAGCTCAAGTATGTTTTTGATTCAACATTCTTCCTTTTTAGGAGGCGGGACAGTTTGCTAGCAGTAGCTGCAAACGATAGTTACAGGCTTTACTACAGGAGAATCCATTACATTCAGTTTGATGTGTCATGGCGAGTACCTAACATGAGCTTTTTCTCAGCCAAAAGCTCAAACACACTTTCATCCAGCCTTGGACCTGGATTAATGATGGAAGTAGACCACTTAAATTCAAAGTTCAAGTATCCTTTATTCAAGGTTTAAAAATGTACCATACTGCATTATTGCAAAAGTTCAATGGTACAAAACAGGGTTGCAGCTGGTGAGAAGGCAATAAAAAGTTGATTTAAAATTTGTCACTATAAATTACAGGTACAGTACTTTGCAAATTCTGCATTTGAAATTGCATCAATTCAATCTTCAAAAAAATTGCCCACAGTACTAGAAACTCCTGAAGATAAGGCAGCTGTTTTACAGAAGAGGTAGTTGGTATCAAGGGATCTCCATTTCTCTTTCAATGCCTACATACTTGAGGGCATCAGCCTGGCTGTATCTGAAACAAAGTACAAATTGATTTGTTAAATTTAGGAGTTTCTAAAGTGTCAAAACAAAAGGAAAAATAAAGATGAAAAGCAATTTGTCTGCAAATTGAGTTTACCACTCAAAACCTCTACATAAGTCAAGTCAGATTAGCAGGACAGTTGTGGAAGATCCCAGGCTGGAGCAAGTGCTGTTGGGTGTCAGGGCAGAAACATTTTCTGGGTGGCACAGAAATGACTCCTGTAGTCAATCATTTCTGTCATCTGCTAGTTCTTTGGCTACCACACTTTCGGCATTTCCTTCTTGGTAAAATGATCAGCGGGTTGCATTCCCAAGACCTAAACTCTGAAACACTTGATAAATTTGGGCTGTTGAATGAGAAATGTGGTTGGTATTGAACACGCTATACATACCTATAATCAAAAAACAGTTCTTCACCAGTCTGAATGGCTCTCTTAGCAAATATGCCTATTCTGTGATCTCCATTAACCATCATAACTGTAAAACAAAAAGTGAAGTTGGTGCAAGGCTTTTTAAATATCTTGAGTGCTAATCGGATTCCTTGCTCATTTAGCTATACTCCCGTAAAATGTATAAACACTCACCTTTTGCATAGCAGTTGGGATTGACTGAATGGTTTGCAAATCTTATTTTGTTACCCTTCCTTGTTGCATCAACCACAAAATCTAAATAAAAAGACTGTTGTTAAAATGTCTGCAACAGACTGAAAAGTGGATACTATGGCAATATTCACTGAAATTGCTATCTGGAAGACTGTCACTACAGTTAAAATGCTATTGTCTCTGGCTTAACTTGTAATAACATTGAACACAGCCAGTTTATCTATGAAAATGTTTACTTGTAATCTTACATACGTGTCTAATGCTATACAAGAAGCTTATCTTACACACGTTTTTAAAAGTTTTTAATTTCAAACAATGGATGTTTTTTAATGAAACGCTTTCTCTGCTTCAGTGGTGTAGCCTGGGTGGGAGGGAAACGGACGGAGTGCGCCTGCGCATTCAACTGCCTAACGGCATCCACATCACCCAGCCGATTGCAGCCGCAGAGATAAGAAAAGATGTTCCATTGTCTGGAGAGGTCACTTCCTGGTTCACATGGAGAAGCTGTTTTCAGCAGCAACCACTCCTGTGCCCCCCACCCCCACAGGCTACATCACGGCTCTGCTTTCCTTATATACCAGCCTTGTTTATCACACCACCTAAAAAGGTTTGTTGTGACGATCTATGCAAGTCTGGACTAAATGTTGACACCCCCAACAAGGTAGCTAATTTAAATATAAACGCTGTTCTGATCCCATGCCCCTCCTACTGTCTGAAACCTGAGGATGCACTTTGCTGGAAACAGTCACATGAAAACAAGCAATTTTTCATATCCCAAGAGAGGCTAAATAGTGGAGGGATTAAGAGTAGCACACATACCGTTATTCAGATTGAAGAGAAAACTGCACATATATTTGTCATATACTTTGCCTCGTCTGTCTGCTTCATCCTGAGAAATTATCTGAAAGGAAGATTTATTTGACATTGTTTTGGTAACATGCAAAAACAGAACTGTCTCTCATCCCCCAAATTACCAGCTATCTTTACGCGATTGCTGATTCAGCAGTTGAGTAGAGAAACTGCCTTTTGGCAACTTTTGCAGAAAGTCTCACAGGACTCAAAGCCAGATCAAACCTGTGTGCCTTCTAGGCAGGTGCATTCAGACACAGTGGTACCTTGGTTCCTAAACGGCTTGGCTCCCAAACAAATCGGCTCCCGAATGGCGCAAACCCGGAAGTAAGTTTGCGAACGCTTTTTGGAACCCAAATGTCAATTTCAGCTGTCAGCATTATTTCCAGGGCTAATCAACCAATTGGAAGCTGCGTCCTGGTTTATGAACGTTTTACAAATCCAACGGACTTCCAGAATGGATTGAGTTCGGGAAACAAGGTAACACTATATTTAGATATTTCCAGCAGTTGCATGCCAAAACTGACTTTTAATAAGATTATAGGGAAAGAGTATCCTAATACTCAGTTTAAACCTTGGCATGCAGTACTTCATGCTGATATGTTAAAACAATAAAGTTGATACATTTTTATTGAAGATTTGTATTGCTTATTGGTACACCCTGAAAGGCATCTTATCATGTAAATAGGAAGGTGGGATTTTTTAAAAAATAGTAATTTATCATCCTCCACCACCACATTCCGTCAGCATTTGCAAGTCTGCTACTGCTTTAGGCTATCTGCACCAACAGCATAAAAATCAAGTTACTCTCTTTTTCACATCTGTCCCTGCTGTCTCTCAAAGTCATGATTTATTTGAAAAAGGGCTGAGGAACTGCAGCTTGACATACAGCAGAATTACAGTGGTACCTTGGGTTACGTTACCTTCTGGTAACATAGTTTTGAGTTACGAATGCAGCAAACCCAGAAAATGTATACTTCTGGGTTTTGCTGTGCACGCATGTGCAGAAGTGGCGCCTCCCGATAAGGATTTTTTGGGGTTAAGTACGGACCCCCGCGACAAATTAAGTTCGTATCCGGAAGCTCCACTGTATTAACTAAGAGGCATGCAATACAGAGGACTTTCCTGAAGATTGGATTATGAAGTAGTAGATGAAAAGGCTAACTTTATTCAAATTTTGTTTCTTACCTCACCACAATATTCAGAGATGAATTCATTTTTCTGCACTGGATCCTTAATGAAAATGCCCCAGCCTGCCACATCAGAAGGTGCTAGCAGCAAATGCTAGCAGAATGAAAAAGGAAGCCCCTTAAACATGCAGAAAAGATGTAACTCTATCCAAATACCTATGCAGCTGTTACAGAAAAAGAAACCAGCTGGAGTAAAGTAACACTTGCTTTGCTCAGACAAATGTTCCTGTCAGCAGTCTACTTGGGTGAATAGTGTCACACTCTGGCTGAGACTCACAGAAGGGCTGGCATGTTCCAGAGGAGGAGGGCATCTCCTCCCCAAAGCTTCCTTGCCAGAATGAGTCCTGCTCTGCAAGCCACGCCGCCAGGAATGGAACCTGGGTGTGCACACAATGACTGTCTCAGGTGGTACAGAACGATCCCAAGAGCTAATCCCTGCAGAGCATGCTCCCATGTAAGGCAGGCCGTAGACCATTCTTCTAGCAGTGTATAGCATTTATTTTATATAACTAGTTCACCTCTGCTGCTGTGTGTGTTCACAGCTCTACCGTCATGTATTTTATTTTCCCACCAAAATCAGTATCTGGAGATTAATAATATGTGAATTATATTGCCATAACCTCTAATCCTGGTTTTATTTAAATACATAAAATTATTATTTAGAAAGCATGTGGCCACTTTTCAGACATTAAATAATGAACGGAACTTAGAAGTTTTTTGAGCTGTGCATCTCTGCTGTAGAGATCTCTCCAGCACTGCCACAAGTGGGAAAGCAAGCAAGAGGGAAGTTCAGTATTGGGATAGAGGAAGGGCTTTGCAAGTGACAAATGAAAGATTAGGTAGCAATCTTCTTGATAGTTATGTTACTTTAGAACTACCTGTTCACAAGAATTCTGAATCTGCTAATTTCTGTTGAAATTAATGTAGCAATCCCTAGAGCAGGGAATCTGTGACTCTCCTGACGTGGGGCTGCAGCTCCCACCAGCCCTGACCCCTGACCCCAGTGGCTGGGGCTGATGGGAGCAGGAATTCAACAGCAAGTACAAAGCCAGTTCTTAGAATCATACAGTTGGAAGAGACCACAAGGGCCATCGAGTCCAACCCCCTGCCAAGCAGGAAACGAATGCTCTTGAATGTTCTTGAATGCTCCCCTCCCCCCAGTTTCCTGCCTGCTACAAGAATGGCCCAGTTCACACATAACAATAAGACAAACCACAGCTTAGTGTGAACAAACACATTTGTGGGTTCCTGGAGCAAGGATTGCAGCAGCAGCAGCGGCAGCAGCAGCAGCAGCTGCAGCCCACTCCCAGGCCATTCTATCTGGGGCTAAACTATGGCTTGTCTTAGCATTACACCTGAACCCAAGCTTGCAATTTGTCTTCCCCAGAAACCTCAAGTTGTAAGAACAAACCTTGCTGGCTTCTCATGGTATGTCTAGAGCAAGACAAACCATGAGCCCAAGTTCAAACAACACTAAACCATAGCTTAGCCCCAAGAAGCCAGGGAGCAGCAGGTCTGGGAGAGGAGTGCTGCTGTCGTGATCGCTGGATAAGGAACCCGCATCCTTGCCTCTGTGTGCAACATCATGGTTTGGGGCTTAGCATTACATGCAAACTAAGCTACTTAAGCTATCATGAACAAATTCTTCAAAGGTGGCCTAGGATTGGGGGGGGTAGTTAACCCATATTTGGCGGTATTATGGACCAATCCTTATTAGAGTGCAGGTGGTTTTTGCACGGAAGCAGTTCACACATGCATGAACCTACAATCACAAGTAGTGGTGTCTGTACAAATCCCCACTTGCTGTTGTCATCATTAAGCAGTTAAAAGGAAAGATTGGTTTACCTGAAGTGTAGATTTGTGAAATGGGGACACTGAGGACAGTGGATTGGGTATTTCCTCTCACATGACCTCAGGCAGGAGCAAAGACTTGTGGGAGGCAGGCACTTCCTCAGTTTTTTGGATTTGCCAAGCAGCAATGTTCACCGAAGCACCTGAAAGAATAGCAGCCTCCCTCCCTTCCCGGCTCATAAATCAATTCATACAGCAGCAACTGAGCACCCCTCTTATAGGGAAAAAAACCAGTGTGACTTCAGACCATCACAGGGATGGTTCCACTGTCCCCAGCGTCCCGATTTAAGAAATCTACACTTCAGGTAAGCCAATTGTTCTATTTATTTCATGGGACGCTGGGAACAGTGGATTGGGACATACCACAGCACTTCCCAATAACTGGGTGGGTCCACACGGCTGACACACTGATTACCAAACTTGGTATACACTGTACGGCCAAAAGCTGCCTGAGCTGAAGACATTTAGTTTAACTCACAATGCCTAGTGAAAGTGGAAGGAGGAGACCAAGTGGCTGCCCTACAACTCTCTATTGAAGTGGCATCAGCCATAAAGGCAGCAGAAGTCGAGGCTGACCCAGAGGACTGCGCAAAATATGAGATGGGTGGGGCAATTTCATAGTATCATAAGCTAAGAAAATGCACACCCTAATCCCTCTAGCTAAGGAAACTGAAGTGACCTTTGCTCCTAAGCAAAGGACACAGTAGAGAGCTTTACTTTGGATGCGGAATCAGCATGCCTGTTCTTAAGCCAAACCATGCAGTGTGCCACTATTTGAGAGGCCATAGCTCTAGTTGCAAATTGTGTGTCCATAGATGCGTCTGCCATAAAGGCTTGTGCTTGTAAAGGTTTAGAAATGGCTTGGCACTGATGAATGGCACCTGGGGGAAGGGAGTGCACACAATGCCAGCGTGTGCAGAGGAAGATGCTGCGCAAGATGCCCTTATAGACAGGGCAGCTGCAGCTTGGATTTTTCGAAGTGCAAACTCCAACTTCCTATCAGTTACATCCTTCAATTGGGCGTCTCTTTCTTTAGGAACAAGATTCCAAGAAGACAAAAGTAAAACAGGACTGTCTACTGTAGGTGTCTTAATATATGATATGAAGTCAGGATCCAGATCATATAGTTTACAGGCTAGAGATAAATTCTTTTTGGACTGCATAGGGGAATCCAACTCTGATTTGACTACTGTTTTTAGCACTGAAGGAACTAGCATATAGTTAGATTTTGTGCGGTTATCAATGAGCAAAGTAACTGGACTCTCAGAGGCAGGACTGGGAATTGTGGTAGGCTTGGGGGCCATTTCCAGTGCATGCAGTATGCATTTTGCCTTTTAAAATAGGAGCATTCTGGAACAATCTAGTGGAAAGACAGAACTATCAATCCACTCCGCCTCAATTTCTGACTCTAGAAAAGATATTTGGGAAGAAAGTGCTACGTCCTCAGCATCAGATAAATCCTCCCCCATAGAGGGAAATGGATTGGGTACAGAGCCCCCCCCCCCCGATTTAGCCACACGTTGAGAGGAGGTCACCTTTTTAACCACAGAGGTAGATTTTTTAGGTTGTATGTTAAACTGTAAATCCTCTGATAATGAAGCAATCGGTCCCTGTTTCAACTGTTCAATTAGAGTGAATGGAAAGATGGGAGCTGAGGAAGCTGGCCTGGTCTGAGAGTGATGTTAAAGACCCTTTTGCACCCTGGTCACCCGTGAATCCTAACATTTCTGGTTCAGAATCAGATATATCTTCTATAACGTCCCTTCCAGTAACATAGGGTGGAAGAGCAGAATCAATAGCAACACACACAGACTGATTCCTATGAACTGGAGTCTGTGGAGGGCCAGGCTCATTAGCTTGCAATAAAACTGCAGTCGAAATATTTTTTCTTGGGGCAACAGAAGTAGTAGAAGCTTCATTGTGCCTATTTCCCTTAGAGGGTAGGACGTGTTTAAGCTTTGGTTTAGCCTTTTTGGGAAGAGGTTCAGGGGCTCCTTGTATAGGCTCCATAATAAATCAATAAATGGAAACAAATGAAGTTGTTCTGCACGCAGCCTGAGTAGCGTTCACTTCCAACGCCACAAAAGTGGACTATGGGAAAAGGAAAAATATACATCTCTCCAATGCTGTCACAAGTGGACTAGGAGGAAATAGACCGCAAGTCACAGAATAATAAGCGTAAAGAATAATAATGAATGAATGAATGAACCACTCCTTAACTAGGAGGTTCAGAAGCAATCTATAAGTGCCTGCTCACTCCATCACCACAACTGCGAACCGGGAGGAGAATATACTGCTGAGGAACAATAACCCCTACTCCTTCTGCTGTACCACGGACTAGGAGAGCAGTCAATATGAAGCCTTAAATGATACAGAAAATAATGGCTAAAGGCTGTAGAAATCACCAAAGAAATGAGGTGGTGATATGGAGCCAGCGGCCACTGAAAGTGAGATGCAATTGCAAAAAACCTCAGGTAGGATTCCGCCCCCCCAACTTATCTTTAAATCTGATCTGTAAAATGGCACACGGCAAAACGGAGCCACAGTGTGCAAAAAACAAGCATATTCAGCGACCCTGTAGGAGAGCAGTATACAGGGACGCTCTGCAAGAAAGTAAACTAAATAAAATAAAAACGAGAAGAACTAAGGTTGCTAAAGGGAAAAAATGGTGGCAGGGAGGGACAAAATATTTTTTGGAAGATATATATTCTAAAAAATATTATGTGCGTGTGTGTGTGTGTCTTTGAGTGCAAGACTCAAAGACAGGTGTTAAGTTGCTAAAACTAAGGAAGATTAGATAAAATAAAGCAACAATAAAATGAGATCCAAATTGAAAAACTTATCTGAAGAAGCAGGAGAGCCAGGCGAACTATACTACTGAGTCAGGCAGGAGAAAAAACTGAGGAGGAAGTGCCTGCCTCCCACAAGTCTCTGCTCCTGCCATAGGTCATGTGAGAGGAAATACCCAATCCACCGTTTCCAGCATCCCATGAAACGAATTACAAGCGTTAATCACCCTAGGGGTCAAAAATTAGAAACGGCCAATGTGAAAGTTCTAAAGGAATCTACGTGGTGCTATACAATTTGGTTTAAGTAGAAACCATATTCCAAACTGTTGGCCAAGAAAGCACTTGCTTTTATAGTGGGAGGCGTTTTCCTGAGCTGTTGGGGATTAGCATAAAAAGTGGAAGCACCTTTTTGGATCCTCGCTGAATGCTGCAGTTCTTGCAAGACACATTTTTGCTGTCCCAGTGATCTGCTGCTCCGCATGTCAAGCAAAGGTCTGGATCACACTCACGCACAGCCAAGTAGCAAGGACACTGCTTCGTGTTGCACTGAGCTTTGCAGCGGCAGCCGGGAAACCTGTTTTGGCCTTTAAGAAGAACAAAGCAGGAAGAATGAGCAGCTTGGCCAACATTGTATTTTGCATAGAACAGACCTGCCCTGTACCTGAATTTTGTTCATTTGAAAAGTTACAAATGTCATTTAAGCTTCAATTTGATATGCTTAGTACATTAAAATAAATTTATTTTCACACTAGTAAATTTATTTCATGCAACATGAGACCTGATAAATCTCTGAAGTGGCAGACAGTATTTTCAAATAGGCAATCATCTACAGGCAGCTCCCCATTGGCGTGGGGGTTGTGTTCTGAGGCACCATGCGTGTCAGCCCGCCCCCTTCCGGATCCGAAAACAGTGCACATGTCAGGGGTTGTGCGTGCCTTGAACACATGCAAATGGGGAGTTGCCTGTACGTAGCTGGAGCTGTCTTCATTTCTCATATAGCAACAATAACTTTCTTTAACATGCCAAAAAAAAAGATGTAGACAAAAGTCAAATTTGAAAATAGTCATAGCAAAATGGCTCTCTCAGAACTTCCTGGGACAGAGCCCTTTAAACTTTTCACCATCTGCAAACCGCTAACGTATTTGGTGAGGAACACTGCATCTACTTTGGTCTGAACACTTCCATCCCTACAAGACATGAAACTTTCCAGAGCTTTTAAATTCCACCAACTCATCGAAGCATTGACTCTCATACAATATACCCATTTCCAAAATGACTTACATTCTGAACTGCACTGACAGAACTTCTCACAGAAATTTTGAGCAATTACACAGGGACACGAGCTGTCACAAGGCTGACGTGGGTGATCACATGGCTGGTAGTTGTAAACATGATTGGATGACCCATCTGAATAAAAAAATAACATTAAGACAAATTTAAGAAAATGGCATTTGATAGAAAAGATCCTCTGAAAACCGTAGCTATAATACTTAAAGTTTCAAGTTAGAACAGATGAACGTACTGTAAAATGAACCTAGGACTTTAACCGAGTTTACTTGTCTTGGCCTCATTACTTTACAATGTATTAAGGTTACACCGTTATGAATGTATTACAGAGGAAGCATTTCCATGCTTGTAAATTAACATAATACTGCAAACATGTCTATTTCACAGCGTATTTGCAGCATAACAGATAATGCAAATCTAGATGACAAAGCCACAATTTTATTTTTAGAATCAAAAGCCTACAGAGATAGAACACATGTACATATAGAGAAGTCACAATTAACAAGAAAGCATCTTATACTTTTTCATCTCTCTCAAACTATCTTTAAAGCCTACCTCTTCTTTGCAATTCAGCACCCCACCTGCAATAGACATATAAATCTTCCTGCTCACCAGGACTCATGTTCCTATGCACACATTCCTTACTAGGGGGGGATACAGTTTGCTTCCCTGAAATCAACTGGGAAGCCCTGAGAGACAGGAAACTGCCATGTGTGAAAGGGAGAACACTTGTTTACAAGGATTCCCTGGAAGAGGGATTTGTATGCTCTGGTTTCCCAGGTTGTTCAGTATTATTGTTATTTAAAAGAAACACCATCTGAGAATTTCTGGACATAAAGTAGAATGTAAATATGCTTACCCTTTTTCAGCTGTATCTTTCTGCAATGAGCAGCCCACAATCTGTAAAAACACAAACGGAGCATGAGGTTGGCAGGCTGTACTGAGCTGGAAAATGCAACTGTCCAGCTGAATCTCAGAAAGTGTCTTTGAGAGCCTGTCTTGTACAAGTAAAACAACAAGCTAAACACAAAGAAAAATTATCATTTTCTACATGTGGGTAATAAAATATCCTGTAAAGATAAAATTTATTAAAATGTTATCAGAAATCTAAATTTGCTCTGAAGTTGGGCCGAACAGATATTTTCACTAGTCAAACTATTCTACAGTATTTAATCATACTACAGTTAAGTTAGAGGCTAAGATTTCAAAGTTCAACCATGAGATGGCTTTTGACCCTTTGTATTTCTATTTACACATCTAGTTTATTTTTGCTAGCCTAAATAAAGTCAAGATAACAAGAGATTTCAATATGTTCCATTTTTAAAGAAATCTATCTGAATACTGTATATGTATTTTTCTTAGTAAATAAAAAACTTCAATAAACAAACAAACACTGTTACCTAAGAACCATCAGTGAATATTTCAAATGAACAGGGACACCTTTTGGGGGGTGCAGAATTCTGTCAACTTTCTATTCAATACAGGGCTAGATCACACAATACTTTCTCTATGCAAACAATCTCTCCTTGGCTACACAAATGTACTAAGATAACAATAAATGTTTGAATAGAATGATCACTGAAAATGGAAGCAGTAAGTTCTATGATTCTGCATGCTGTGTGTGTAATATTTCATGTTCACTTCAGTGCATATCTTAATATTCTTACAATTTGAATCATAGTCATTTCAAGCACAATCCAATTCAGTTAGGTATGCTTGTCCATCAATTTCAGTGGGCTTAAACAAATTTAAGTGTACGTTTCACTTTGGATAGTTGCTCAGTACAGTGGTACCTCTACTTATGTTCACCTCCGGTTACATATCCTTTGGGATACATGCGCAGCAAACCTGGGAGTATTTTTAACGTAGAAGTGTTAAACTGCACGCATGTGCAGAAGCGGTATCTCCGGATACGCACACCTCGGGATCCGACCAGAGCTCTGGAACGGATCCTGTGTGCAACCAGAGGTACCACTGTATATGAGTCTTTGTCTTTGAAAGTCAATGCTATCATAAATCATTGTTAACTCTACAGCTGGGAAATTGAGACAAAAACCTAAGTTTATCAACACAGACATGGAACTTTATGGATGGATTGCCTGGGGTACATTGCATCTTATATATGATATTTCCTAAACTATGAAGCCAGATTTAATTTATTTACATCATACTTGGCACTTTACTTGGTTGGACAATGAATTAAATACTGAAATGGAAAGATACATATCAAACTGCTTTCTGGTACATTGCTGAGTTTTGCACTCTTTTCTACTCGTTGTTATAAAGAAAAGAAGTCATATCAACACAGTATCTACTGGACCAATAGTGTGTCTAAAGTTCTCTCCACCCACGCAAGCCTTTCTCTGATTTGGCTTCTGCTCAAAATCAGACAGGATATCTGAAGCGGAGGCACGAGAGGCCTATCCTATTGAGGGTGGCCTACTAGGGTGAAAGTCTTATAGCACAACCAGTGATTGGGATTCGTTATCTCCTAAGTAAGTGTGAGGGGCTTAATGGGGTAGGGGAACTCCTGGAAAGAAAGAAAGGGTGAATTGGATGTTGCTGGAGTGAGTGGCATAGCTGTGTACGTGTATATCTATGTATGCTGGTTGGTTTAGCATTTTGGTCACCATCCCTGATGCCCAGCAATCATATTAGTTTTACATTACTGCCTGTTTGATAGCTTACTGCAAATTATAGTTTTTATTGAGCTTTGCATTTTAAGAATATTTCTGGTGCACTCTGATGCTGGTGGCGTAGGCACTTGCTTCCTATTTACTAAGAGGATCTATCAGAACTCTTACAGCTGTGGTGTGGCATTGGAGAGCCTCCGCTGAATGTTTCATCCAATATCAGTTTCCTGGCCAGTCAGGTCCTTGTCCTGCCCCTCCATAATGTGCCTGGGTGGCTACCAGCCTGCTCTGAGGGACTGCAGCATCCGCACCAAGGATGCCTTCAGTGGGCTATTTCAGGACTCTAGGGCTGCCAGAGAGCTGTTTTCGTAAATCATGGCTCCAACACGTAGCACAGGCAGTGGCTTTGATCTGGTGTTTGCCACAGGATGGGGGGAGGGGTGCTCTGGAATGAGGCGGGTTGTGATGACCTCACTATCATAGTCAGACCACTTCCTGGTCAGATTCAAATTGATATTGGCAGTGATTGCCTAAACACCACAATCACAGTACTAATTTGAATTCTCTGCTTCTCCAAAGTGGATGATAGGGAGTGTTAATGAGAAAGATAGTGACCGAGTCATTCAGAGAGCTGAGAAAAAGCTGGTGGCTTACTCTCTTATTACTCCAAGGTAAAGAGAAAACATTATTAGTACAAGACCACAAACACAAGGTGGGAGATCCAGAACAAAAATTCCACCAGGATTTGCTTGCAATGCCTGAACAAACACTGCATTGGTCATTTTATGGGCAGGTTTGTGGCTGATCTACCAAAAGCACTTATATTCACGTACAGAAAATTTTGTGATCAGGCCATAAAACATGCAAATACAATTAAAAATGTGTTTTCTACATTGGAAAGTTAATATTTGTTTAGTCCCCCACCTGTTTGATTGTGGCATTACTTTTTCAGTGCTGTTCTTTCCCCTTAAAAAGCCTTTTAGCCCTCAGTTTGCCAGGAAGCCGGCAGTCCATTGGTTTACCTGTGTTTCCTCTTCTTCTTTCTTGGAGGAGTATCAACATCTTCAGCCGGGGCAGGAGCAATAATACTAGATTCCTTTACTCTAAACTCATAAACCTGTAAAGACAAACATACTGTGGACTAGATCCTCAATGGCAGAAGTCAGCCAATTCCCATTAGCATATATGTGCTTCTTCCACCTTGGGCGAGACTGCATATTTACATAGGCAACATATTAACATAATGAATTAATTAATTCTGTTAATTAATCCTGTTGTTAAAAGTTATTTCTCTACTTTTGGGAGGTAACCAGGGTAACCTTGATCACCGCACTGTGCTACATCTGGCATGACTGGATGTAAACAGTGTAAACCAGAAGGGGCTTGGTGTGGCTGAAGGAACTGAATGAATTCGCTAACTCAGCCTCTGCCTCCACAGAAGGTGACAGATGGGAGAGAGGTAAGCAGAGCAGCAGTGAGCAGTGGTCTCAGGAGGAAATTCACAACCCCAGGGGCAGCAAAGAAAGGGGCAGACCTACTGAGTGGGGCAACTGCACAGCCCTAGGGAGCAGAGGTGGGCAAGGAGGGAACAGTGGCTTTAGAGCCTGGAAGGTGCTTAATGATGCACAACTAGGTTTTTATTAAAACAGTGTGTCATTCGCTTGCACTCTACAAAAAAGGCTAAGTATCAAGGCACTACTCAGTTGGAAAACATTCTCTTTTAGTTACCATTCCACTCTTACCTGCCTACAAGTTTTGGTCCCAATTAACCTCGCAATTGCACAGAAATTGTCATAGTAGGTACCAATGAGAACTCTAAACATGGAAGCTTCAGCTCCACTCCACTCCACATTCTCAGGAGGCTCAATATTTGGCTTCATCTTGATTGGCGTTTGACACCTGGAATTTGCTTCTGCAATATCAAAAACAAAACACTGAAGTAGTTCTTAAAAGACTCCTGAAATAACACCTATGTACAAAAAAACAGAGACCATATATGGAATAGGCTGCTGCTTCATATATAAAAGCACATGATTTGACTTGACTTTGGCCCCAGCTGAGCTCCTAAAAGGTAGCCTAGCTCAGGGTTCCCAAAACATCTGTCAGCTGAGGGACACAATATTTTTACTTTAAACTAGTAGCACCTCCAGAGCAGCAACACAGCAATTTCCCTGTGGGGGAGTCAATCCTCATATTGTTCATTCACACCTGATTCAGCGAGAAAGCAGGATAACATGCCCTCAGAGAAGTCAAGACGGGAAGGAGGCCTGGCTGGAGCCTATGGGGAACCTTTAGGTGTATAATTAAATTGATTTCTCATGGTACCCCAGAGGTTCTCTCAAGTCACACTTGCATGCCTCAAGACACAGTTGGGGAATGACTAATCTAGCTTTTTCAACAGTCCCTGCAGGAGACATGCATGGACTGATTGCCACACTTGACCTCTTGGTTTTAAACCTCAGCATCCCAGGAAGAGTGCCCTGTTCACTCAGGGCCCTGCACACAAGGAGACCATATCCTTTGGAGCACTGAAACCTGAAACACAAACTTGAACTGTCTGGAGTTCAACTCAGCCCTTCAAACTCTCATTCTCCACAGAATCTACAGCAACATAATGCAAGGAATTAAAGTGCTGCAAATCAATTTTAAAGTTTCACAAGCAGATACTTGAATACAAAAATCTGTAAGGAACCTCCTGTCCATCAAACACCCCCCCCCCCGAATATGGAGTGACTGGGGCAACCTAGTCAGATGGGCGGGGTACAAATAATAAAATTGTAGTTGTTGTTATTACTGGAAGAAACAAGCATTTTAAAATATGACTATTTTTAGTAAAATCAGCAACCCTCCACATTTGTCTCACCAGAGGAGCTTGAAGTCTCATCTTTCTTCTCTTCCTCTTCCTTGTCATTATTTTCACCTCCTGTTTCAGTCCCAGCTTCTCTGTCACTGTCTGTATCCTTAGATTCCAGCACATTTATAGTGGGAGTGCTAGGCCTGCTGGTGTTATTTGGGAGCCTTCCCCTTCGACGACCTCCTGGGCGTTTTGGCGGTGTTTTTATTCGCTCAGCAGTCAAAGCAGCTGCAAATTCTTTGGCTCCTTCCTACGTAGGAATAGAAACACACACACAACATGGATTTTTAAGAAAAGGAGAAAAAAGTATGGCTGATGTATCCTAGCTGAAAATAGGCTGACCAGAGCTAAGGAGCTGCAATGGGGGTTCAGGGTGATTTCCTGCTTGCTGCCTTTTGCACCTTTGGGAAACAGATGCTTACTTTTGTGCCAGACCTTAAAATGTAACATTGCTCTTGAAAAATCCAAGTTCAACCTTCCTTGGATGCACAGTGGTAGTCAGCTCTTTGGCTGAAGTTATATTCCGTTATTATTCTATTGTTTAGACAGCAAATGTTGAGTGCTTGTAAATGCAACTGCTTAGCTGAATTTCAACTCAGGATAATTTTCAGAGAATCCTAGAACTGTAGACATGGAAAGAACCCCGAGGGTCCTCTAGTCCAACCCCCCGCAATGCAGGAATATCAACTAAAGCACCTATGACAGATGCCACTCAACCTCATGCTCACAAGGTATATGTGCTACACAAGAGGGGTGCACTATTAAGAAATATTTGTTTTATGTAGCTTTCATTTTAGAGGTCCACCTACATTCTCTCTTAGTTATGCTCTGAGCAATATTTTTGTTCAAAACAAATAAATAACAGTTCAGTATAAATGCTACTCATATAAGTGGCTGCAGGAACCATTAGCATGATTTGTTCATTCAACACATGGGGTGATTCTCATTAACTCCCTAAGCTGATGAAGTTATTGAAAAGCAGTCCACTCTTGTCATACAGCAGAGTCCACGCTTCTCCTCTTAGAAGCCTCAGGGTTAGGAGGCTTTCAGTGTCTGAACTGCTGAGCAGCTGAAATGACAATGGGAGGGCATTCCTGTTATCAATGTAGCATGGAAAGATGGGGATACTTTCAGGCACTTTCACTTGTAGGTAATTTCTTTTCATCTAGTGTACACCATCTGATCGAATAATGAAAAGCAAAGTCCTTCATATAGAAAGGAAGATATGAAAGTGGTGAAACTCTGACGAGAGAACAATCCTTCCAAAGAACTGAGATTATCTGGCGTCATATCTTTGTTACTGAAAGTGAAGATACAGTGGTACCTCGGGTTACAGACGCTTCAGGTTACAGACTCCACTAACCCAGAAATCGTACCTCGGGTTAAGAACTTTACCTCAGGATGAGAACAGAAATTGAATGGTGGCAGCAGGAGGCCCCATTAGCTAAAGTGGTGCTTCAGGTTAAGAACAGTTTCAGGTTAAGAATGGACCTCCAGAACGAATTAAGTTCTTAACCCAAGGTACCACTGTACTCATCTCATCACATGACAGATTTTTTAAGAAAGAAAAGCATGAAAGCTGCTTTTTCAGACATAGCTATTTCTTCACAGGACTATGCCACTTGACATGCTGCCTGCACAAGGACAAAGGGAAGACAGCTGATTCGTTCTTCTCTTCTCTCTAAAGAACAAAGTGAGGGTGCAACTGGTTGCTTTGGGCACATACAAAATCTGGAAGTGAAAAGCTTTAAGCAAAGTGGGGTCATGAGACATAGATCAACCTATAGAAAGGTAATAAGTAGGAGGGATAACCCAGAGAGCTCAATTTGTGACAATTTTTTTTGGGTGTGAGAAGAATTAATGGATCATGGCCTTCAGAGTTAAACAAAGCAGGAAGATGATTACTGCTGGTCAAATAAATGGCTGAAATTAAAGAAGAACTGAAAAGCCACCTAGCCTTGCATACGAAGCACTGCAATGTGCTTATTCCCAAGGGCTCTGTGAGTTTGAGTGTAGAAAGTAGGTAACATTTGACAGTTTTCACAAAATTACTAAAGACTGCTGCTAGTAGAGATCAAAAAGCCAAGCAGTATGGAGGCCAAGACTTTCTCCATTTGTATCCCCATAAGCCACTCCACTTCTCCAGTGCTTTTGTTCTGCATATTAAGGTAGGTGTAAGAGGCATCTAATGCATCCAATCAAGCTCCTATGTATAAACTCTCTCTTTTAATTATAAACTGCCTTTATAGTCCTACAAATACCCTCAGTGTAATATGAATCAGTTATGAGTGAGAAATGGTTTAGCTCAGAAAAACACACACTGCTACCAGGAAAGAAGAAACGATAAATATTAGCTTCATCACAAAATTTGGTATTCCAACACTGCCAGCACAAAACTCTAAGTGCGCCCTAGCTCTGAAGAAATATCCCAGAATCAGCACATACTTGCTCACTAGTCTTGCAGGACCAAGGTCTCTCTGACCATGTGTAGAAAACCCCAAAGTGTGAAAGTGGGAGGTGTAAGCCAAATTACGTCAACCTTTTTTAAAATTATGCATCCCAACCATAGAATCTGAAAAAATACAGAGTTTTGAGCTTTTGTTGAAGAATTCACAAATTAGTTGGCAGCAACAGCAACACGCAATGATCAGAACGGTGCCAGTTTATTCAGCCCCATCTCTAGCCAAATGACAGCTCAATCGACACAAGGATAAGCCAAAGATGCTGTTCAAAGCCAGTAGGAGGTTCCTCAGGAATTTTCACATAAAGATGTTAGCATTCAGCAAATCATAAATCCTATTTGATTCCAGCACTTTTTTCCTGGGAACAGCTAAATAAAATCAACTTTCTCATCAGCTGTACCTTTCTTTCTATTCCAAGAGTGAAAAAGAGAGCTAATTAACTCTTAAGCCAAAGGAACATTTGTCTTACCAGATGTTGATAACAGTGTGGCCCACAAGGTTTATTATCTATTGCTGTTTCCGTATTTTTCCGTTTGTAAGTATTAGGAGTTGCATGGAATGCTATAGAAAATTGTTTAAAAAGAAGAATAAGCCGTTTTCTTAGAAATACCTTCAAAGACCATAATACTGAAAAAGTTGATAATGAATCTTCATTTAAACAAAGAGTCTCCAACCAGCATGAAACAATATAAAAACAATGTAATAAATTATAGGTACCCAGGATTTTACAGGCTACTTTGCATTGCAGGGATAATAATGGCTACACTACAATTTTAAGAAAACCCTTTGCATAATAAGCCACAATCCAGAGCATCACTGGCACCATGGTATACAGAAGCCTAGGTGCTTTAGAAAGTGTTGCATAACACATTGCTCTGTGAAAAGCTACGCCCCACATCACTGACGGAGAGGCCTCCAGCTGAACTGGGGGTGGCGTGACGTTTGTTTAATTAATTCTTGGTGTTGGCCATGAGCACTTGCTTGCTGAAAGATGCAAGGAAGAACAAACTTAATATTTGTAAGGAGAAATTATATTAAAAGTGAAATTACCTGGAAGACCACCTAGCAGAATGGTACAGAACGGTAGTAACACTTGGACTGAGCAAAGACAAGGTGGTTTCCCCCAGATGCCACTGGACTGCAACTCCCATCAGCTCAGCCAGAGGGAAAGATCAGGCATGATGGAAGTGGTAGTCCAACAGCCCCTGCAGGTATCCCCTTCCATTGGATACCCCGATGGAAGATCCAAATTCTACTTGTGGTTCTGTGCTCCATAAAATGTCCTAGGTTGGTGACCCCAAAATGGGAGTCTCCCACTCGTCTCCCTGCAACATAGAATGTCCTTCCTTCTGCCACACATGAGACACTTGAGGCATCTGATAAAGAGGTAGCTTTTTGTTCCAGCTTTTGTTCCAACATTGTTTTCGTTTGAAAGAATCACCATAATTCCTGTTTTACAGGCAACTCCCAGTTTAGCCATGTCCAAATGATGTGGGACTGCAAACATGTGCCACGTGCACAGCACCAAACCCGGAAGCAGCTCCCATACTTCATAAAATCTCATGAAAAGTGGCAGAGAGGGCTTCTGTGCACCCTGCCGACATGCACAGGGGTCTGGAATGGAAAATCAGGATTGACTGTATATGCCTTTATACTATTTTACTGGTTTTATGTTGAATTTTTATTTTAATCATATTGTTTATTGTTTTTATATTGTATGCTGCTTGGAGATTTTTTAAAACTTTAGAGTTTACAAACGTTTTAAACAAATAGGCAAACAAGTGAACAAAATACGGTCACATAAAGAAAACCAAAATAAAATAAAATTTGAGAGGAACATTTAAGTAAACTGATTCAATAGCCAAGAAAAAAATGATGTGCTCTCTTAAGAGCTTTAAACACATTTTTAAAAAAATTGGCCATGCTTTTATTTGTGGAGTTGTTTGTCTGTTTCTCTGAGTGGGTGGGGGGGGGGGAGTGTGTTAATTTTTTCTCTAGACCATTTTCTAGGGTGAAAGGCTGGATGTGGTCTGGAGGGATGTGTGGTTCCCTGGTTGTGAAGAAAGAATCCAATCCTGCATGAAATTGGTGAGGTTTTTATCCCAGACCCAGTTGCGGGCCTCAGGAATGCCTTCCCTCAGCCTCCTTCCTTTCCTCATTCTGACAAAAAGTGAAAACCATCCTCTTCAATCAGGCTTTTTATAATACTTCAGTCTTTTATTTTGCTCCCAGATTTTGTGCATTCTCTCTCTCTTCTCTGGTTGTACAACACACTGTGTGGCATAACTGATTGTGGGATTTTTGTTTCTTTTATTTAACATACAGTGGTACCTCGGGTTACATACGCTTCAGGTTACAGACTCTGCTACCCCAGAAATAGTGCTTCAGGTTAAGAACTTTGCTTCAGGATGAGAACAGAAATCATGCTCTTGGTGCGGCGGCAGCAGGAGGCCCCATTAGCTAAAGTGGTGCTTCAGGTTAAGAACAGTTTCAGGTTAAGAACAGACCTCCAGAACAAATTAAGTTCTTAACCCAAGGTACCACTGGTATTGTACTTTAACCTGTTATATACTGTTGCAGGGTGAGAAAGGGCATAAAATCAAACTTTAATCATCTCACAAAAGTGGATAAATTAGGCAGCTGACATAAATCATGCACACTTACAGGTTCCAATTAATATACAGCCTTTTCTATTGATTTTAACAGCTGGGGTAGCCATGACTTATTTACATAAAATTTATTTATTAAATTTGTATACTGCCCTTCATCCAAAGATCACAGGCTAGTTCACAACATAAAAAATAAGATGAGAATTAAAAATACATAATAAAAACAAAAACAAACCAACACCCCCTCCCACAAACATGTTTAAAAGGACATAGGCAGTCCAAGGCTTGGGGCAGATAAAGCAAAATATCTCAACATTCTTGAATACAAGGGACAGACTGAAATATTTTAGTACTTACGATGTAAGAAGCAATCATATTTGAAACATCGTCTACAGAAGAGAGTATGAAAGGAGTGTAGACTCTGCTCCCTCTGAACAGATTTCGCATTTGGTCCATCTATGTTTGGTGTGCACTCGGGAGGAAGAGCTCCTGGAAGCTGCTGCTCTGTAAGTTCTTTATATCTACAGAAGTAGTAAAAACGTTCCTATTTTATATGCCAAAAGCCCGGCTTTATTGTCCTTGCAGGAAAAGTACAGCTTATGCAGTTAATCTAAATAATGGGCATTGACATAAATGACATTTGTCTGGCTAAAACCATTTACTTCATTGCTTATTTCATTGATCTGTGATGCTGTAAAGAAAAGGGAAGAAGTTGCCTAATCAAATAGCCAATGCTGACATTCTTTAAGTGCTATGAGGATGGCATTGCCCTAGCCAAATTCTATTTGTTTCAGGGAGAGGGAATTATAAAGGTGCTCAGCAAGCCTATCAATATCAATGGGCCTTTGAATTCCTTAACTTTGCTGGATAACGCCTCCTTGCAATAATTCATTCTGGTAATTTAATAAATCTATAGAAATACCCTATGTGAGGTTACAGCTGCACCCATGAGATGTTTTAATTAAAAAAGAATAAAACTAAACAAGGTTCCATTAAAGTGACTCCCTGCCCAGTCATCTCAAAATTACTTAGATTCCATATCCCATACCAAAGTAAACCTTTGTACAAAACTTGGTCAACAATTCCTATTTAAACATGGGGGGGGGCAGCTGCCTCTCCCTGTCCCCCTTGGCTATGTCCATGTTCAAACGGTGCATGGATTTTATGAAATAAATAAAATACATCTTACTTTTCTTTCAGTTCCTCAGCTGTACCCTTATCTGGAAACATTGAGGAAATGGCTTCAAATATCTTGTCAGAAGGAAATTTACGAGGAGGATGACTCTCTTTATCTACATAGAAACAAAAACACAAGCAATGTTCTCTAAAGCTTAGAATCTTCCCACATTGATTCTCAAAGGGGCAGGCAAACTGAATTGCGTCAGACGCAGAATTCCACACTGACATCTCATTCACCCCAGGGCAACGAAAATGGAAGTGCTGGGGATGGACAAGGCATTAGCTTCCCCCCTCCTTTAGAAACTGAAGGCAGGGGCTGACAGAGTGCTTGGCTTCCTCATTCCGCTTGCCTTTATTTTTATTTTTTAACTTTCATTTTGCTTTAAACAGGTACATGTAAACAGGTACATATAAATATAGACAACCAAAATTACAAAGAAAAATTCCTTAATAGTAATGGAAAAAAACTAAAAAAAAACTACCAAAAAAATCGAAGTACATGACACAGAACATAAGCAATTATGGGAAAGATAAAAGAAAAGAAAAAAGAAAAAGAAAAAAAGAAAAGGAAAAAGGAAGATGAGCCAAAGCAGGAAAGCTCATCTATTGTACACTTCCGTCAAGCTCACAACAGATCATTATTCTTATCAATCGACTCTATCTGCATTCCAAAGGAATCCCTCATCTTGGTATCAGGGAACATTTCTCTATGCGGTATCATTCTAAACATAGCCAGATCTTTCTTGCTGAGCCCTTGTCCCCTAAATAATTATTTAAACATTCCCATTCTTCTTTCACCAATTTTTTTAGGTTTATCTCTTATTGCATCTGCCAGCTTTGCGAGCTCCAAGTACTCGCACAATTTGACTACCCATTCCTCTTTAGTGGGTGTATTTTTATCTTTCCAGTGTTTTGCCACTATAACCCTTGCTGCTGACGTTGCATACATAAATAGCCTAGTTTTGTTTTTGGGAATATTATCTGAAACCATTCCTAGTAAAAATTCTTCCGGTTTCTTGCTAAATGTAGTTTTTATCAATCTCTTTATCTCTTCATAAATCATGTTCCAAAATCTTTGTATCTCTAGACAGGACCACCACATATGGTAGTATGAGAGCCAGTGTGGTATAGTGGTTAAGAGCGGTAGTCTCGTAATCTGGGGAACCGGGTTCGCGTCTCCGCTCCTCCACCTGCAGCTGCTGGGTGACCTTGGGCCAGTCACACTTCTTTGAAGTCTCTCAGCCCCACTCACCTCACAGAGTGTTTGTTGTGGGGGAGGAAGGGAATGGAGAATGTTAGCCGCTTTGAGACTCCTTAAAGGGAGTGAAAGGCGGGATATCAAATCCAAACTCTTCTTCTTCTCTTCTATGTTCCTATCTGTTCCTTACATCGCCAGCACTTGTTATTATTTGATTTATTTATTTTTGCAAGTTTTACAGGGGTCAGGTACCACCTATAGTACATTTTCATAAGATTTTCCCTTATACGGAAACAAGCCGTGAATTTTATATTTTTAGTCCATAATTCATTCCAAATATTGGGTTTGATCTTATGTCCCAGGTCCCTCTCCCATTTTACTGTAATTTCTTTGATATCTTCCTCCTTTCTTTGCCAATTCAAAAGTAGTTTGTACATTTTAGAAAGTGTCTTTTGATTATTATATAAAATATCCTTCTCCAGATAGGATATTTTTTTGTCAAATCCTTTGGTTCTTTTATCCTTTTCAAGGGCGGCTTTTAATTGATAATACTCCAGCCAGGTTATTCCCTTCTGTTTCAATTCGCTTAGGTCCTTTATTTTCGGATCACTACTTGTTTCCTCTACTAAATCCTTATATGTTAGCCAATCGCTGTTCATATTCATCCTGTGAACCGACATAGATTCCATTGGTGACAGCCACCATGGTGTTTTGGTTACTACTGATTTTTTACTCCTCTCCCATACTTCATATAATGCCCTTCTCACAATATGATTTAAAAATCCTTTGTGGGATTTAACCTTGTCATAGCCTATGTAGCCATGCCATCCGTACACAATATCCCACCCCTCCAGATCTAGGACTTCCGTGTTTTTAATTAATATCCAGTCCTTAATCCATGTCCAGCACGCTGCCTCAAAGTACAGTTTAAGGTCAGGGACCGCGAAGCCTCCTTTTTCCTTCAACTCTGTTAGTAGCTTAAATTTTATGCATGGTTTTTTCCCTTGCTAAATAAACTTGGCAAGGTCTTTCTGCCAATCCTTAAAACACTTTACGCCTCTAATTATAGGTATTGTTTGGAACATAAAAATCATATTTGGCAATACCATCATTTTAACTGTGGATATTCTCCCCCACAGGGACAGATTCAATTTTCCCCAAGTCTCTAATTCTTTTTTTATTTCCTTCCACTTCTTCTCATAATTGTCCTTATATAAGTTTATATTCTTATTGGTGATCCAAACCCCCAAATAATTTACCTTATTGGCTACCTTTAAACCTGTTGTATTTTCCAGTTCCTCTTGTTCCAACTTACGTAAATTTTTCGTTAATAATTTGGATTTTCCTTTATTCAGTTTGAACCCAGAGACCTTCCCAAATTCTTCCAGTTGTGCGTTTTTTGGATACTTTCCACTGGATTTTCAGTGGTTACAATTACATCATCGGCAAAGGCTTTAATTTTGTAGTATCGAGTTCCTAGGTTAATTCCTCTTATATTTTTATCCTTTCTTATTGCTATTAAAAGTGGTTCCAAGGTGGCAATAAAAAGAAGTGGGGAGAGAGGGCACCCCTGTCTTGTCCCCCTTGAGATGCTGAACTCTTCGGTGATCTCGTTATTTATTAGCAATTTTGCTTTTTGGTTATCATATATCGCCCTAATTCCATTAATTATTTTCTCCCCTATGTCCAGACCTTTGAAAGTTTCCAATAGGAAATTCCATAATACTCTATCAAAAGCTTTTTCTGCATCAACCAATAACATGGCCATCTTTTTACTTGGTTTCATTTTGACATATTCCAACAGATCAATTATTATTCTTGTATTGTCTTTTATATGTCTATCCGGTAAGAAGCCCGCCTGGTCTCTGCTGATTATTTTGTTTAGGGTCTTTTTTAATCTATTAGCCATCACCCCAGCATAGATTTTATAGTCTGTATTCAACAGGGAGATTGGTCTATAATTTTTCATGTCTGTCAACTCCACTCCCTGTTTTGGGATTAGAGTGATCAGTGCTTCTTTCCATGATTGTTGTATATTTTTCCCTCCCAGTATATTATTCATTATTCTTTGTAATATAGGGAGAAATACTTCTTCCAGATTCTTATAGTACATTAATGTGATTCCGTCAAGACCTGGCGATTTGCCACTCTTCATTTTTTTTATTACTTGTGCTATTTCATCTATTTCTATATTGGAGTTTAGGGCCTCAACTTCTTTTTCAATTCTTGGTAATTTATTTTGTTGTAAATACTCTTCCATTTTATTAACCTCTAAATGTTCTTGTTTATACAAATCTTTATAAAAGTTTAAGAATTTTATTTTTATTTTTACTGGGTGTTATTTCCTCCCCTTGGTCCAAAATTTTATTTGTAACTTTTTTTGTTTGCTTTTCCTTTATCATCCATGCTAACAACTTACTGGGCTTATTGGCGGACTCAAAATACCTTTGTTTTGCCCATTTAATTTTATTTTCTACTTCCTTATTTAATATACTAGAGATATGGGATTGCAATATCTTTATTTTTTGTAATATTTCATGACCTTTTGGATTTTTGATCAGCTCTTTTTCATTAATTCTTATCTGTTTAGTTAGCTCTTGGATATTATTGTCTTTTATCTTCTTCAGCCTAGCTATTTGTTGTATTCCAAGACCCCTCATGTACGCTTTACTTGCATCCCAAACTACATTTATATCTGTATTTTGTTTCCCATTTATCTCGAAAAATTCAGCTAACTTGATTTTTGCTTGCGTCACCCATTGGTCGTCTCTCCATATCTCATCGTTCATCCTCCACCTTCCCTTTGTTTGCTTTTTAATTTCCATATGTATTGTTACTGGATTATGGTCTGATATAGTCCTTCCCAGAATTTCTGCTTTTTCTAAGAAGAGGGTCAGCCCTTTAGAGATCCAAATAGCATCTAACCTCCCCCCTGATTTTTTAGCTTCCGAGAAGTGTGTAATATCTTTCCCATTAGGGTGTTTAATTCTCCATGAGTCATAGAGGTCAAAATTGTCCACCATCTGGAAAAAGGAGAGCGGTAATTTACCTTCATTGTAAGTTTCCCTCTAAAAGTTCTATCCCATTCGACCGAGACCACTCCATTCCAATCTCCCATAAGAACAATATTCTCCCCAATATAATTCCATAACTTCTTTTCCAGCTCCTTGAAAAACTCTGATTATTTATTATTATTTATTATTATTCGAGCATAAATGCCCACTATGATTATTTCCCCCCCTTCTATAGTAATCTGCACTCCACTTGCCTTTAATGTGTGCCTTCCAGAACCAGGGCAAGACCAGGTACACGCAGCCAAGCAATCTGGTTTTCCTTATTGTCAAAGAATGCCCTACCTGTTCTTATTTCCTTGACTTATGACTGCTTTGACACAGTTGCCATGCAGTATGGGCAACTTACTCCCCTACGCCAACACTCAGGCAAAGTTCCAAACTATTCTACTGTTTTGCCATGGCATCGATGGAGAGAGAGAAAATGAGAATTTGAGCTATCAGAAGCAATCTGTTTTTATTCTTCTATAACAGCTGATTGCTTAATTAACTCTCATCTCATGACGCAGATGAGCACACTTATTAGAATTTGTGTCCCACTCTATGCTCTGGGGTTACAGCAAGTTCAAGTTTTATACCTAGATCAGGTGCACTCAACCATCAGCATGAGACCAGGGCCACTGGGAGCTGCCCTTGACCCAGACAGGATTATTTGAATCCTACTGTGAAGGTTGAGTCCTGAGAAGGGTCTTAAGAGCAGCCTCAGAAAACAGGAAAGGAGGTCAGAATTGTTATTGTTGCTTGTAGCCTCTCCCTGGGCTGGACTTACAGCAATATTTTGGATGAAAGCCAAGCAGGAGGCACTGGAGCCGTGGAAAAGGAAAGGGGAAAAGAGAGAGAAAACTGAGGGCTCAAGACCCTGATCCAGAAAACTGGTCCCTGTGATCAGCTGGAGGCACCTACCAAGGAGGGCCTTCAACACCTCCAAGGAACTGAAACCAGAAGCAAAATTCACAGTTATGTTCCCAATGGGCTCTCCACTACTTAACTTTGGATCGACAGGTTAAGTAGCTGTGTGTAGAAGAGAAAGGACCTTCTGTAGCAAAGGCAGTTGCTGCAGAAGTGTGCGAGTCAAGTTTGCAGCCATCATGTGACTGCCTAATGAGGTAGTTGAAATGATACCAACAGTGAGGACTATGCAGCTGGATTCTATAGTAGTGTTCTATGAAAAACTCTCCAAGCTTGGAAACGCAGATGTCAGGACTGGTCGTTGTCCTCTTCAGATCACTACACAAACGCTTCTTGTTCTTTTATAAAACTTTTTATTGTGTATTAACAAAACAATCTTATAAACGGTTCTTAACTATTCTTCCTCAGAGTCACTTATTTCAGATACCTTCTGAGCTCTGCTTCTCCGTGATCAGCCACCTTCAAAATGGCAAAGGTGCCCTTCCCTTCGCTTTCCTGCTCTTTTTCCTACCCTCCTGGCTAGAGCTGGCTTGTATCTCCCCTCCTCCCAATCTGAGCTAGAACTGAACCCTTGCCTTTCCTGGGAACAGCCGGTCCCTCCCTGTTGTTCCTCTTGCTCCCTTCTGTTAGATTCACTGCTCTCCTTCCCCCCTTGGGGAATGCTTTCTCCCTCTGAGAAACTGGAAACTTCTAACTCTTCCCTGACAGTAGAGTTGGAAGGGACCCCGGTGGGCCTCTAGTCCACCCCCCTGCAATGCAGGAATCTCAAAACACAGTAAATATTGAAGGTGGTCTAAACCACTGAGCCTCTTGGGCTTGCCAATCGGAAGGTCAGCGGTTTGAATCCCCGTGACGGTGTGAGCTCCCGTTGCTCGGTCCCTGCTCCTGCCCACCTAGCAGTTTGAAAGCACGTCAAAGTGCAAGTAGATAAATAGGTACCACTCTGGAAGGTAAACGGCGTTTCCGTGAACTGCCCTGGTTTTGCCAGAAGCGGCTTAGTTATGCTGGCCACATGACCCGGAAAAACTGTCTGCGGACAAACGCCGGCTCCCTCGGCCAGTAAAGTGAGATGAGTGCCGCAACCCCAGAGTCGTTCACGACTGGACTTAACTGTCAGGGGTCCTTTAGTCTCAGAGCCACCTTGTAAATGGGAGAGGGTGTTTTGCCCAAAGGTCAAGCTGAGAAGTGTCGAAGGTCCAATACATGCGTATTTGATGCGCTGTTTTAACTGTTTTTAATTGCCTCCCCTGTCTTACCTTTTTAATTTGTGGGGGGGGGGGATTTGTTGCTGTTGTTTGTTTTCTTTTTTAAAATTTTTATTTTCAAAGTTTCAAAAAACAATAATTTGTTAAACACAGACACACTTGTTTACATTAAACCAGGGGTCAGCAAACTTTTTTACGAGGGGGCTGGTTTACCACCCCTCAGAGCTTGTGGCGGGCCAGACTGTGCATGCACGCGCACACACGCAGCGGGGGGGGGTTCTCTCTCTCCCCCAGCCCTGCCCCTCCCCCTGCTCGCCTACCTCCTCCTCCGCTCTGCCTGCGGTGGTGGCATAGCTGCCAAGTGTTTGGAGGGATAGTCCCTTATTCCAGCGCCATGTCCCGCTGCTGTCCCTTATTGACGGATGTCCCTTAAATGATGTTCCTTAAATTTCAAAGGAAGCAGCTCCTCTCCCTCCCTCCCTGCCGGCCAGGGAGGAGGGAGGCTCCAACTGTGTTGCTTGGCTGTGTTGCTCACCCAATAAGAAGTCTAAGAATGACTGGGAGCTTGCATGCCTTGTGCTGATCAAATCGGCTGCGTTGCCTGGGGACTCGCCTTTGCTCAGCGCTTCCCAGCGGAGAGGTGATGGTGGTTTTCCTTGAGGCTTTGTTTGGCTGCTGGCTGGGCTTTCTGCCTTTGGCTCAGAGGGGCTCAGAAGTTGAACATACCTGTGCTGAGTGCTCAGATCGGAATCGGATGGATATGTCATCGACGGCCCATTCACCTTTGCCAGAGAAAAGGTCTGTCTGGAGCGGGGGCACATGGTGGGGGAAAAGGAAAGGAGATCTCGTGGGGGGGGGGCTTTTGAATTTGTTCTGGAGGCTCCTTCGATTAACTTATGAGGGAAAAGAAAGGAGCTGGTTGACTAAAATGGTGGGTGACTGGCGATCTCGTGGCGAGGGGGGGAGGCTGTGTGTGTGTGGCTAGTTAATGCAAGCAGAGGAGTTTTTTGAATGCTGGACGCCATTTTGTTGCATGTGCTGCTGCAAACTTTGCAGTGCAAAGCCAGGCCGGGGAGCCATCTTAAGTTGAGGCTGCGTAGGCCTTGTGGTGCATGTGATTCAGATTCTATTCAGTTGAACCTCTGGTTACAAAGTTGGTTGGACAGTGTTCTCGAAGCTACCAGCATGAGTTTGACCAGACTGCAGGAGGACAGGAAGACTGGAGTGCCTGGAACAGGTGAGGCTGCAGGTCCCTTATTTTGGCTGTTGATCCCTTATTTTCAAGGCTGCTGGTCCCTTATTTTCAAATCTGTAAGTTGACAGCTATGGGTGGTGGTGGTGCCTCTCCTTTGCAGGTCAGCTTTCCTGGGCAGCAGTTGTGGGGCCAGCAGATGCGCCAAGCTCCAGCCAAAACTCCGTGATGTGCCCGTCATGATGCCCACAGCGCAGCCATGGACGGAGAGGCTGGTGGGCAGGTGGCGAGGCTTCGGATTGGCTGGCACCAAAGCCCAGCACTCTTCCTCCACAGGGCGGGGAGAAGCTAGGAGGAGGGAGGGAGGAAGGAGGAGGCGCCCCCCGGTGTGTGTGAGGAGAGGGGGGAAATGGTGCCCGAAAAAATTTGCAAAAAATAAAAGAATAAATGGCACAGCCAGAATGATCACACCGATCCAAGCGGCGATTCCAGGACTGTCTGCGGGCCAGATCCAGAGGGCAAATGGGCCTAATCCGGCCCGTGGGCCTTAGTTTGCTGACCATAATTCATATCAGTATCTTTATGGGGTTCCCTGAACCCCCAGACTTCCCCCACCCCTCCCTTGGCTTCCAAAATTTATCTTCCTTTTTCAACTGTATCTAATTACATTTATCTAAATTATTACATTTCAATTTTATCCTTTGTCACTTTAAATTACAAGTGGTATGTCAATCCTGCTAACGTTTTTAAATGTTTACAGTGTTCTTTAATATATTCTATAAAGTTATGCCATTCAAATCAAATCAAATACCTTTACTGGCATTAAAGTATAAAACATTTCAAGTCACTGGGATAATTAAAAGTTGTCAAGGGTCATAAGGTCACACTGTGATCGTGTGCACTTAGATATTCTGCTTCACCCTGTCTGTCCCCCAAAAGGATGGATCACTGGGAAACCTTTTGGTTAAGATTGTGGCTAAAAATGAGGCTACTAAAGCAGTGATATCTTTGTCCCGATCTGCCCGGAGAAACCTCATTTGACTTCTTCTTGGAGTTATAGGCTGGAAGTCCAACATTTTCCTCAGCATCGGTTGGCGAGGTCTGCTGTGTAGAGAGCAATCTCAGAGAATGTGGTCCATTGAATCAGGTACTCCTTGGTTGCAGGTACACAAACAGGCTTGATATGGAGTATGTGAGAATCTGCCTTTGGTCACTGCAGAAGGGAAAGCATTTAATCTTGTGAACATAAAGGCTCTTCAATGGGAGGGGAGTAGTAGATATTTGGCACAGGTTCCATAGGATGTTGTAATACCTAAGGCCGCCGGAGAACAAGATCTCGGAGTATGAAGTAACAAGCGCTGTCTTTGGTAGTCGTAGAGTCGCTGCTCGATTATTTGGAATTTGTAACTTTCGTCACATGCTTCAAGGCTCTCGAGAGCAGTGCCCAAACTACAAATTTTATCTTGAATTGCTCTCAACCATCTAGATGAAATGCGGTCTTCAAGCACAGAGGTTAAGAAGGAGTTAGCTGTTGTTCTAAAGTGGACTTTCAGCCAGGCCTTGGTTGTAGTCAGCCATGCTTTGGTTTCCATCAGATGTTGACCGGTTTCAACACATAAGGCTAAGTAACTCATACATTTAGGGGCACCAAGGATCTTACACAGAAAAGCTGCTTGAATTTGTTCAACTTCTCTATTAAATGCTTGTATCCAAATTGGAATGCTGTACAATAACTGAGAAAGGACCTTGGCATTAAAAATATTTATTGTAGCGGGACCATCTGGTTGCATCTGAGGAAGAAAAAATGAAGAATCGCAGATCTGGTGCATTTTGCTTGGATGATCATTCGGCGTCTGTGTGTTGTTCAGTTTAAATTTGACTGGTAGGTATCCCTAGGTATTTGAAAGATTTTACCTGGTCAGTGGGGTGATTATCTAGTCTCCATTTGACAATTTGATGACTTTGAGGAAAAAATCATACTTTTTGCCAAGGATTTATTGGACGGTAATTCTTAGGCTGCTTCGGGTCATTTGTTTTTAATATAGGAGTGATGATGTTTAGCCAAACATCTGGTAATATCCTGAATTTGTCAATTAAAGTAAATAAGTTGACTAGTAGAGGGGCCAACTTATGCCATTCTTTGTTGAATTTACTGTCCTATTGGTGGCTGATCTTCCCGGTCAGCCTTGCCATTTCCACATAGTCCATCAACTTCATTATCCATTCTTCTTTCGATGGGGCTCTTTCTTCTTTCCATCCCTGGGCAAATAACATTCTTACCACTGTCGTCGCATACATACAGTACTTCCTTATCCTTCGGTAATTCTTCTCCTATTATACCTAATAAAAAGGCCTCTGGTTTTTGAACAAAAATTATTTTAAACCTTTTTTTCAGTTATAAATCATTTCCCAGAAGGCCTTTGCTATTTTCCAAGTCCACCACATATGATGGAATGTATCTTTAGCTTTACACTTCCAACATTTGTTGGTCAAATTCTTATACATTTTCGATAATCTTGTAGGAGTCAAATTACCATCTGTACATCATTTTCATATAATTCTCTTTTAACGTACAGCAGGCTGTAAATTTTAATTCCTCATTCCATAACTTCTCCCATGAAGCAAGTTGTATATTATATCCCACATCTTTTGCCCAGTGTATTACAGATTTTAATTCCAGTGTATTACAGAACTTTTTCATTATTTCCCAACAGTTATTTCTGTAATCTCAAAAATTCTTTACCAAAACCAACCCCTTTATCCAACCTAAAGATGTCATTTAATTGGTGATATTGGAGCCAATCAGTTAACAGATGCCTTATGTCTTCAAACTTTTTTACTTTCAATTGATTTCCCTCCATGGTCAACTCATTATACATTGCCCATTCTTTTTCCATTTTTTTTTAACTGACACTTCCAATGGTGATATCTATCATGGGGTTTTATTCTCTAATAAGTTCTTATATTTTCCCCAAACAGCATAAATTGATTTTCTAACAATATGGTTTAGAAATCCTCTATGAACTTTGGATTTTCCATACTACATACTGTCTTTTGCATCAAATGAAGTCTTATTTCCAATTCAAATCTTAACGACCTTGCAGCTGTTTCAATTTGGCAGTTTGTGATCTTATCCCATCTTCTCCAGCGTACGTCTGTACATTAGTCTCAAATAATCTCTAATGAACAGAACCTTCTTAATGGTGGTGTAGGTGGGTTACCAACAGGCGAAGTGCTTTTGCACTCAGTGCCTCCCTGCCTCCTGCATTCCATGCCAGAGCAAAAGCCAGGTACCGAGACAATATGCAGGTGCAGCCTGTTTTCCCCATTCCTGTGGGGGGAGTTTGCAAGGATAATTATCCTCAATCATCCTTGATTCATCTATGCCAACGATCTCCCATTGTCGTGGGACCTGGCTCCATTAAGGCAGCCAGAACCGGAAGCCCCAGACTGCTGGTTCTGAGGTTCCATGCCAAAGCGACTGGCCCTGGGGTGGCTCAGGACTTCATGACTTCCATGATGACCATGGAGCTGTCCCAGCATGTCATTGGCCCAATATGGCCGGCCTAGTGATGTGAGGTGAGAATATTCTCGAGAATGAGAATATTCTCTGCTAGAAAATTATCCGGAGAATATTCTCCACAAACTGTAAATTCTAATGTAAGAACCATTTTTACAACCCACATTTTAAAAATCTAGTAAATAATAAGTCAAGCTGTGCTATTGCCAGTGTAAGTAATGAATAATTTATATTTTATCCAGCTACATTACTAGGAATTGTGTCATTCACCATAGGCAGTTCTGAAATGTGAGCTACGGAAAACATTTGTTTAAAAGTTTTTAAAATGTTATTCATTTAATTTGATGAACATTTGAATTTGTATGTATTTCAACCATATGTAATAGCTTCCTCACCCCCCATTTTGATATGACCTTATTCTTAGCAATTCTATACCCTTGGCCATACGGTGTGATTTTTTTTTTTTACAGAAAGTAGCTTTAATGCTTTATACACTTAAAAGTAACTAGGTCTATACAATTATGTGTAACAGCATGTGAGGTGGCCTTGATTTAAACAGTTGAGGTTTCTATATATTTAGTGCCAGTAACTGGTTTTTGCAGTGTCATTCAATGGTACAAGGTGCTATTTACCAGAGACTGACATACTAAAATATATTATCATATATTTTATGATAATAAAATTTGGCACTTCACACTGAAAGCAACATCCTCCCAAGCACCATCCCTGGAGACAGTCATCCAAGTAGGATTGGAACCTCTGGAACCACTGCAAAGAAGTACAGCCCATTCCAGAATACAATGAATATCACTGCAGAAGAATACAAGGGTTGATGGTGTTGAAAACCACGGAGAGATAAAGGAGAATTAACAGGGATACACTCCCATTGTCTTTCTCCCAACAAAAATAATAATACAGGGTGACCAAGGCAGTTTCTGTGCCAAAACGGGGCCGAAACTCCAATTGAAATTGATCTAGAACATCAAGTCTCATCTAAGAGAGCCTGGATGTGACCTGTGACCACACACTGAAGAACCCTGTCCAAGAAGGGGACACTAGCAACTGATTGCTTAGATTTTCTGGTCCACAGAAATTTTCTTAAAGTTTCTTAAAGGTAAAGGGACCCCTGACCATTAGGTCCAGTCGTGGCCGACTCTGGAGTCGCGGCACTCATCTCGCTTTACTGGCCGAGGGAGCCGGCGTACAGCTTCCCGGTCATGTGGCCAGCATGACTAAGCCACTTCTGGCAAACCAGAGCAGAGCACTGAAACGCAGTTTACCTCCCCGCCAGAGCGGTACCTATTTATCTACTTGCACTTTGACGTGCTTTTGAACTGCTAGGTTGGCAGGAGCTGGGACCGAGCAACGGGAGCTCACCCCGTTGCGGGGATTCGAACCGCCAACCTTCTGATCGGCAAGTCCTAGGCTCTGTGGTTTAAAGTTTCTTACCACTGCTTTATATAGGCAGGCACGGACAACCCACTCCCCCATGGAGGCTTTGATTGTAACAAGCTGTCCCCTCCTTCCTAGATTTAATCAGCCATGAGGGGCAAGATCAGAAGCAGTCAACCGAACCTTGTCTGTGTCTTCAAGCCATACTAACTGAAACTTATCCAACACAAGAAGCCTAGAAAGTGTTCCAGATGCCTCTGGAAATTCATCTGATGGAACAGTGGAGTCAAGATGCCAGCAGATGTGGCTTCTGTCCTCCAAATGCTTCACAAAGAAGTCACAGCAGGCCACCGTCAATTCCTTTCCCCTTCAGGTGAGACTGTAAGAGGCCCTGTACTACCAAGAAAAGCCGCTCTAGGCATCATATGAACAAAGCAATAAAAACAACTAAGTGGTTCTTCTTCATTGCCTTCACTGCCACCAAGTAGGCTCAATAATTAGCCGTCACACCTGGTGTTTTCCTCCACCCGCATTCAACCCTTCTCACGGCTTGCTTTGTTGCCCTCAGCTCAGGCCCCCCCCTCAGGCTAGAGCCTGAGGGCGGGCCTGAGGGGAAGCCCAACAGGAGGAAGGCCTTCAGAAGCAATTATGTCCATGGTCTAGGTCCTCTGTATTCCACAAATTACCCAGGGGTTCAACAGGAGAGCCACTCATATATATCAGCTGGAAAATCCCCCAGAGCCATCTGAAAACCATTTGGAGCCATCACCATCTGAGAGCGGACCATTCTAATACATTCCCACCTCTGCAGAAGGGGAAAGGCATTTAAATAAATGTCTTTGCACCATATTAACCTACCTATTCTGCTGGCCTCTCGGTTCTTTTGCTTTTCATTTCTCCCATCAAGATTGTCGTCTTCGCCACCATCGTCGTCGTCATCTTCATCGTCTTCGTCATCACTATACTGCCCAAGAGCATTGACCAGCTCCACAAATATCTCGTCATTGATAAACCCACATTCTGAAATCAGGTATAGACATAAATGGAAGAGATATGCATTTGCAAACAGGCTGTGCATATCCTCAGGTAGCATAGCTCACCACGCAGAAAAAAACATTAAAAGTAAATTAACTTTGGAAACACAGGAAAATGGACATGAATAAGATCTTGTAGCTATTTCTCTTCAACTATGCTTTTTTAGTCTTTCAGGACACAACACAGAACTTTATTTGCGCTGAATCTAGACATATATAAAAAACACTGTGAACATGCCTTTTTTAAAAAAAATTGTAATATATATATTGAATTTCCCATTAGCTCACCATCGCCATCTAGTGTCACATTTGTATCATGCACTTAAAACGTTATATTTGCAACTTTATAGCTGAGTCCTGGGATAATTCTCTTGCAGAAAATGAGAGAGTAGCCAAGCCAAAGACAGAAAGATATTTAATATTTCATTATCATTCCTATCTCTAATCACAGATAATTCAGAGCAGCATTATTTTTGCAATCCTAGTCCATTTACCTGGGAATAAGTCCAGTCGAACTCAATGGGACTTACTTTTGAGCAGACATGAATAGGATTGTGCTATAAAGAACAGGTTGCACATCTAACGCTAGATATTAAAGCAGTCATCTGTTTAGCCATGTATATGGATTCTGTGCTTGTGCAGAACTCAAACAGGAAGTTTCCAAAACTGGGCTAGAGTTTTCACAGGAACTCCACCTGACTCTTTCATGTGCATGCATTAAGAAGTATTTTTCCCAATTTCCCACTCAGCTCCATTTTTGGACTGACATAGCAGCCCTGCAGGAGAGGGAGAGAAGGGCAACAGGCACAGCAGCATATGCAGTGGGAGAGGCAGGTGGGTTGTGCAACTATATAGACAAGGGAGCAATGTATTCCTTCTTGTGGTCTTTGTCTATCCCCATATACAGGTGCAGTAGTAAGCTCACTTACCAGATGCAAGGCACGTGTTATGAAATGAAAGAGATGAGCATGGTCCTTTCAGAGACTTTTATATCGTGGTTGGCTTTTTAGGTAGTTAAGCTCAGAACAGCACAGGCCACCCAGACTGGCGATCAGTAGCAGTCAACTTACAAACATACACATCTGAACTCACCTCTGTCTCCGTGCACCTTTCCGTCATAGTTTTTGATTAATTCTTCAATAAAAGTTCCATCCTGGTCAAGCACTTCATCTCCCATATAAGGAATGTTATGTAAAACTGTCTCATCCTCTACCTAGACATAAGGTAAAAAATATAACAAAGGGGGGGGGGAGAGAAGTCTCTCACCGCAAGCACAAATTTTGATCACTCATCAATCCTTGGCACGGCAAAGCCAAAAAGCAAAGCAACCAACAACTCACATCAAAAGCAAGAATTCCATGGATACTTAATCAAAATTCCATAGCCGTCCACTAATATATGGTACCTCTATATAGCAAGGTCTCCTAAGAATGGTACCTCATCTCTACTTCCTCCTCTCATCTGAAAGCGATGTCCCTTTCATTAAGAACAGAATCAGCAAAGCCAACTGCACATTCCTTTGTACACATGCATGTGATTTTTCCATTGAAACAAAGAGGCCAGCACACATGCTAGATTCTGGATTGGGCAATGGTCTAAATGGTCTTTACTCGTTTTCCTTTAGGCTTGTAGTAGAAATTGCTGTGCAATGAGCATTCACTGTAATGAACTGTTTTGTAAGCTAAACTATTGCACAGTTCATACTTTGTGACCCTACAAAAGTGCAGGAGGGACATCCAGATCATTGCAAGGGGTGTAGTCAGGAGTGATCTTGTAGAATATACACAAAGGGCCATAGCAATTTCTTTAGCAGACATTTCAGTGGAAATTTTCCCCAAATGCCATAGTCATGTGCATTACAGTAGTCATAAGCAGTATACAGTCACCATGTGAGGCAGAAGCTCATGTAACAGCATTTCTGTGTATGTTCCTGCGCATTTATGAGGGAAGAGTGACCTTCTGTAGTTAATCATTTGCATAGATTAAACAGCTCTGTACTCATATTAAGACATAAAAGGCATATTGTATTTTATAATCGAATGTGTGTGTGTGTGCGCACGCGTGTATGAATACATAAAATCATAGTTAAACAATACTTTTAAAAACCTATTTATTTAGGGAGGGGTGGGCAGAAGGTAGATTGGAATTTATTGATAGATCTGTAGGTAATCTGCAAAGATTAGCAAGGACTCCCAACTGAAGTCTCCCTGCTCTAAATTATACTGCTAGCTAGGGGTAACCAGAAGTGAATTTTTGCTTGGGATGATGGAGCTCAGCTTAGTTCCTGTACACAAAACAAATACCTGGACACAGAAATATTTAATTCTAAATGTATTTCTTTTTTCTCTATATAGGTTCTGGCAAAAAGAAATAAAGTAGATCCCACAAGGCGGAAGTCTATTAAGGAATGCCCTTGCTGCAAATATTGCATAAAATATTTATTTTGTGACTATATTATTTTTTGTGCTACTACCTTTTTTCAAATAAATTTTCTCTATACAGTGGTACCTCGGTTTACGAACTTAATTCGTTCCAGAAGTTCATTCTTAAACCGAAACCGTTCTTAAACCAAGGAACACTTTCCCTGATGAGGCCTCCTGCCACCGCTGCCCTTCTACCATTCGGATTCTGTTCTTAGACCGAGGTAAAGTTCGCAAACTGGGACACTACTTCTGGTTTTGCGAAGTTTGTAAACTGAATCGTTCGTAAACAGGCCTGTTCTTAAACCGAGGTACCAATGTATATGTAGAGAAAAGGGTCATTTGGCCTACCTATTTCTTCTAAACCAAAAATATATACCTGCTACAGTCAATGCAATTCTATAAATCAGTTTTATCTATTGCAAGCTGCTCAACTGACATGGTAACGCCAGCAATTTATTTACACATTTCATACTCCCCTTCAAATTTTCTGTTTAGTTTAATACTGGTTTTAATGGATGATTTATTTATTTATTGTTGGAGGTGTCATTTTTCGAACAGAAAATAAAAGCAAATAAAAATAGGCTTAATGATTCTTTTTAAATGCCTCTTTTTAAATGGGGAAAGGGAATTGGATCAGGCTGGTGGGCCACATCCTTACCTCTCTCACCCTCTGCAGGCTAATTTTAACTGGTGGGAAGAGTCATCTGCCAATCCCCTGACATCACAATGACTTCAGGTGACCTGCTATTATAGAGCTGGAAGGGACCCTGGGGGTCTTCTAGTTCAACCCCCTGCAATGGAGGAATCTCAACTAAAGTATCCATGACAGATGGCCATCCAACCTTTGCTTTAAAACCTCTAACGAAGGAGAGTCCGCGAGAAAGACACTGAATGTGCTTCCCTTCCCACTTACCTTACGAACCATACCATCAGCCGAGAAGCACAGTTCAATGCAACTCTTCTAATTTAATTCTTTATTCTGGCTACTCTGAGTTGTCTATTGGATGCCAAATTATCTGTCCAAAATTGAGTCCTTTTGTGAATCAGCTTCTGAAGACCATAAAGCATCAGTGAGTAGCCAACACTTCCTACATTTCTTAAATGTTTGGTGCAAGTTCTGTAAAAAATTCCTCAAACAGAAATGCCCAGATTTATTCATCCATGAAGAAGAATTATGGCACTGTGACTTTACTCAAAAGATGCATTCAGATGCTTTCTGCAAAATCCAGCGTTTGCAAATAATAAAATTAATTTTATCACGAATCAATTTGACACACAATGAGGTTTGCTGAACCATTAAAACTATTATTGGGCATAGTAGCACTGCAGAGTCACACTATACTAGAAAGACGGCATCAACTATTATTCAGCAGACTCTTTTGCTGGTTTCCATTTCAGTTGGTTTAGTCCCGTATTTCACTTACCATAAAGTTTTGCTGAAGGGGAGACCAAGAGTACATTATGGGTACTGAAGCAACAGCATTCAGAGTCTTGAGGGGAATTACTTGCTTTGGAAAATCTAAGTCACTGGTGACTGAACACTGGAAGAAGAGATACAATTACACTACTAGTAGTACGTTGTTTTTAAACAGCAGCAAAAACCTGACTTGACAAACAAAGGTGTGCATTTCGAAGGGATAAAGTGAACAGTTTTAATTCAAAAAGAAATGCTAACATTGAAAAGTGCTTATAAATGTTTGCTTTTACTCAGATAGGGTTGTTCCTTAGGTATGGTGCACACCATACATAGTAAAGGTAATGTGTACTTTCTAACAACATTTCAAGCAAACACATCATGTTAACCAACCTCCCTGGTCCCACGCAATGAGCTCACAGAAGTCATGATGTGCACAGGTTGTATCCGGCGTTGTTTCCATTCTTGGTTTAATATTTCTGTTCTTTCCTGGATCTTCTGACGATTAGAATTAAACATGCTCTGGAAATAAAATAATGTTTTAAGAACCGAGAACCCATAAGCATTTGTAAAGTTATTTGGGTATCTAAAAAGAATGCTCGTCTGACTGTGAAAGACAGGGAAGGGATATAGCTCCATAGCAGAACATCTGCTTTGCGTGCAGAAGGTCTCAGATTCAAGCCCCTGCATTGTCAAGCAGGACTGGGAAAGTCTCCCATCTGAAACACTGGAGTTTGACTTCACTGTAGTTCAGTGGCAGAGCACATGCTTTGCACACAGAAGACCCCCGGTTCAGCCCTGACACCCACGGCCAATGATCAGACTCAGAATAAAGCAGCTTCTGATGACTATGTCATATGCATCTGACCAAAACTGCTAGAGGTTTCATTATTGTCCAGATATTTCAGGAGGCAAGGGTATTTTATCATCTACCTTAAGAGTGCTTAAACTGTGGTCCACAGTATATTTTCAGATGGTCTCTGACAATATAAAAAATGAAAGAAAACAACTAATATATTCTTCAAAAGCAAATAATGACAAAATGCTGGACTCCAGGAGCTTAAAACAAGATGCGCAGAACCGTGAGGTTTGCACTATTTGCACTAGGCAAGTTCCCAAGGTCCTAAAAACAATGATGCTTAAGAACTCTTGACCCGTACTGATTTTCAGACACACCTTTTCTCAAAAATAGTCCACTAGAATATTTTCATTGCATCTGACAAAATAAGAGGTAAACTAATTTAGGCATTCTACTATGGACAATCACAAGACTTGCTAAGCAGCATATAAAGATGGACCAAGAGCTATGCACATACAATACCATACTTCATTATGTCAATGCTATAGACAGCAAAACCAGGTGCGAACTAGTGTCATGTAGAGCTTAAGAACATGACTTATGAACTAGGAATCTCTCCAGACAGCTTTGGGCAACCATCTCTCACAGCCCACACCCCTTGCAATATATGGGTAATATTAGCTTACCATCAGGGTTATTGTTTTAAGATATTGATTAAAGAACCACATGTTCGCACCTAGAGCATTGGACTGTCTACAACTTTGATTTCTGACCGCAGGCCCTCACACTGTACCAGATGCCACTCCATGTTCCCAGACTTCTAGGAGCAACTGGCAACAGGAGGGCTGACTGATGCTATGGGAAAGAGGTCCTGAAAAGTTACAGAGTACAGTTCTTTCCAAACAATATTAAAGTGAATAAACAGTTCAAAAAGATGAAAGCTGTTTTAATAAAGCATCACCTTTAGAAGGTACTTAAATTTGTGTTCAACAAATATAATATTTTAAATTAAATTTTGCAGGACACCATTCATTCTGCTTACTCCACTTGCATTATATGGTAATTATAATTTGGGGCTGGCCAATGAGCCCAAGATTTCCTGTCCACTGTTCAAAGTCAGAAATCCCATTGGGCTCTTTAGAGTATAGTTGCTCTGTTGCAAAAATCCAATTTCTGTACTGAGGGTGGTAAGATATTATGCACTTTGCATATATAAGTATAACTTTTTCTAATGCCAATGCAGTATATGAATCTTTCTAAAAGGGACAACAATACTGAATGGAAAACAGCTATTTACTTACTTATTTTTAAAATATCTAGACTGCCCTTTGCTCAAATGGATTCCAGGCAGTGCTGGATTTAGGGCTGTGCAGGCAGCTCCCCTGCACAGGGCACGGAGCCAAGGGGATGCAATAATAATAATAATAATAATAATAATAATAATTGTCAATGTTATCAATGTTTGAGGGCTATTCTGTTGCATTAGAATTATAATGTATTTTTATTGTTGTACATTGTTGGTAATATTGTGCTCTGAGCAAGAATAACATTTGGTGTGTGCCCCCCCTTTCTTATTTTCACAGTAATTCCTGATTGAGACAATAAAAATACAAAACAAAACAGAGATACAAAGGCAGAACAGAGGCCATAACAACAATTTAAAATGCCCAAGGGAATAACTTTTTAAACCTGGTGTTCTAAAAAAATTGTAATGTCAGCACTGGTTAAGGCTCCCTAGAAGGGTATTCCAGAGTCAGGGTATCATCAGAACTAAATAGATCACAACATGAGCAATTGTTAAAACTCAACGAGGGACAGCCTCATTTTAATGCTGAATGCTCTCATGGTTGCCCTTTTATGAGAATACAGGGTGAAAGTCAAAAGCAAAATATTTTACTACAAAACTACAGTATAAAAACAAATTCATACTGAAAAAGAGTCATCTTAATACCTTATTATTGGGATTAGGTGTCTTAGTTACCTTTACTTCATCTGCCCGTCTGAATCTCTTGAGTTGCCTAAGTCGCATATATTCTGATTTTACACGCTTCCTCCAGCAAATTGGTCCTTTCTCAGATTTCTTTCCGGTCTGACCCATGATTATCCCTGCAAGGAACAGAACCTAGATATATGATCAAACACAGTCAGGCCTACTAAGTGGCTGATATCTATTCTAACACCAAGGGTCTGTTTATGCATGCAACGGAGCCTATATCTGAAACGGGCTATAGCCCGTCTGCAGCACTCATTTCCAACATTACAGTGCTACTTTTTCAGCTGGAAAATTCAAATGATAGTATACTCCAGAGTCCTATCCTTAACCCTGCCTTAGTAGTAAATAAGTCTAGGCTTTGCTGCCACTCCATTCTAATAGTATGGGTTCCACAAACCACAGAAGTATCAAGATATAATCCTTGACATTTAGGTTGAGGTTCAGTGTGCGGCAGCTGTTTTCTGCTCCGTTCCTTAGATTCACCACTGCAAATCTTACAAATGTGGGTTGCGTGTTGATAAGAGATTGCAGTTTCTGGTCATGACAAATAACTCCAGCAATTCATTAGTCACAAATGCAGAGTGCTCACAAGGAGTGGGGAAAAGGAACCTGTTATTAGCAGAGTTATAATGAACATCAATCCTCACTCTTAAACATGAGATGATCTCAGTGCTAAGATAACTTAGCCTGGGCCTCCCAATTAGAAATCATTTTTAAGTTGTGTAGATAATTCTTTTACTATGATGAAGAAATGTTGATAGCTGCCATGGAAGCTTGTGTTAGAAAGAAAGGCACAACAGAAATTTACAAGGTTGCAGAGCTGAGTAAGCCTTAATGCTTTTAAAGTTTAAATTATAGGAAATTTAAAATATTCGGATATATCAATTACACATACAAGGGCCTTTAGTATTTAGTATTTAGCTTGTAGTTGAGCAGGCCACTTTGCTAAAAAAAATCCATGCGCTCTGCCAGAGAAAAAAGAATCTGAAGCCAGCTAAAAACTTAAGAGCTCAGCAGAAGCCCCAAACACAGGCCCATGACATTCACAGCAATGCTGCCATTGCCAGCCAATCCAAACACACCACCTAAAAGGAACACTTGCCTCACTCAAAACACACGTGGCCAACCATCAGCACACGCAGAACTCATGCACATGGCTCTGCCAGCAGTGCAAGCACTCAATGATCCCCACATCAGACCAAGGAAACCTGGCACTTCACAGGGGCCAATGCAAAAACAAGCCTTTACTGCAAACAAAATGCCTTATGCAAATGTGGACTATTGCCTGGCTCCACAGCCTGCTCAGAGGGGCATTCTGGCACCCTTGTTGCTATGCAGCATCAGACATGGCACCACCACCTTCCCCTACCACAGAACCCTCCCCCCCCCCCGCAGCGAGGAGAGCCCCACCGCAATGTCTCTGTGCAACTCTACCACAGTCACCACTGGCCACTCAGGTTCTGCCTCACAGCTGCTTTGGAGGCATCTGTGGTTACCCAGAGCAGTGTCAGTATGAGAACCAGCATTGGTGTGTGCTATGGGAGGGTGGCCAGAGAAGGCAGGCAGGCAGCCGGAGGGAGCCCAGCCACTATGTTCACAAAGGCTGCTGGGCCGATGGGAAGAATGCCTGCAAGGGGACCAAAGGAAGGGGCATTACTAATCCGGGTCCAGGGAACCATCCCTGTGCCCAACAAAGAAGCCCATAGGGGCTACCCCTGGAACACAGGAAGACATGCACGAAACTCACTTTCACTGTTGGGGCTCTAAAGAAAAAGAGGAAAGGGATGGATGGGCAGACCAGGCAGGCAGCTTCCACACCCTCCACCACTTCCTCTGCCGGACCACCATGCTCACAGGTGCAGATGGGTCACCAGCATTCTGCTGACTGTCATAGACATTCTGGGTCAGCATGGGATTAACAGGAACTGGACAAAAAGACTGAAGGAGAAGAGGCATGACCACTATGCTTGAAGTAACCCCAGTATCCACCACCTGTGTTCCCCACTCCATTAGTGTGTCCCTTCTGTAAGGGTGCCAACACCACTGCCGTGCACTGGCTCATAAGACATGATAGGTGTGAGTGCCTTCTTGTTCAGTGCCTCCTGGAATGGTATGCCTGAACAAACTTGATCTCCCAAGCACACAGTGTTATTACATCACTCGAACATGCAATCCCCAATGGGGGGTGCCCAGGGTGCTATTCTTCTCAACAGCATTTGTGTACCATTTCCTGCTGCACTCCTTATCCAGGCCCCCATCACGAATGCACAGGACCACCTCAGGTTTAGCCACCACAATCTAGTACAAAAAAGGCCTATTCCTGAGGATGCCAGTTTCTCCCGTCCTCTGGAGAGGCCCGGAGGCCCAAAGGTCCCTTCCTGGTATCTGGGACAGAACCAGTTCTGCTGTATCCTAGCCCCCTCCAATGGATCTCGGGTTTGGATGGCACAATAATTGGCATTGTTCTGCAAAACAGCAATTAATTCTGAATCTGATTATCGCATAAACCCAAAGAGCAGAAATATACAAATGAGTAAGTTTAAGAAAGAGAAAGTATATCAAACCAAAATGAAGGAAGTCAATTATGCTACATTCAGAAACTCTTGACTGCCCCAATAACTTAAAAAGGAACCAGACAATTACAAAGCTGTTATCTGCATGTATTTGGTATACAGCAGTCAATACTTAAGTCAGTTACAAAGACCTTCTCTAAAAAAGCAACAAATGGCTTGAACATTCTCACACTGAACCAAGACAAAACACAGCCCATGACTATCCCAGACATCATGCAAACCAAATCAAAAGGCTACAAGTCCAGGCCTGGGCTGTTACCAGCACAGATTCCAATCCTCTTATCTGTATCAGTCCCTTTTGACTAATTTAATTCCTATACATTTCATGTCCTGCAGCTTCTTCATCAAGTAAAGACATTTTTGTGCCATAGGGAGCTTCACTGCATGCTCAAGAAAGAAAACACCATCTGCCTGAATTTTCAGAGCACAGAAATTCTAGTACTGTATTACTTCTATAGAAGAAATAACTTCACTGTAAAAAACAAAAGGACAAGTTCCTTTACAGAACATTAGTTAACACTGCAGAACAGACTGCAAAGCTGCAACAACATTCACAACTTCTCAAAGTAAATATAAACATTACTGAAAAACAGGCAGAGCTAATCTGCAGAGCAGATAAGATTTGAAATGGAGACGGTATTCCCATCACTTGCATCAAAGGGGGAAAAAGTTTCCTCTTCTTTGTTCTGCTCCTCCACAAAACTGTTGTGTTTCACACAAAAAATAGCAAGACGACAGACAGGGCTGTTATATACAAACTGTGATTTGTTTAGTTTTCCCAGACCCAGATGTTAAGCCTAAAAAGTCATCCCATGGCATTGGTATCATTTTATAAACAGGGTATCTGAAAACCAAGGATACGCACAAGGACCAGCTATGTTCTCAAATGTCTAAGGGACCACTGATTTCCTTCAGTGTCTCCTTCCAGTTCGCTGGCTCAAAGAAAGAAAGAAGTCTAAGGAACTGTCCCCATGCAGCTCCCATAGTGCCCCATCATCTGTTACCCCAGGGAAGTCTGCATAACCATCTTTTTGTTGTTTAGTCGTGTCCGACTCTTCATGACCCCATGGACCAGAGCACGCCAGGCACTCCTGTCTTCCACTGCCTCCCGCAGTTTGGTCAAACTCATGTTGGTAGCTCCAAGGACAATTTCCAACCATCTCGTCTTCTGTCGTCCCCTTCTCCTTGTGCCCTCAATCTTTCCCAACATCAGGGTCGTTTCCAGGGAGTCTTCTCTTCTCATGAGGTGGCCAAAGTCTTGGAGCCTCAGCTTCAAGATCTGTCCTTCCAGTGAGCACTCAGGGCTGATTTCCTTAAGAATGGATAGGGCAGAACCATCTTACCCTGAGCCAAATAAGAAGGGGCGGTTACATATTTTTTCAAAACAAACAAGTTGCCTTTTACATTCCATTGCAAGTTTTTTTTAAAAAAATGATGCTTATTATTGAAATAATGTTATGTAAACTGCCTTGTGAGGTCTACCTTAAATGTGGTATATACCGTATTTTTCGCTCTATAAGACACACTTTTTCCCTCCTAAAAAGTAAGGGGAAATGTGTGTGCATCTTATGGAGTGACTGCAGGCAGGAGGCTCTGCTCCCTTCTCCCTCCTCGGGGAAAAGCCCCCAAGAGCCGCACACACACTCCACGGCTCTTTAAAGGGAGCGCGGCTCCTGGGGGAGCCTTAGCCGTGCGCAGCCTCTCCCGAGCAGGGAATGAAGGCTCCCCTTGCCCGGAGAGGCTGCGCACTGCTAAGCCAGAAGCCAGGACAGCGAGCAGGATCGCTGCGCTGCGATCCCGCTGGCTGTTCTAGCTTCTAGCTTAGCTGCGTGAAGCCTCTGCAGGGGAGTGGGGAGCCTTCATCCCGCTTCCCTGCGGAGGCTTTGCGGGCTACCCCAGAAGCCAGAACAGCTAGAGGGAGCACTGCGCAGCGCTCCCTCTAGCTGTTCTAGCTTCGCGAGAAGCCACCGCAGGGCACAGAGAGCCTTCATCCCGCTGCCCTGTGGAGGCTTCGTGCAGCTATCCCTGGCTTTTGCGGGAGGTGGGGGAAGGGAGAGAGCGCATGGCTCTATCCCTTCTCCCACCTCCCAGAAAAGCCCCCAAGAGCCGGGGGAAAGCCTGCAAGTGCCACACACACACTCCACGCGGCTAGTGAAAGGGAGCGCTGAGCAGAGCCTGGGATGCATACAGGCTATGCTCAGTGCTCCCTTTAAAGAATACTTTTTTTTCTTGCATTCCCCCTCTAAAAACTGGGTGCATCCTATCCTCTGGTGCGTCTAGAGTGAAATTATTGTAAAAATAAAAATAAAATCTCAACAGGCAAAATGAGAGCACACTCAACTTGCGAAGTATTATTAAGAGGACCATAAAGTTCATGGTTATGTTGAGGGGTGGGGTTTGAAGAAAATGAACTAAACGGCAGCTCTAGTTGTTTAGGGCGTTTCTGCAGAATTTAAACTTCATTAGAATTGCATATAGAACATGGTGAACGTATTAGCCAGAAGCCACGCAAGCATCAATAATGTAAGTAAACTGACGCAGCGAGGTACACAATGTAAATGTCACTGTCCTCAACTCCATGTCCCTTTAATTACTACTACCAGGAGCATTTCATTCTAGTACAGTGGTTCTCCTTTCTTTCAACCAGACCACTTGAAAATTGGTAAGTGTCTTGGCAGACCACTTAATGGTTTTTCTGCCTGTTGTTTACCATTTGTAATCTGCTGCACTAAATGCTCAACTTTTTTTTTTTTTAAAAAAAGGATATGGAATTCAGCATGGTAAGAAAAAGAAGTACAAATACAATTAAAAGCAATTTAAAAGCAATGGAGATGTTAAACATTCTTCAATGTTTGGTGTAATCTATGTCAGCTTGAGTCTTCAGTCGGAGTCAGCATTCATTCTGCCCATGCACTGACACTCTGCTCCTTAAGTGCCTTGTCAGCCTCTTTCCCCGGTCGGGACCATCCCCCATGTTGCTACCAATTGCAGCTTTGTCCCTCTGGGAAGACAAAAGGCACCTCGCCACCTTGGTCACGTTCTGCTCGTTCTAAGAACAATGGAGCACACCATTGCTCACCTGCACAGCTATCCTGCTCCACAGAGCTGGGGCCACATGCCACCTAAGTGTAGCTCACAGACCTTTGGTGATCTGTGGACCACGCTTTGGAAACCCCTGTTCTAGGAAGCCAAGAGCTTCGCCTATTTTTCACTTGTCCTATCTAAGTTAGAGCACTTACTTGCAACATTTGCAGCAGACAATCCAATGGAAGTTTCTCATTCTCTGGCCCAACACTACGTATACCAAGCAGAGATTTCCAGGGGGTCCTCCATTCACACCCTATTAAAGCAGGATGCTCCTCACTTTATGCAATTTCACTGATGCATGCGGGGGCACTGCCCATTACCCCGTGTAAGTGGGGGGCAATGCCTGTATATATTCAAATAACAATTAAAATAGACGGCGGTATAATAGTTACTACAGCAGAGCAATAATGCATTGAAGTCCCCATTCCTCTTCTTCTCTTAGCATTACAGCACATGGGATGCCAAATCTCCTTCTGGAGCTGAATTTCCTGCTGTTGAAGAGGCTAGGTGTCAGTCTCACACAAGCCAGGATGTCCTCCCTGGGTGGCTGCTACATACGTCTCTCACAGCCCCGGCACTGGTGACAGATACAGGAGGTACGGGCTGCAGTAAAAATGCTATGTGCCTCCTTCCCACTTCTCAGCTGTTCCAACAATTGTGATGTTGTGATTTGGCACTGTGCTGCTGGCAGATTTATATTCATCCGCCTTCCTAATGATCCCTCCTCATGCTTAGCATCTGCCTTTTTCACATTTTCATTGAGCTGCCCCCCTCCCCCCCCCCAAAAATGACCCCTTTCTCGGCCCAGACACTGCAAGCCCCAATTTATGAGTGGAGAGGAATCATTGTATATCAACTTCTATAATAATTAGAGGTGTGTGCAAGATTTAAAAAGAAAACCCAGCTAAAAATGTTATCTGAACCTGGTGACCTCATTTACATACAACCTCATTTAAAAAAAAGTTTAAGTAAAGATAAAAGATTAAGAAAGATGAGACAGTGGCCAAGGCAGGAGATGCAAATGATATATCTATGTGACAACTGCAACGGCAATGAGAAGGTTGGTGCCTTTTCAGTGACATACCAACTTTAGCAATAAAACCTCATCAGAGTAAGTTTTGAGTTTTAGATGTAGACTACAAAAGGTACCAGAAGTAATTTGAATTTTTTTCTAATGTAAGGAGTTGGTATGATAGGTGTTTGAAAGTTCTGCATATACTATGTTTGTTCTTTTCAAAAGGATCTTAAAGGCAACTGCTTTTTCTTGACAATATGCATGTTCAAAACTAACAGGGAAGGAGATGAACTGTCACGGTATTCCTTTAGGTCTCTATCTTGCCCATGCTTTGAGCAAATAAACAGTTACTATGCTAATATGAATTTTGGATTTTTTTTCTTATGGGAGAACAGGGCTACCTTTAACATTTGTAAAATTATTTTTGTACCCATACAGAAAGGTCTGTGTAAAGTTAAATCCTATACAATAAGCAAACAATGGAATGCTGGAAGATATATATGGCCTGAGATGCAATAATAAATAGAACTGGAGATCACATTATCATTGTATTTTACATGTACCCCATCTATCTCCAAAGAGATCATAGCCTTTGCCTTCTTTTCAAAACTAAATTCATTACAACTAAGTAAGAATAACACCGTAAGAGCCAGTGTGGCATAATGGTTAGTGTGTTGGACTAGGACATGGGAGACTAGGGTTCAAATCCCCACTCAGCCCTGCAGCTCACTGGGCAACATTGGCCCAGTCACCATCTCCTAGTCTAACCTACTTCACCAAGTTGTTGTGAGGATGAAATGGGGAGGAGAATCATGTGGACCACATTGAGGTCTTTGGAAGAAAACAGCAGTACATAAATGTAATAAATAAATAAATAAATAAATAAATAGTTGATAGTACACAAGCCTTTCCTTAACATTCTTAAAATAAGTGATCTGCATGTTAGCAATTGATACCCCTCAATTATTTATTTTAAACGTAATAGGCTTTTATAAGAATATTAAGATAATTCTTTACCTACAATTGAGAACTGGGATAGCTCAGTCAGGAGAGCATGAGATTCTTAATCTCAGGGTTGTGGGTTCGAGCCCCACGTGGGCAAAAGATTCCTGCATTGCAGTGGGTTCGACTAGCTGACCCTTGTTGTCCCTTCCAATTTGTGCAATTCCATGATTCTATGAAGGTGAGTAGCTGAAAACATACAGCAGGCAGCTGCTACTTCTTTTTGGAAAGGGATGATAAAAGTGAAGGCTTTTCATAGTATGGGGTTACATAGAATATAGCTTCTTTCCTAATTAGATTCCAAATTAAAATAAACCACACACATTAATGACTGTGTAATTAGTAGATCTGCTTCATGTCCTGTCAGGCTTCAGGTACACAGCTTCCTTCCCCCACCTTTGGCCGTAGATAAGCAGGACAAAGTGAAAAGAGTCACTTACAATTTAAAGATTATTTAATGATCACAGCGAAAGAACAAAGCAGCCATTCTCAGAATGAAGATGTTCCCAATTAAGGTTTCCACCAACTTCCCCCCTAGTCACTTCCGTGCCTTGCAACCTGATCTCGCAACGTCTGTGCTTTTTCTGTAGCTACCTTATCTGCTCTACGTGACCTTGGACTGATAGACTGGACACTTTCCAGCGAGAGTCTGTTAGCTCTCTCTTCCAGTTCTTCTTCACCTTGCTGTTCACCCCCCCTCCCCCGTTCGCCCGCAACTTTTGTCTTCAGAACTATGCTCCTCTGCAAAACCACTGTTCTAAATCTATATTGTTCCACTGCTCCTGGGCAGCTTCAGGATCCTGGTCAGGAGCAGGGGGAGGAAGAGGCTCTCACCATTCCTCATCAGAGCAGTACTCCTCAGCCTGGTCTCTGACATGTCTATGCCCTGGGTTGTAATAATGAAGACATTATAATTGCATCTGAAATAAGCAAGTTTCTGTAGCTATTTTAATGAATATATGGAATTGGCATACAGTGGTGGAAGCAGCTAGTAACATTGTTCATAAGGAGAAGGAAATATACAGGAAACTACCAATATATGTGAGGATTACGTTCCAGGCCTCCCCGCGAGTAACCAAAATCACGTATATTGGGAGCACTCTGGAGGGGCAGTGGGGCTTGCACCACGGATGCATGGGGAATCTTCTTCCCCGTGCATCAGCGGAGCTGCTCAACAAGATCCACTGTCCCTCCGGCTCATGAGGAGACCCTCTCCAGAGCCCAAAGAGGATGTCCTCTTCGGGTTCTGGGAAGGGTCTCCTTGTGAGCCAGGAGGACTCTCCAGGATGCTCCCCATTTCTGGTTTACACTTCTGGGTTCCTGGCACCGCATGGGTGTTCGGTAGCATGCAAATGGGGAATTGCCTCACAATATGATAAACAGTCCCCTCAAAATATGATAAAAATTGACTTTCCATATTCATTTCTTTGAACAGATTGAGGAATGTCCAAAACAGACACAAAGATAAAATGAAATGCTGTTTCATTAAAATTACAATTATAGGTCTTTTTGGAAATGACAACCAACAGTGCAGGTTAACTGAAGAACTCAAATCAAGATCCTTAGGTACCTTATTTTATTGCCCTCTGCTAAGTTCCTATTCATTTTCTAGTACAATTTCACTTGCTGGCCTTCCAGTCATGAGATGTGCAGAGTTCCACCCAATAAATATGCAAAGAAACACAATGCCCTCTTCTTAGACTCTTGGCCCTTGAGATTATCCTTTCAATAACAGTACTTGGGAGTACTGTTTCTTTGCATACTTATTGGGTTGAAATCTGCACATCTCATGACTGCAAGAACAACTATTGTCTAACATGCCATGCTGTCTTAATTTTGATAACCATTCTGGCTCACCTTAAATATTCAACCATTTGTATTGCTTTTCTTAAGAAAAAAGAACAAATAAAAAACCCTGCCTAATGGCCACCACATGTATGCTATGTTGAGTCAACCGACAAATGGGACCACCAGAGGCTGTATGTGGCTCGCACTGCAACACCATGCAGTCCAGACTATTGATTAACAGCAGCAATATCTAAATGCCAGACTTAACAACTAGTAACAGGGCCAAGCCAACAACTTCTCTCCCTTTCCTTTTAAGCTCTATTTTGCTCCTATTAAGCACAAGTTAGATCCTGATAATGGAACTCAATTGTTTTGAAATACTACACAGGTATGCTCCAAGAGAACCCCCCCCTTTTTTAAAAAAAAACCAAAAACTTTTATTAGGCTTTATAGAGAAAAATACAGAACTTAATATCAAATATCTTTTCCCATTTTTTGTCCAAACTATGACTTTGATCTAAATACAATAAAAACATTGGGGTGGGGGAAAGAAAGGAATAAAGTAAGAGATTTTTAAAAAAGAAATAGAAGAGAGGTTAAAAGAGAAAGAAAAGGAAATTTAGAAGACTAGGGACTTCTTTTTTTAAAGGAACTCGCTTAAAAGGCTCATTTTAAACAAGGTTTGTAGGATTTTAAAATATGACTAACACAGTTCTTAAAACTACTTTTAAAACTACCTACACACATACTCTTGGAATAAGCAGGATCATATTATTTTTACAAAAACTGTGTGATAAATTAATAGCTTCTGGGTCTTGTTCTCTCCACACCCCACTGGCCATTAAGTCCGTATTCCTTCCTCTCCCCGAATTCCATACGGAAACACTTTATCCAAAAGCAACCAAGTCAAACTTTGAACTCTGCCACTTTGTCACATCAACTAACTAAACTATTGCTCTGCTTCAAGAGGGCCAGGTACTGCTACCTGGATTCTGATCCTAATCTTGAAGTTACTACCAAGAAGAATTTGAAAATATGGAAGAGAAAACAGGAGGCAATTTCTGGGTGCTATGGATCTCGCTCACCTTGCATACCAAAATGCACTGCAATGTACACGTTTTCAGTTTATTACAATAATAGCTTGCTGATTATTTAGAAAAAGGAAGCTCTGTTATTACATCAGCAAGTTTAAAAATATTTAGTGGATTATGAACACAGATGTTAGTCAAGCGCACATTAGGAATGTGCTACCATGCCCCGCAATACTCAGCAATACATAATTGCCAAAAACTTCCCCTAAATGAGAAACTGTTATGTGAAATGAATGCAGTTGCCTCTTAGGCTTTCGAATGTATTCACAGAACTTGTGACTGCCAAATTCAAATGCAGTCTATCAGCCACAGATGGCAGCCTACAAGGGGCCCCCAAACTAAGGCCCGCGGGACTCGTTTATCCGGCCCATGGTGACCCCCACCGCCCGCTGCCACCGCTCACTCTTACCGGCGCTGTGCTGCGTGGCTGCCCATTTCCGGGTTGGAGGAGCACCGGAAGTAGCTCCGCTGCACTCCCCGGGTTTCAGGCTGCAGGCTTCTGTCCACAAGCCTTGGGAGCCCGGCGGGAAGTCGCGCGTGGCTCCCAAGGCTGGCGGATAGCTTCCTGAACAAAATTGCATATTGTCAAAAAATGTACTCTACCTGCACCTCTGAATGCTCTCCCAAGATGAGGGCAATGGCAGATTTTTTACATATTTGGCCAAGCTGAATTTGCACAAGTGAAACGTGTGTATGTTGCCAGTAAACAGTATATACTGGAAATATATCAGATGACAGAAAGTCACAGCCAATTAGGCATACTCTATAAACGTGCATCAAACTAAACATCCTCCTTGTGACTTTTCCACAATGAGTAACAGTGGCACTAGGACACAGTTAAGCTGGCTTCTCTCAAAATTAGTGTTGCTGCCTAAGAAAAGTAATGTCTATCTTCACAATGTGGTATCTTTAAAAACCACAAAGAAAGACAGTTGGACATGCTATTTCCTTTTAAGTATCATGCTCATTTTGTTCAATTCATTAGCCTACCCATTTTAGAAACATCAAATTGTTATACCTACTAAACATACCGGGGAGAGAGAGAAAATTATTTTTATATTGCGCAAGAATAAGCTTTGTGGGAACATATTAAAGTGGGCTAGAAAGTGATACCAGTTTAATAAAGCTTGCAATGTTTGTTAATTGGTTGACCAACCAAAAATCTTCTGATTATTCCTGATCAACTTGGCAGCACATTTTTTAAAAGAAACTGATAATACAACAATACACCTGTCAACTCTGAAGTAACTGAGTTCAATTAGGCCTACTCCTTAGCAAGTAATGCAGAGCTTTCCAAACTTTTCATGTTGGTGACACACTTTTAGGACATGCATCATTTCTTGACACAGTAATTCAGTTTTACTAGCAAACCACAGGTTAAACTAACACCTTTCCAGCCCTGAGAGGAGCAGGGGGTGGGGCATTCGCGCAACACACCTGCACACTGCAGCCTAGTGTGTCATGACACACAGTTTGGAAAGCTCTGAAATAATGTATGCCTAGGACTCCAGTCTGATTTCTATTTCATATAAAGCTTACAAAAACCGCTGATGGCAGCTAGCTTCTTAGAACAGGAATTCTTCCTTACCCTACAGCAAGAAATTTTTGCTTTATTTATTAAATTTCTGTATCACCCTTCATCTGAGGATCACAGGTTGGTTTACAATATAAAAACACAAGAATACTAACATTGTAACAAACAAAAACAATCACTCCCCCCCTCTACACATGGTTATTTATTAATTAAAATACTTCTGAGATGGTACCTACTGCGACATATACAGGCATTATCTAAAAGCAAATGTTTTCCTTTCCATGTTGCTCATTCATTTGCAGACATAAAATCCATCCATTGTTTGTTTAATCAAGTGACACCTTCAAGCACAGTTGCAGCCATCAGATGAATGTCAGGACTTCCACTGATGGAAATTCTAGTGAAAGCCCACAATGGGCTACACTGTATTTTCAGGCTTCACACCAGCCACAAAAATTAAGAACTATCACTGCCATCAGCAGGACTGGATCTGCTTAAATCCATCCTCCGGGTTAACAAAATTCTGGATTACTTTAAAGCAAGCATTATATTAATCTTTTCTACCAATACCAGTCACACAAAAGACTTGCAGCACAATCCTATGCATGTCTATTTTGAAGTACACATGTACAGGATCTGCTTTGATACGCAAGGCTTTTCAATTTTGGAAACAGTAGCGGCAACAACTTATTCAAAATTCTTCCACCGGCATCACCCATCATGCTTCTGGTAAAGTGGGAAAGCACCTTCGATTCAAAAGGCTGAGGCGTCCTGGGGTGCTCTGGTGCGGGGGCACTACTGAGGTGAATCAGAGGCGGGGTTTGCACTTACTGGATTCCCCCCAGAAAAGGTAAATCCCGATTATAGCGATTAGCATTTTGAGACTGAAAAGCAGCATGTCTGAGGAGTAGCCAGCGCACGGCGAATGCATGGAAGCCCCCCTTGCTCCGGGGTCCGCCAGGTGCGAGGAGGGTCCCCTCCCTCACCCCACCCCCGACGCCCAACGAAGCAGGCAAGGGCGCGGCGGCGGCGGCAGGGACGCCTCGCTCGGAGCCGGGCTTCCCGCTCGGCAGCTTCCTCGGGCGCGCGGAGGCGGCGCCCATTCAAACAAAGGACAGTTCGGCGCCCGAGCCCAGCGCCGCCGCGTCCCGGGCTGGGAGGAAGCGCCCCTGCCCCCCCCCGCCCCGGGAGGGAAGGAGGCTCCGGACCCCCCCCGCCCGTGCCCGGCGCCCCCTCCCTACCTGCTGCTCCCCGAAGAAGAGGCGGCGCCCCGCCCCCCCCGCCCGTGGCAGTTGCAGGGGGAGGGGCGCTCTCTCCCGGAGGGCAGCCCCCGCCCCTCAGCCCCCCCCCCGCGCCCCCTCAGGCGGCCGCCCGCCCGCCCGCCCGCCCGCCGCTCACCCTCGCGCCCTCTGCCGCCGCCGCCGGCCTCGCTCTCTCCCTCGGGCGCCCTCGCTCTCCGCCCGCGTCTCCGCGCGCCTTCTCCCTCCTCCGCCTCCTCCTCCTCCCGCTCAGGACAAGAGCGCGGGCGGCAAACTCGGCGGCGGCGGCGGCGGCGGCGGCCCAATGGGCAGCGCGCTCCTTGGCGAGGGCCTGCCGGCGCCCCGATTGGACGGGCCCGCCCGCGCGCGCGCCGCGCAACCCACCAACCGGCGGCTGCGGGAGGCGGGGCCAGGGGCCTGCTCGGCCCCCCACGTGCGGGCGGGAAAGGGCGGCGGGAGAAGCTCTTTGTTCTCGCGCGCGGCGCGGGGGGGGGGAGAGTTCCCCGCCCTCCCCCTCCGCCATGCTGCGCGCCCGCGTGTCTTTCGGGAGCCCCTCTCTCGGCCCCCCCGCTCCTCCGTCGGGAGGCGCGCCGCCGTCAACGGCTCCTCCGGCGGCTCCGCCAGAGAGTAGGCGGGGGGGGGAGGGGTCCGTCGGCTCGCTCTCTGGCGGCGCCGGGCAGCGGCCGAGAGCCTTGAGGGGGGCTTCCGCCGGGGTCTCTGCCCCGAGGAGCTTGCCCCCCCCCCAGTTCAGTGGCATTACTCCCGTGGAAAGAAGCGGGCATAGGACGGCAGCACTTGGGGCAACCACCTCTCTCTTCCTCACAAGTAAGCCCAAGTTTTTGAACTTGCGCATTTTACCATTCCTGCATCCATTCAAACCATGTGTAGACACAAAAAACCCTGTCGAAGTTGCGCCGCAACATTGGGGCAAAGGCGAGTGAACGCCGCCAGCGAAGTCTTTCCTCAGCAAGCAGGTGATGCGGGCGACGTTATTGCAGGGGAGGGGAATCTAACAGATCCCAGGAATCCCTCTGCTTTGAGTGACTCCGTCATGGGCCATGGGCACTGGTAATCATACAAGTAATAATAAAGGAAGATTCGAGGGTAGCCATCAGGAACATGGGGAGAAGCGAGTGTCATAACGGGGGCGGTGGAAGTAGCTGCCTATAGTTGAAGCTTCCTGCGATAAGCCAGAGATGGGGGCGGGGGGGGGGCTCCAGGGAGAGGGTTCTGGCGTAAGGGTGCCAAGGAGATGTGCCTAGATGTGTGTTCAAGACAGCAGCTATGAGAAAGTGTTTGGGGTACATATGGATGCTTTTGAAGTTGTTTACAGGAACATTTGCTTTGACAACAGATTTGTACATATGCATGATTTTATACATAGTGACAGAAGTAACATTACCAGGCGACATGCCTAGTTTTCTCACTTGCTTCCAGTTGTGGAAAGTGGGTTTTTTTCACAGAACTCAGGCAAATGACATGCAAAGCCTCCCTGAAGTTACCTCTAAGGGTGCTCCTAGCACCTGTCTTCATGGAAAGTTATTCCCCTTCTAAATAGGTATTAGCCATAATTTAGAGCAGACTAAATGTTTCTGGTACTTAGGGTTGTTGCTTCACCGCACAAAGCCTTGGAGCTTCCACTGGCAGATTAGCTGTCAGAAGGTGGAGATGAGCAAACTTGCAATATGCTCTGCCCCCCCCCATAGAGGTCAGTATGTTCCATCAGCTATAAGAGTTTTTAATGCAAAATCTGTTTCCCAACTCCTAAATGCTGCAAATGTCTGGTACTGTGGTTCATTTCCAAAGCTAGACAGGTTCCAGGCAAAGTTATTTTGTGTTCCTGATTCAGTTCTGTTTCTGGAAACTGATGAATGACTTCTTTCCATCCAAGTGTGGCGGGCTGTTTTGAAATACAGTCGTACTTTGGTTTTCAAACAGAATGCGTTCCGGAAGTCCATTCAACTTCCGAAATATTCAGAAACCAAGGCTTGGCTTCCGATTGGCTGCAGGAGCGTTCGGCAGCCAATCGGAGGCCGCACTAGACATTCAGCTTCTGAGACAAAGTTTGCAAACTGGAACGCCTACTTCCGGGTTTGCGGTGTTTGAGTTCCAAGTTGTTTATGAACTAAGCTGTTCAAAAACCAAGGTACCACTGTACAGTCATACCTTGGTTCTTGAACGCCTTGGTGCTCGTACATTTTAGCTCCCGAATGCTGAAAACCCAGAAGTAAGTTTTTGAACGTTTTTCGGAAGCCAAACATCCGATGCGGCTTCCACTTGAGTGCAGGAAGCTCCTGCAGCCAATTGGAAGCTGCGCCTTGGTTTTCGATTGTTTTGGAAGTCAAACGGACTTCCAGAATGGATTACGTTCAAGAACCAAGGTATAGCTGAACTGATTAAAGATGTCCGTTTCGGCCTGGATAAGGGATTACTGGGACATTTATCCAATGAGGGGTTTATCAGCCCTTGGTCGAAAAGTATGGCCCAGAAAGCCTCCTCAACTGTGCTCTCACCGTCCTTTTTGTCGCATTTGGGTTATGATATAGATAGCCCTTAAATCCTTGAGGCAGAGGCTATGGCAGATATTGCATACAGCGATCTTCATTCTTGATCATATGTAACCTGAGGACCATTTGCATCCAGAATTCACTATGGGCGTGTTTTCTGTTTACCCTCATATCTTACGAATTTGTTAGTACCAAAGCTAGATTAAATGTATTCCCATCTGAAGTCGTAAATGGCAGACTGACTGGTATACCTTACCAGAATAGTCTCCGTTTATGTTCTCAGGCTGTTGATTGCATGAAACATTTTTTACCACACTGTGGACTGTATAAACAAGCTAAAAAGGTAAAGGTAAAGGACCCCTGACAGCTAAGTCCAGCCGCGAACGACTTTGGGGTTGTGGCGCTGATCTTGCTTTACTGGCTGAGGGAGCCAACGTTTGTCCGCAGACAGTTTCTGGGTCATGTGGCCAGCATGACTAAGCCACTTCTGGCGAAACCGGAGCAGATCACAGAAACACCATTTACCTTCCCGCCAGAGCGGTACCTATTTATCTACTTGCACTTTGAGGTGCTTTCGAACTGCTAGGTTGGCCAGAGCTGGGACCGAGCAACAGGAGCTCACCCCGTTGTGGGGATTCGAACCGCTGACCTTCTGGTTGACCACAGAGCCACCCGTGTCCCTATAAGCAAGCTAGGAACCAATTAATTAAGCCCTCATTGGTAAATTTACCTGGAAACTCTGATATCTTTTATCCCAATTATCTCCTTTTTTATAATATATTTTTATTAAAGATTTCTTGGTTTACAAAAGTGTGTGCAATGTTTCTTTTTTCAAGCTACGTTTTCTGCAGATCAGGTTCATTTGTTGAGACATTAGTGTTACATTAGGAAGCAAAGGGGGAAAGAGGTGGAGGGGGGAATGGTGAGTGGGTGGCAATGCTTCTATTCTACGTAGTGTATGTGTGGGGTTTTGTGTCAGCGTCACTTGTGTGGGTTCTCTTTATTATCCGCTTGTATTTCTTTGGTGGTGAGAGAGGTTCGGGGGTGGCTTAAGGTGTGGTTGGTTGTCTTTGACTGGCTGTAGAGAAATTTGTTTTCATGTGTGAATGGGGGGGGGGTGTTTTTGGATTTTTTTTGGATCAGGTTAGCCAGATTGATTCACATGCTGTTGGCAGGTTCTTGTTTTGTTGGGCTGTGTATGTGATGTAATATGCTCCCATGTTTGGGATTCCCCATCCTCCTTCTGAGGAGGGGTGGTCCAGGTATTTGGGGCTTATTCTTGGTTTTTTGTGTGAGAAGATAAATGAATGTAATTTTTTCTGCCATTTGTGAAGTTGGGCTGGGATAATCCAGATGGGGGGGGGGGGTTGGAATAGGTAGGTTAATTTTGGGAGGATGATCATTTTGATCATGGATATCTTGTCAGAGAGTGAAGTTGGTGTTGTTCCATCTCCTCAGGTCTTTGTTGATTTGTCACCACAAGGGGTTGTAGTTGTGGAGGTATAATTTGTTGAGGTTTCTGGTTTTTTGTACCCCTAGATATCTGAACTTGGTGCGGCAAAGTTTTATCTTGGTGATGTTGGAGAATTATTTTTGGGTATGAGGGTGGGTGTTGAAGCACATAGCCTCAGACTTTGCAAAATTTACCTGTAGGCCCGACACCACTGCAAATGCGTTGAGTTCTCTGATTAGGGAGGTTGCTGTGTTTATGGGGTCTGATGTTGTGACCATTAGGTCATCTGCCAAGAGCCCTAATTTATAGGTTCTGCCTTTTATTTCCACTCCCTTGATGTCTGTGGCTGCTCATATTCAGATTGCTAAGGGTTCCAGAGTCAGGGTGAAAAGGAAGGGAGATAGTGGGCATCCTTGATTTGCGCCTCTTTGGATTGCTATGGTATATTTGTTTGAGGGTTTGTAAGAATTTGGGACCAAATTTTATATTAGTTAGTACTGCTAGTAGGTATTTCCACTCTAAGCAATCAGAAGCTTTGAGGATGTCTAGGGACATAATTGTCAGTGGGAGTTTAGTTGCCTTGCAATCAGATTTAGTAGTTTCCTGATGGGGTCTGTTATATTGCGACCTGGGATGATGCCAGTCTGGTCTCAGGCTATTTTGTGTAGGAAATTTTTTAGGTGGTTGGCCAAGATTGATGTGAATATCTTGTAGTCTTGGTTTATTAATAAGATTGGGCGGTATGATTCTACTTTGATGCTGTCTTTCAGAGGTTTTGGGATGGAGACTGTCTTGGAGAAGGTCCAGGTTTTTGGAATGGGGCCCCCTTTTATGATGTCATTGAATAGGCGGGTCATGTAGGGCATCAGGAGTTCTTTGAATTTCTTATAGAATTCTGCTGTAAAGCTGTCTGTGCCTGGGGCTTTGTGTGGCTTCAGGTTTTTGACGACTGTTTCCTCTGGGGTGATAGGACTATCCATGAATTTCTCTTCCTCATCAGTTAAGGTTGGCATGGTCAGTCCTGCTAGGAATTTTCTTATTTTCTCCTCGGGCGGGTTGTGGGAGGTATATAGGTTCAAGTAAAATTCTGCAAATTCTGAGGTTATTTCTTTGAGGGAGAATGTTATGTTGCTGTCTTTTTTGATTATGCAATGTATTATTGTTTTGAGTGATTTTTTTCCTACACCCGTTTGCTAATTGTCTGGAGTTTTCCCCTCCATACTAGTAAAAGCATTGTTTAGAGGATAGAATGTTGATCATTGTTTTTGTTGATTTCTAGGGAGTCTAGTTCCCTCCTTTTTTGTTCTATACGTTTAAGGAGTTTTTTTAGCTCCTGTTCGTTTGTAGCCTGATGAGAGGGCCATGATGTCGTGTTCTATTTTGCTAATTTTTGAGGAGGTTAGTTTTTATGCAAGCTCCTCTGGTGACTGTTTTCATTGTGTCCCAAAGGAGGGGGGTTGTTATATTGTCTACATCATTTTCATTGAAGCAGTTTTGGAGAGTTTTTGTGAGACTTTCTCTAATTTGTTTATTTGTGGTTAGGATGGTACTGAAGGACCATGATAGGGTGGTTTGTGTTCCTTCTCCTATTTTAAGGGTAACTTCTACTGGGGCATGATCTGTGATTTTAATGTTACCTATGTTCGTTGATTCCACCAAGGGGATCAGACCTTATGTTAGCAGAATGCTGTCTAGTCTGGACACTGTGCCATGCCGCCTGGACTGGAATGTGTGGCTGGTGTCTCCTGGGTTTTCTTCACCCCAAATGTCATAGAGAGCTCTGTTTTTTAGCAACTTGTAAGAGTCCCTAATTGTTTGGGGTTTCCTTCGGAGGAAGGTTGCCCATGGGGTTGTAAGGTGGGTGTCTTTCAGGGAGATGCCTCTCATATTTAGGTTGAGTTCACCTCCCAGGATTGCTTTCCCTTCAGAGAAGGAGAGGAACTTGTTTAGTGTTTTCTGGATGAACTCTGGTTGTTTCGGGTTTGGGGCATATACAGAGCCAATTGTCAGTTTAGTTTTGCCATCTAGTGTGCCTTTGGCAAAAATGAATCTGCCTCTTTTTTTCTTTTAGGACTGTCGTGGCTTGAAAGTTCAGTTCTCTACTGAGTATTATGGCTACTCTGTCGGCCTTTCTTGAGCCAGGTGCAACCCATTGTTGACTGAAGTGGGTATTGCTCAAGAGTTTGCTTCCTTTGGGTGGATTGTGTACTTCTTTGTAGGAAGGCAATGTGTGGTTTCATGGTGTTTACATCCAAGGTGATACGTTTTCTTTTGATAGGATTTCCCAACGCCCTCACAATTAATATAATTGCTTTTCAGCTAGCCATCTTGCTTATCTGCTTTGTAGGATGATTCCCTGCCAACCCATCTGGGTTGCCCTGTGTCTCTCACGTTGTATAGACCTATTAAGGTGTGCTGACTTAAGAGTGTAGTGGGTGGGGGAGGAGGGGGATTAGGATTAGATTTGGGTTAAAGAGTGTGGGGTAGATTACAGAAGTAGCCTATATGTAGTCATATAGGTGTTTATTTGGGGTATCTTGGACCATCTGGCATCTAGCCGGTTCATCCTGGGTCTCAGCTGGCATGGAGGGCCCTGTTTAAAAACAGACCGTCTTCCCTGTGAGATGGTGTTAAGCGTCTTTGTGACGCCTGTGTTGGGTATAAGTTTATAAGCAATGTTGTCAGTGTTAATAACAACATCATTGGTATGTTGGGGTAGGAATATGGGTGTTGGCACGCTCTGGAGCCACCATTGTGCTGCTTGTATGTCAGATTTTAGCCTGTTTGTGGATTGTTTTATTGAGGTTGGGGTTATTATTTTACTTGGTATGGGTTTCTTTCTTTGTTTTCCTTTTCTTTTACCTGCTTATTTTGTTTGTTGCCTTTGTGTGATGAAGGAGATGGAGAGGTTGGTGTATGTGTCTATTTTTGTATGTGTGGCCCTTTTTTTGTTATGGGTGGAGTCCTTGGAGCAGGGGGGGTGCTGAGAGTGTGGGTTGTTGGGGTATTCGGGGAATGGGGAGTGTGATTTGATGTTGTCTGGGTTGGTGTTGGGGTGGCCAGGTACTTATTTGAAGATAAGCAAAATGATATAACCCTGGGTGTGGCAAAATTTCTCTCGAAGGTAGTAAGAATTAGAAATCAACATGTCTTGGAGAAATCAGAGTGACTGCCTAGTAATGTATTTTCTGTATTTCTGCTGTACTTTGCTTTTAAAATTGATTTTGTGGGTCTTTGGGCTGTAATAAAGAAGGTATGTAAATAATGTATATGTGTGAATAAATATCTACACCTATGGGCAGGGTTTTTTTCTGGGGGGGACGCAGGGGTATGCATTTTGTGAATCTAAGTTTGGCCTCATTGAGAGGCAGTATTTCAATATGAGTAGGGAAATGAGAGTACCCCTAAACATTTTTAAAGAAAAAAAGCACTGCCTACTGCTACTGTTCCATTCTTTAAAAACAGTCTCAGAAAAGAAAAGATGACTTGATGAGGATTTGATACATTCATTTCACACGGTTAGCCCATAGAAATGAATGATCAAACAGTGGCAATACCACACTAAATGTTAGTGTTGAAGCACCCTCAAAGTCCAAGGATCTTCTAGAAGGAATGCAAGGTTTGTATGAGCAAGCATTTAATGGTAGGATAAGCAGCTGATTATTTTAACAGCATCGATATAGATATAGATATAGATATAGATATAGATATAGATATCATATGCTGATCTTGTAAGAGGATTTTAATATGACCTCCCAGGGTGGGTTCTTATGTATAGATTAGTAATGTAAATAAATGTTTTGTGATCGACTTTAGAGCCAGTCTTACCATTAGTCAGGGGAAGATCCACCTTCGGTGTCACTTTTGGGGGGAAATGGCTTGGAAATGGAAAGTTATGAGAAACGTTAGAGGGACTTCGGTATGTTTAGCCTGGAAAAGAGGAGATTGAGACATGGAAGCTGCCCCGCCCCAGCAAGTAAATAAATAAATAAATAAAAATATTTAACTAACTGACCAATTGCATCACAGATAATTCCCCCCCCCAGCATAAAGCCTGTCCCCCCAAAATAAATCCTCGCTATGCCCATGGACTGAGAGGAGATTTGATAGCCATCTTCCAATATGTAAAGGGCTGTCACATGGAAGATGGAGTATGCTTGTTTTTTCCTCCAGAGGGTAGGGCCCAAACCAATGGATTCAAGTCACAAGAAAGAGTCCTCAAAGTGGGTCAAGCTGAAAAGTGTGCATGTTTGCGTGCAGATCATTTCAAAGTCAGTGTGAGGCCTCCAAGTCCCTGCTGACTGGCAATGGCATCTGAAACATGAGGGGAAATGCAGGTCTCAGCTTGGGAGGAGAGAGCCACTCCCACAGCATTCCAGCCAGGACCACAAGGGGGCTGGCCCCTTCCCCAAGGCCCCTTTTCCTAATTCATAGGAAGAGAGCACAGGAGCAGTCACAAGGGCAGGAGAGGTCCCATCTGCAGGGCTGACCCAAGATATTTTGCTGATTGGCAGACAGAAGCCATCAAGACTTAACAGCTCAATCTTCACTGGCAAAGGGGTATCATCCTGCAACACTCCGGAGGGCAGCAGCACACATGTCACACATAGTTCTGTTCTGCAGCAGGGAGGAATGGCTGGGCAAAAGGAGTAGCTGTTATCAGTGACCCCATGAACACACCCCAGCATCTGCCAACTAATGTGGTTATCTTCCTCTGCCTCCAAGAGCACAGCCCTCTGGGAAATCTCATCCAGGGAGCACAATTAGACAAATACTCTGCCTTTACCACCCCAGCGTAGGCAGCATCCTTTGAGGTGTCCCGTCTTCCAACATGCACTGTCAGCTGACTCACCCTCCCATTGGGATATAGGAATAGATGCATGCTGCATTACAGACAACGTAATACAGTGAAGTACCGTATTTTTCGCTCTATAGGACACACTTTTTCCCCTCCAAAAATTAAGGGGAAATGTGTGTGCATTCTGTGGAGCGAATGCAGGCTCCTTGGCTTCAGCGATAGCAACGCGAAGCCTCCGAAGCGCAGAGGGAGCGCTCCCTCCGCGCTCTGGAGGCTTCGCGTTGCTTTTGCTGAAGCCTGGAGAGCGAGAGGCATTGGTGCGCACCAACCCCTCTCGCTCTCCAGGCTTCAGGGAGAGCCCCCTGAAGCCTTCGGAGCGCAGCGCGAGTTCCCACTGCGTTCTGGAGGCTTCAGGTTCCTTTCGCTGAAGCCGGGAGAGTCTTGCTCTCCCGGCTTCAGCGAAAGGAACCCGAAGCCTGAGGAGTGCAGCGGGAACTTGCGCTGCACTCAGAAGGCTTCAGGGATAGCCGTGCGCAGCCCATCCGCCAGGGAGAGGCTGCACATGGCTATGGCTTCTTAAGCCTCCCAGCTGGAGAGGTTGTGCCACAGCTAAAGAGGAAGCCAAGACAGCGAGCGGGATCCATCCCGCTTGCTGTCTTGGCTTGTGCCATAGCCGTGGGCAACCCCTCTGGCAGGGAGAGGCTACGCGGGGCTATGGCTTCTTTAGCCCCATGCAGCCTCTCCCAGCTGGAGAGGTGGCGTGCAGCTAAAGAGGAAGCCAAAACAGCGAGCGGGATGAATCTATGGCTTGTGCCATAGCCGCGCGCAACACCTCTGGTAGGGAGAGGTTGTGCGCAGCCTGTACGCTGCTCTTTGGGGCTGGGGGGGAAATAAGATTTTTTTTCTTGATTTCCCCCTCTAAAAACTAGGTGCGCCCTATGGTCCGGTGCGCCCTATGGAGCGAAAAATACGGTAACTGGCACAAGCTTACTGTTTCTTGTTTTCAGTGTATATTTCGTTGTGGTGGTTGTTTTTCATTCAAAGCAAAGACAGTCACCACTTCTCTACAAATCAACTATCTGAGCCTGATTCTGGCTCTTCCTTTTGACAGAGACCCCCCCCCCTTGAAGAGCAAAGCAAGGGGGGGGTTGGTGTCTAGTATTTCCAGCTAAAGGCAGCAAAGCTAATTCAAGCAAGTGTTGACAGTATTAAGCTATCTGAACCATTGATCTTAAACAATACTCTGTATGCTAGTTTACATGCTCTTTAAATGCTAGTTTATTGAATACAGTCATACCTCTTGTTGCATTTGCTTCACGTTGTGGCTTTTCGAATTGCGAATACAGCAAACCCGGAAGTGTATACTTCCGGGTTTTGCCCTGCACACACAGAAGCATTCTACACACTTCGTGCATGCACAGAACAGTCTGTTGCTCTCTGTGCTTGCGCAGAAGCGCTGCTCTAGTTGTAGACTTTTCAGGGTGCGAACGGCACCCCGGAACGGATCATGTCTGCAACTAGAGGTACCACTATAATGTCAATTCTGCCCATTCTCACTTGGAAATAAGCTCCATGTAAATCTGTGGCGCATCTGCATGTGTACCAGACCTGAAAGTGTAATAAATAAACTACTCCATTGATGACATTAAAAATTAAATATTTACTTTTTGTAATATCTCTTAACATTCTGATCCATGTTTACTCAACATCTGTTCATAATGAACAAATACCACGAGAACAATGCCACATATTTCTAGATCACAGGTGTCCCCTCCATCCAATTCGGCACAGATGCCATAAAACAGCATAGCCAGTGGGAATTAGTATAGAGAAGAATAGAAAGTCCAGGCCTGTCCATAGCATAAAATCAAGTCTTGTTCCTAACTGCCGCTCCTGTCTTTGACTGTTGTGTCAACAGACAAGAAGCAAAAACCTCCCATAGTGAAAGCTATATATACTGTAGTGCACACTAGAGTAGCAGCCCTAGTAGAACGAGATTTTCCTGAACTTGACCCTGGAGGAAGATTTGTTCATTTGCACAGGTAGTGGTGAGTGCACTCCCCAAGTGGCTCTCCTGCTCAAGTCATGCAGTTTTTGTACATAGCGTAACACAACCTTTTGAAAGTTTACTCTGAATTAAGTCCCACTCAGTAGAATTCAGTCCCAAGTAAGCATGCATCAGATTACAATTTAAGTATTGCTGGAGCAGATATGTGTTCCACAATGAAAAGGAATAGTTCAAACCTACTCGACTAATTATGCAACCAAATTATACTCTGAGTCACACTGGTGTGCACTCAGAAGATTGGGAGAGGCAGTTGCTGATCTCTCAAAACAGATCTCATGCTACAAGCAAAATTCACCATGTGCTGTGTGTGTCAGACAGTGCCTAAGCACCACTTAAAACCCACTTAATTTAGAAAAAAATAACTCCATGATATTTCAGTTATTTATTTTTCATAGCGCAGTGTTTGGAAACAAGGGCTTACTCCTGACTCTTTGCACATTTGTAACTCTGTTGATTTGTCTGGCATTACTCCCAGTTTCTCTTGAGAGTTCAGAATCAAACCCAGCAAGTACAGATGAATTCAATGGAGTGAATTAATCAGGGGCTAATTATGTAAATAAGCTACTGTGCTATTATGTGTTTCTGTGATCATTTTTATGCATCAGTGAATGACTGTGTGGCTTATTCAACATACCATACACTTGTGTGGTCCTCCCGTCCTTTTCAGAGAATGAGGAACAAATTATTACCCCTCATATTTGTATCCAGCCCTTTCTCTAAAACTCAGAACAACATACATTGTTGTTATTCCATGTTGTTATCACACTAACTCAACAAGGTACATTGTATGGCTGAACAGATATTGTAATTCTGACCTCCATGGTACAAGCACAACACCTGAGCCACTCCACCAGTGACAAAGTATTTACAGTACTCCTGAAATATGTAAAATTATCACTAAATTTACAATTCTAAGCCTATTTACTTATGCTTCAGTCTCATTCAAATCAAAGTGACAATTCTCAGTATGTCAAATAGAGATGCAGAACTGGCCCTACTTTAGGACAACAGTGAACACAATTGACTATAATACTTGGGGTCCTGCTTCATTCATTTAGCTATACAGTACAATTTTGAAACTACAAAAGAGAGAGTCTACTATCAGTCATAGCAGATAGCTCAAACTGCAAAAAGAAACCAGGTAATCCCCACAGCTTTGAAAAACAGGTGGGAAACAATAGTTTTTTGGGGGTACACGGTGAGACAGGATTCTTTGCCCCCCACCCCACCCCTTGTCGATGCTGTGCTCTCCTGGAACTTCCACTTCACAGAACTTCATCACAAGCAGCATTGGGTTGTGCTATCATATCTAGTTTGATATGATATCAAAGATGTTATGGTACTCCAACTATGATCAGCCCCAGACAGCATGTCCAGTAGTCAGGGGCAATGGGAGCATTGGTCCAGCAACATCTGGAGGGCCAAAGATTAGCCAACTTTGCTGTAAATCCTAGAAAAAGGTTTTTAAACTTTAGGCAATCTTAAACAAACAGAATGAACAACACACACAGTTATTCTCAAGTGTTTAAAGCCCTAAAGAGCCTCAGTTCAGTATACCTGAAGGAGCGTCTCCACCACCATTGTTCTGCCCGGACACTGAGGTTCAGCTCCGAGGGCCTTCTGGCGGTTCCCTCACTGCGAGAAGCCAAGTTACAGGGAACCAGGCAGAGGGCCTTCTTGGTGGTGGCGCCCATCCTGTGGAACGCCCTCCCATCAGATGTCAAGGAAATAAACAACTATCTCATGTTTAGAAGACATCTGAAGGCAGCCCTGTTTAGGGAAGTTTTTAATGTTTGAAGTTTTATTCTGTTTTTAATGTTCTGTTGAAAGCCTCCCATATTATTACATTATTATTATTATTATTATTATTATTGCCAAAAGCTGCAAGAAGTCCTGTGGTACCTAAAGACTATGGGTGCCTCCAGAATGTCAGTATTTTGAGGGAGGGATTCAAGCACTTATAGGAACTTTCTGTTTGTGCCTTTAACATGAATTAAAGTACTACTATGTTGCCCTAGCACAGGGATGAGGAACCTGTGGCTCTTCAGGTGTCATTGGACCCCAGCTCCCATCAGCCCCAGCCAGCATGGCCAGTGGTCAAGGCTGATGGGAGTCCACTGACATCTGGAGGGCCACAGGTTCCCCATTCCTGAACAACAAAACCACTTTTAAAAAAACTGATTAAAAAAAGATTTGGGAATTGATAGGGAAATTCATTTTTTGTTTTTATTATGTTTTATAAAATTTTTCAAAAAGTCAACATGTGCACTCCAATATAGCATGAATTTTTCTTTTGTTTTTGTTGACTTCCCACCCCTTCTTCTATGGTGTTTCTTATTTCTCCCCCTTTGTTGCTGCACCCTATCTTCTGCCCTTTATACCATAACAACAATACAAGAATCTCTAATTCCTTCTGTTGCTCATAGTTCAAATCCTGCTCGCGAGTTCATCATACTATAGTATTTCTTTAAGTAATCCACAAAAGGCTTCCATTCTTCCACAAAACAATCATCATAGGTTCTCTTATTTTGACTGTTAACTTTGCCGATTCCGCATAATCGTGATAGGGATATTCAATAGGAAATGTGGGATGAATCAGTTATTAATGGGAAGACCAGTAAACAGTCCACACGCAAATCAGGATGAACGGTCATTGTCATGTAACTGTCCCATAAACAAATCATAATGAATGCTTAAAAAAAGAGTGGATATAGTCTAACCACTACTTAAGCTTTGTGCAAGAAAATCAGAATGAATAGTTCATCTGGAGGAGCTCTAAGAAATGTATTTGTAGCACAAAGCTTTTGAGGCCAGAACCTACTTCATCCAATGATGAGCAAACAAAGGTTGGCTGGATATTAATAAATAATCATTCATGTAAAAGAATGTGACTTTAACATTCAGTTACTGGTTCAGTGACAACACCACAGCTTATACTATAGTCCACTTAGAAATATTTTCAACAGGCTGTTCCACAATGCCAGCGCTATGACTAGTCATAGCTACGCTCCAAAGCTATGACTAGTCATAGCTACGCTCCAAAGAATTAGAGAGCTGGAGCTCTTCTTGGAAGCAACAGAGCACACCGTCTCCACCAAGGAGGAGACAGGGGACTCCCCTGAGAAGGAGGCTAGTTCACCAAAACAGGAGCCAGATATATGGAGAAATGTGACTCAAAGAAGTAGGAGGCCCAGGGTTCGCTCTGATTGTTTAGAAATACACAATTGCTTTGAGGTCCTCTCCCCTAGCATGGAAGACGAAGAGCAGACTCCATTTGAGGATCTCTCCCTCATTACAGTCGATCAGGTATATGAAGACGAGCAGCAAAGTCAGTCCTCAGGGAATGTGCAGGCGACCTTGGAACGGACAGCTCACGGAAGAACCCCGACCAAACCTAAGAGGAGGCGTGTAGTGGTGATAGGGGATTCCCTACTGAGGGGAACAGAAGCAGTGATCTGTGGGCCTGACAAGATGTCTCGGGAAGTGTGCTGTCTCCCGGGGCTAAGATCCAAGATGTAACTGAACGACTGCAAGGAATCATAAAACCCACTGACAAATACCCCTTCCTCTTGGTTCATGTGGGAACCAATGACACTGCAAGCAATAGCCTCCAGAAGATCAAAAGAGACTACGAGGCTCTGGGCAGGAAATTGAAGCAATTAAATGCACAAATTGTCATCTCATCTGTCCTCCCAGTTGAACAACGTGGCCCAGGGAGAGAGGGGAAATAGTGGAAGTGAACAGCTGGCTTCGCAAATGGTGTAAACAGGAACGGTTTGGTTTCTTAGATCACGGACTGCAGTTTCTTGAAGATGGACTTCTGGCAAGCGATGGGCTGCACCTCACAACGGTTGGGAGAAATGTTTTTGCCAAAAATCTCAGAAACTTCATCAGGAGGGCTTTAAACTGACTAATGTGGGGGAGGGAGACAGTGCTCCTGAAGGTAGGAGTCTATCAACTGATGAAGATGATCATCCAAATGTCATAGACCAAATGGAGCAAACAGCACGCAGACCTAGTGGTGGGAGGAAAAATCCTTAAATAAGAGACACGGGGGAATGATTAATGGACTTCAATGTCTGTACACTAATGCGCAAAGCATGGGAAATAAACAAGATGAGCTTGCGCTCTTGGTACAGCAAACTAAATATGACATAATAGGCATCACTGAAACCTGGTGGGATAAGTCCCATGATTGGAATGTAATAATGGGGGGATACAATCTATTTCAGAGAAACAGACCAGACAAGAAAGGAGGAGGAGTGGCGTTATATGTCAGGGATGTGTATACCTGTGAAGAGATCCAAGATTTAGAACCTCAAAGCCAAAGTGAGAGCATTTGGGTCAAAATTAAGGGAGAGAAGAATAACAGTGACCTCATTGTGGGAGTTTACTATAGATCCCCAAGCCAAACGGAGGACATAGATGATGCCTTCCTGGAACAGATGGCCAAGCATGCAAAAGGAAAGGAGATAGTAGTAATGGGGACTTCAATTACCCGGATATTTGTTGGATGTCAAACTCAGCCAAGAGCATAAGGTCAAACAGATTCCTCACTGGCCTTGCAGACAACTTCACTGTCCAGAAAGTGGGAGAAGCAACAAGAGGAACAGCCATTTTAGATCTGGTCCTAACCAATGTTGATGACCTGGTTAGTGGGGTAGAAGTGGAAGGATCATTAGGCGCGAGTGATCATGCTCTTCTGAAGTTTACTATACAGCGGAAAGGAGCAGCCAAGCATACTAGGACTCAATTTCTTGACTTTAAGAAAGCCGACTTCATAAAAGTTAGGGAAGTGCTGGGTGAGATCCCATGGACAGTAATACTAAAAGGAAAGGGAGTTCATGATGGCTGGGAGTTTGTTAAGAGGGAGATAGTAAAAGCACAACGTCAGGCAATACCAATGAGACGGAAACATGGAAGGTGTCCAAAGAAGCCAGGGTGGTTATCTAAAGAACATTTAACTGAGTTAAGATTAAAAAAGGATGTGTACAAAAAATGGAAAAGGGGGGAAACCACCAAAGAGGAATTCAAACAAATAGCCAGCACGTGTAGACACAAAGTCAGAAAAGCTAAAGCACAGAATGAACTTGCTAGAGAGGTTAAAAGCAACAAAAAAGGCTTTTATGGGTATGTTCGTAGCAAAAGGAAGAACAAAGAAACAGTGGGGTCACTCAGAGGAGAAGATGGTGAAATGCAAACAGGGGACACAGAAAGGGCTGAACTCCTCAATGCCTTCTTTGCCTCAGTCTTCTCCGATAAAGAAAACAATGCCCGACCTGAAGAATTTGAAGCAAATGATTCAGCAAAGGAAACACAGCCCAGAATAACTAAGGAGCTAGTACAAGAATACTTGGCTAGTTTAGATGTATTCAAGTCTCCAGGGCCAGATGAACTGCATCCAAGAGTATTAAAAGAACTGGCAGATGTGATCTCAGAACCACTGGCAGTCATCTTTGAGAATTCCTGGAGAACAGGCGAAGTCCCAGCAGACTGGAGGAGGGCAAATGTTGTCCCTATTTTCAAAAAGGGGAAAAGAGAGGACCCAAATAATTACCGCCCAGTCAGTCTGACATCAATACCAGGGAAGATTCTGGAGCAGATCATTAAGCAAACAGTCTGTGAGCACCTAGAAAGGAATGCTGTGATCACCAATAGTCAGCATGGATTTCTGAAAAATAAGTCATGTCAGACTAACCTGATCTCGTTTTTTGACAGAATTACAAGCCTGGTAGATGAAGGGAATGCAGTGGATGTAGCCTACCTTGATTTCAGCAAGGCATTTAACAAGGTGCCCCATGATATTCTTGTAAAGAAGCTGGTAAAATGCGGTCTTGACTATGCTACCACTCATTGGATTTGTAACTGGCTGACTGACCGAGCCCAAAGGGTGCTCATCAATGGTTCCTCTTCATCCTGGAGAAGAGTGACTAGTGGGGTGCCACAGGGTTCTGTCTTGGGCCCGGTCTTATTCAACTTCTTTATCAACGACTTGGATGATGGACTCAAGGGCATCCTGATCAAATTTGCAGATGACACCAATCTGGGAGGGGTGGCTAACACCCCAGAGGACAGGATCACACTTCAAAACGACCTTGACAGATTAGAGAACTGGGCCAAAACAAGATGAATTTTAACAGGGAGAAATGTAAAGTATTGCACTTGGGCAAAAAAAATGAGAGGCACAAATACAAGATGGGTGACACCTGGCTTGAGAGCAGTACATGTGAAAAGGATCTAGGAGTCTTGGTTGACCACAAACTTGACATGAGCCAACAGTGTGACGCGGCAGCTAAAAAGCCAATGCAATTCTGGGCTGCATCAATAGGAGTATAGCATCTAGATCAAGGGAAGTAATAGTGCCACTGTATTCTGCTCTGGTCAGACCTCACCTGGAGTACTGTGTCCAGTTCTGGGCACCACAGTTCAAGAAGGACACTGACAAACTGGAACGTGTCCAGAGGAGGGCAACCAAAATGGTCAAAGGCCTGGAAACGATGCCTTATGAGGAACGGCTAAGGTAGCTGGGCATGTTTAGCCTGGAGAAGAGGAGGTTAAGGGGTGATATGATAGCCATGTTCAAATATATTAAAGGATGTCACATAGAGGAGGGAGAAAGGTTGTTTTCTGCTGCTCCAGAGAAGCGGACACGGAGCAATGGATCCAAACTACAAGAAAGAAGATTCCACCTTAACCTTAGGAAGAACTTCCTGACAGTAAGAGCTGTTCGACAGTGGAATTTGCTGCCAAGGAGTGTGGTGGAGTCTTCTTCTTTGGAGGTCTTTAAGCAGAAGCTTGACAACCATATGTCAGGAGTGCTCTGATGGTGTTTCCTGCTTGGCAGGGTGTTGGACTCGATGGCCCTTGTGGTCTCTTCCAACTCTATGATTCTATGATTCTAGTCATGCAGGAGCTTCCTTGTCATGGTTACCTGACAATGCATGGCACAGTTTAGTTGGTGGGATTACTGTGTGAACTACTTCACGTGGTAAAATTCCTACAAGGCACAACTGGGCTTCATAGTACACATATACAGTGGTGCCTCGCAAGACGAAATTAATTTGTTCCGCGAGTTTTGTCGTCTTGCGATTTTTTTCGTCTTGCGAAGCACGGTGTCGGGAAAGTTTTGGAAAAGCTTCAAAAATCACCAAAGTCTTTAAAAACCTCAAAAAAGGCTACCACACCGCATTCTATGAGTTGCTCCTCGAAGTCAAGTCGCAACTGTATTAACAGTGTTAAGAAAAAGGAAACAAACTTGCAAGACGTTTCCGTCTTGCGAAGCAAGCCCATAGCGAAAATCGTCTTGCGAAGCAGCTCAAAAAACAAAAAACCCTTTCGTCTAGCGAGTTTTTTGTCTTGCGAGGCATTCGTCTTGCGAGGTACCACTGTACAACAAAATATAGAGATGTGAGAATAAAAAAATGGCAAACTAGGCATTCAATTTCCTACTTGCTAGTGTTTTTGGAATTTTGTCAAATTGGAAGCATTCTTGTGGCAGCCATGTTAAAAACTCCTTTAGGAGTTACTTCATTACAAATGTGGTCATACACACACACACAAATAAAAAGTGGAAATCCTCTAGTTATCATGCTTGACAAATGAAGACCTAGACAACATGAACTATAGAACACAGACCACCAGCAATGTTTAGTGACTCACATCTTCTGGTTTTGCTGGGTGCCTGACAAGGCCATATTATAATGTACAATTGGAGAAATTGTACCAGGGCTCTTGCCAGAAGAATATCTAGTGAAACCGTGGAATAAGTGTAATGAAATGTGTTTGCCAAGAGTCTCATGAACCTGATCAGGAGAGCTTTAAACTAGATCATGAAGGGGAGGAAGACAACACAACAGATGACAGAAGAACACCTGGTACTGGGGATAAAACTTCATTGTAGAGGAACTTAACATGTACAGAAAACTGAGGAGGGTATTGACAAGCTGGAACATCTACAGAAGAGGGCAAGAAGATGATCAAGGGTCTGGAAACCAACCCATATGAGGAACAGTTGAAGGAGCTGGGTATGTTTAGCCTGGAAAAGAGGACAGTGAGAGGAGGTAAGATAGCCATCTTCAAATATCTCAAGGGCTGTCACATGGAAGATGGCACAAGCTTGTTTTCTCCTGCTCCAAAGGGTAGGACTCAAACCAGTGGCTTCAAGTTACAAGAAAGGAGATTCCAACTAAACTTCAGGAAGAACTTTCTGACAGTAAGAGCTGTTCAGCAGTGGAAAAGACTCCTTTGGGAGGTTGTGGACTCCTTCCTTGGAGGTTTTTAAGCAGAGGTTGAGTCTGCAGTTAGTCCTACAATTAGTCCTGCAGTCGTTAACAGTCGTCAAGAGGTTTACCATACCCATCTCCTACTACCATTCTGAAAAAAAACCCACCCCACCCTCCCACTATATATAAGGGTCTGGTGACTTCTGTTTCAGTGAATCTGAAGAAGTGTCCATGCACACGGAAGCTTATACCAGAACAAACTTGGTCTATAAGTTGCTACTGGACAATTTTTTAAAAAAATTAATTTTATTTCGACTGTGTCAGACCAACACGGCTACCTACCTGAATAGGTAATCATTATTAGGGATATGCTGTACAGGGGAAACAGCTCCCTTCACCCCAACAAAACATCTGGGCACCCAGGTGAGCTCCAAAGATGGCACAGCTGCTGGCAGAGCTGGAAGTTCATGGCTAGTAACCTTCCTGACTTGCAACTTATCCCACATCATACACATAGCTGCTGCACCTTCCCTGTGCCATCAGCCTTTCCTTTCAGGGCAGTTCAGTTGCCACAGGGGACTGGAACTTTTGCTGCAATGTGTGGCACGGTGTCCTTAAGCAGTCTACAATTGCTTCTCCAAAACATATTGTTACATAATGGGTGATGATAGGAACTTCCAGAGGTGACCTCTTTATGGGTCTGTTTACTTGTAATGAGAGAGCGCTGGAAACTTGTGGCTTTTTGAGATCTATTTGCTTACAAACTGGCTCCTAAAGTAGGCTGCCGTTCATTATAAAATCCCCAGACTGAAGGCTGCTTCTGGCTCAGCTAACTCCAGCTAAAAGCTCTTAGCTCTCCAAATGTCACATCCACATTTCTGTTTACCCCGCTGCTTTACCCTGGGAAAAACTAAATGAGAGCAAACAGCAATCAGGGTTTCCACGGGCTGCTGTTTCTTCCAATTTAGAACCGAAGAGGGGGTTTTCTGGGGGAAAGCGACAAGGCAAAGGCAAAATAGCTCCAAACATTGCTTTCTAGGCATGGGACAAGCGGGAGTTTGGATCAGTGCTAAGTGATGGGTTCTCTGCTCCTATCAAACTTGCCTCAAGCTGTCTCCATCTCCCTCCCTTAGACTGTGATGAGTGAGATTTCCACTAGGTTCCTTTTGTCTACCATTAGGGTGGCAGGTTATACAAAACAAAGGGATAGACTCAGTGCCGGATTTATGTATAAGCTACACAAACTATAGCTTAGGGCCCGAGTGCCCCCCCCAATTAATTGTATTTCAGTTCAACAATTACTTTGATAAAATACATATTTTGTTATGTGCATATGGCTATAGATTAGTTCACAAATTACAATATAGCATATAGGTAAATGTAAAGGGACCCCTGACTGTTAGGTCCAGTTGTGGACGACTCTGGGGTTGCAGCACTCATCTCGCTTTACTGGCCAAGGGAGCTGGTGTACAGCTTCCGGGTCATAGAATCATAGAAGAGTTGGAAGAGACCACAGGGGCCATCGAGTCCAACCCCCTGCCAAGCAGGAAACACCATCAGAGCACTCCTGACATATGGCTGTCAAGCCTCTGCTTAAAGACCTCCAAAGAAGGAGACTCCACCACACTCCTTGGCAGCAAATTCCACTGTCGAACAGCTCTTACTGTCAGGAAGTTCTTCCTAATGTTTAGGTGGAATCTTCTTTCTTGTAGTTTGGATCCATTGCTCCGTGTCCGCTTCTCTGGAGCAGCAGAAAACAACCTTTCACCCTCCTCTATGTGACATCCTTTTATATATTTGAACATGGCTATCATATCACCCCTTAACCTCCTCTTCTCCAGGCCAGCATGACTAAGCCAGCATGACTCATGTGGCCAGCATGACTAAGCCACTTCTGGCAAACCAGAGCAGCACACGTTTACCTTCCCGCCGGAGCGGTACGTATTTATCTACTTGCACTTGATGTGCTTTCGAACTGCTAGGTTGGCAGGAGCAGGGACTGAGCATCGGGAACTCAACCTGTCACGGGGATTCGAACCGCCGGCCTTCTGATCAGCAAACCCTAGGCTCTGTGGTAAATGTAATGAAAAGTGTTTGCCAAGAGTCTCATGAACCCGATCAGGAGAGCTTTAAACTAGATCATGAAGGGGAGGAAGACAACACAACAGATGACAGAAGAACACCTGGTACTGGGGATAAAACTTCATTGTACAGGAACTTTCCATGTACAGAAAACTGAGGAGGGTATTGACAAGCTGGAACATCTACAGAAGAGGACAAGAAGATGATCAAGGGTCTGGAAACCAACCCATATGAGGAAAAGTTGAAGGAGCTGGGTATGTTTAGCCTGGAAAAGAGGACAGTGAGAGGAGATAAGATAGCCATCTTCAAATATCTCAAGGGCTGTCACATGGAAGATGGCACAAGCTTGTTTTCTCCTGCTCCAAAGGGTAGGACTCATCATCACCAAGTGGAGCTGTTCATTGGAGCTTCTGGAATACAAGAATATCACGGGGGATTTTGACAAAAGCCTTATTGAAATCAAGATACACTAAAGCCACAGCATCCCCCCGATTCACCAAGCAATGAGATTCCTCTGGCAGGGCTGGTTTTTGAGAAACCCGTGCTGAGTCTTAGTAATCACAGTAACCACACCACCCTTTTCTAAGTGCACATGGACAAACCATTTAATTATCTGTTCAAGGATCTTTCCTGGTATCAATGTCAAGCTCACCAGCCAGCCAGCCTTCAGCCAGCCTGCCCAAGATGGATATTTCCCCATCCCCCTTTCTTCTTCGCAGAACACCTTGCTAAAAAAACCTCTCTTTTCCTGTCACTTCAAGCAAACAACCCATCAGCTTGGCAACATCTGTCTCCTTAGGCCAAAGGATTTATCTCAGATGGCCCATTAATCCCTTTTGTTGTGTTAACAGATTTGCTCTTTGCTAGGCCAGCCAGGCTGGTGTGTGTAAGCCAGCCCAGGAATTACTTGTCTGGCACAGTTCTGTAACTTCTACTTTCATCTATATCCCAATTAATCAAAATCCTACCATTTATTAATTTCTAAGGTTTAGGGTGTTCCCCCCAAATCTATAACAATATACAGTGGTACCTCTGGTTGTGAACGGGATCTGTTCCAGAGCCCCGTTTGCAACCTGAAAGAAACGCAACCCGCATCTGCGTGGGTCGCAATTTGCGACTTCCGTGCATGCGCATGACGTCATTTTGCACGTCTGCGCAAGTGGTGAAACCCGGAAGTAACCCTTTCCGGTACTTCCAGGTCGCCGCAGGACACAACCTGAAAAGACATAACTTGAACCGAATGTAACTAGAGGTATGACTGTACAGTGGTACCTTGGGTTACATACGCTTCAGGTTACAGACTCCGCTAACCCAGAAATAGTACCTCAGGTTAAGAACTTTGCTTCAGGTTGAATCGCACAGCGGCAGCAGGAGGCCCCATTAGCTAAAGTGGTGCTTCAGGTTAAGAACAGTTTCAGGTTAAGAACAGACCTCCAGAACGAATTAAGTTCTTTAACCGAGGAACCATTGTATATTATTTTATGCCTATACAATTATTTCCATCATCTTTCCTAAAAAGGTAACGTATAACATTTTAAGACTGCAAAACTCATAACCTAGTAAAAATACAAAGCATCAGTAAACACTTCTTCAGCCGCAGTAGAACAGTACTGAGCAGCACCAGGCCACATCCTAAAAAGCTTTTGAGAAGAAAAAGTTCTAAATACATTCATGAGATTTTGCCATATGCAGAGGACTGAAGGACATTTACTGCTATACCATTTTATGAGCTCAGTTCTTAATGGCATACTGATCAGCAAATCAGTGATATAACTACAAATGAGGTCAATGATGATAAGGCAGAAATATTGCCACCTGACAGCTGTTGCTGTCTTATATAGTAATGGCCCAATTTCTAGAGACAGAACAGCAATCTAGCTGTAAATCAAGTACGATTTGCTCATAGAATCTACGAGCTGGAAGTTATATTAATAACACTACTTAGCATGCAAAGACATGCATCTTAAGAATATTTTAAGCACTCCACACATTAAGTAATCCTTGCAGCTCCCCTGTTATCTGAGCTGGTTTTATTTTCAAATTGCAAGGGGTGGGGGAAGATATCTGCCAATAGCTTCTACTTTTGAAAATCATCCTCAGTGCTTTGGAAACTAAATGGATCTATGTAAAGGAAGATCATTCAAAGTGCATTGACTAATCTTTGGATTATCACAGAGACCTGATTGTACAATTCTCACGTTTCCTGAAGCACGCATGCTGATTATATCAAAGATCTGTGCACACTGTTAAGAGACCTAGGATAAGGGATATGTTTGGAGGTAGCAGCAGTTTTCCTCAATCAGTCTTATACACAACGGCCTTCACTTTCAGTTCTGCTATTTTGTATTGCTTCTCTTGAGTCACATCATGGAGTCATATTTAAATGTAGATGAAACTACATAACTACTTTCACATTGTGGTGCAACTGGAGTTTCCAGTTTTTACAGATGCCATGCATCTGAACTACAAAAGTGAGTAATACAATACATGAGTAATATCTATATACCATAAGTATGTCCTGAAAATGACATAATTTGGAAACTGTTAGCAAAATCAACTATTCTGAAGTCATTTCCACCCAATGGTTCCCACTCAAGGAGTCAGTTACTGCACTTGTAACCAAGGTTCAAAGGTTGTTAGGTAGGAGATTGTCTAGGATTGTTGTATTTCAAATTAATATATAGGTTTAAGATTTGTGTCAAATCCCATGTGATAGCATTTGATCTAATTAAAGAAAAGTATCAGATATACGGAATGTGGACCAGCCTGGGTCCACAAGTCAGAAACGTCAGACTTATCTTCTTACATTTATATCCCTCCTTTCTTCCATGTGGTTCCAAGGTGGTCTCTTATCCAGGCACTGTCAAGACCCAGACCTGCTGAGCTTCAGCAAAGTGGTGGCGGCATTTACTGTATTTTTTGCTCTATAGGACACACTTTTCCCCCTCCAAAAATGAAGGGGAAATGTTTGTGTGTCCTATGGAGCGAATGCAGGCTCCTTGGCTTCAGCGAAAGCAACGTGAAGCCTCCAAAGCGCAGAGGGAGCGCTCCCTCCACGCTCTGGAGGCTACGCGTTGCTTTTGCTGAAGCCTAGAGAGCGAGAGGGTTCAGTGTGCACTGACCCCTCTCGCTCTCCAGGCTTCAGGGATAGCCGCCTGAAGCCTTTGGAACGCAGTGGGACCTCGCTCTGCGCTCCAAAGGCTTCGGGGTTAGCTGCGCAAAGCCTCTGCAGGGCAGCGGGGTGAAGGCACCCCGCTGCCCTGCGGAGGCTTGAAAGGCTGTCCCTGAAGCCAGAACAGCGAGATGGGGTGCTGCGCAGCCCTCCGTCTCGCTGTTCTAGCTTGGGGATGGCTGCGCAAAGCCTCCTCAGGGCAGCGGGGTGAAGGCACCCCGCTGCCCTGCGGAGGCTACAAAGGCTGTCCCCGAAGCCTCAAGCCTTTGCAGCGGGAACTCGCACTGCGCTCCAAAGGCTTTGGGTCAGCGAAAGGAACCCGAAGCCTTTGGAGCACAGTGCGGGGTCCCGCTGTGCTCCAAAGGCTTCAGGGATCTTTGAGGCTGGCGGTGGGGGAAAGCAGCGCTTCCCCCCACAGCCAGCCCCACAAGCTCGGGGGGCAGCGGCAAGGCTGCACGCAGCCTTTGCGCTGTTCCCCGACCTGCTCTTGAACGCACCTTGAATGCTCCTTGTTTTAGAGGAGGAGAACAAGAAAGAATCCCCCCCCCCGTTCTCCCCCTCCTATGGTCCGGTGCGTCCTATGGTCCGGTGCGTCCTATAGAGCGAAAAATACGGTAGCCTTCACAAGATATTCAAGGACATCTGATCATGAATCCATGTGGGCATTCCAACTTTACACAAATGGAAGAGTTCCGTGATCACTTGAGGAAGGCTCATACCTGCATACTTGCATTGTAAGCTAAAACTACACTATCACATGCCAACATGGGCTTAGCCAGATTTTTAGTTGGGGGAGTACTTTTGTTAGCAGGGCAGAACCTCAGTTTGCTGTGTATTTTTATTGAATTTTATTTATTTAGGGGCAGCAGCTACCCCCCCCCCGCCTACGTCCATGCATGCCAACATATGCAACAAACACCAGCAACCACTTCTCTGCCAAACAGCCTTGAGTGCAGCATTGTAGTGCAGAAATGGTGGCAGGGAGTGGTTTCTTTTGCAAAAAAATCTCCAGAAACCTGTGAAAGGAGAGTTGTAGAGAGAAAGAGGTTATTAAGGAAAAGCTTAAATCCCCTGCCTGGTTACTAGAAAAGCTAACCAACAGACTAAAATTGACACGGGGAAAAATAGAAGAAGATGCCATCTCCCTGGTATTGCATACACAGCCCAACAAGTCAATGACAAAAACCCACCGACAGCATGCGAAGCAAGATGACTCACTTGAGCCAACAATCACCTCCCCATACAAACAAATCTCACTTCCGCCAACTAAAGACAACCAACCATGCACCCCCCTCACTACCAAGGAAATATAATAAACGAATAGAAAGAGAACCTACCCAAGTGACACTGAATTGCAGGACTGATTTCATTGCCTCTCGTTTACTGAATTGTAACCTCCCGTATTCTATTTTATCGAACACTGCTTCAGTGACTTTTTGTTGCGAAGAGGTTTATAAATCTGCAAATGCGCCTTTCATGGGCTTATTTCAAAACACTTTCAATGGTTTAGAATCGTAGTTCAGGAGTCCTCTTCTATGCTCATATGCTTGCCCAAGTACCAAACTCCAGAACGCTGCTTTAAAGAAACAAAATCCAATTTCTTCCTATGTCACACACTGGCCTTTAGAATGCCACTGTGGTCCGCCTTCGAATACGAGGACTTTTGTGCCCCTGTGTGCATCTTCACAGAAAGGTAGTTTTCAAATCTCCATACCGCCATCGCACGGCACCAGTCAAAATCCTCCACTAGGAAATGTCCAGAAGCACAGAAGCCCTAATGAGGTGAAGCTGATCATCCTTGGTACATCTTGACCGGCCCTTTGAAAGCGACTAAGGTGTAGAACAGATCTAAAGGGACATTTCAAATAGGTGAAAGTACGTTAAAATTGGTATTTGTCACGTGGTACGTTAAAATTGGTATTTATACTTGTAGAATACTACACACTGTTGCAAGATCAACACACGGGGTAATACCACAGGTGCTTGGGGCATCATCACTCTTTAACCCCTGTGAATATCAAGCCATGTAACATGCTACACAGCTGGAGTTTTCCTTGTACAGTACTGCCATCTGCTGCATTTTGACATTATGACCAGCAGCAGTGGAGAACCCACCTTCCTTATGTGTGTGTGTGCGCACACACCCATGCACTAAAATTAGAAAATAAAAGATAATAAGTCCACTCAAAAGTATATGCCTTGTGCCATAACTTTCTGTTTCTTTAATTTTGCAAGCAGCACTCTGTGGCCATCATCTGCAGAAATATTTCAACAGATGCAAAAGGGCAGAAACTGCTGTTCAGTAATTTGCTTACATTTCCCATCATGCAAGCTTGTGCATTACAAATCTTTTTTAATTTCCTGATTTTGTGAACAAATGCAAACTAAAAGAGTCAATCATTCTAGTTTGCGACACACAGCATGAATCCCACTTTCTAGTTATTCTTTGGGCTCACGTGTTAAAAATTAATCATCCTAACATTAGAAAACCTCCTCTTGAGAGCTATATATAAAAGCTGAGCAAACTCTTTTTCTGGCTGGTCCGAAAGTAGTGGAATACCAGACATTATTACAGTTAGTTTCACTAACCTAAGTTCCATCCCACTACTAACTTTGACTGGTCTTTTCCCCCATCCCTTTTTTGGTTTTTTAAATAACCAGTTTTATAAACAAGGATCATAGGAATAAATGATAAAAATAAATAGACCATGTCTTATGTCATTTGTTTGTCACAAAAATAGCACAATAAATTTACCATAATATCTACAACATATGATTCAATGTGTAAGTTTTTGAATCATAAACTGGTTTTAATAAAAACAAAAACAAAGGGGAAACAGGATAGAACAGATTTAACAGGTAACATTCAACATTACATAGCTAAACCCTTTGTGGTTGGTTTAGAATAAGTATGAAAGGTAGTTATTTTTCCTTTTATGTTACCAATGAAACAATATAAAATTAGTCTATTGATGAACGTGGAGGGCGGGGGGGGGGGGAGTTCAAAGTGAAGAGGTTTTGCGAGACTCTGGAGGTCACCTCCGGGGGTGAAGAAGTCAGCAAGAGAATCACAGCTCCTGCCGAGGCTGCAGAGATGGAACTCAGAGCTGCTGCCTTCCCTGCTGTTTTGCTGCATAAGCAGCGCTGCCGAGTGACCTGGGCTGCGGGAGTTGCCAGGAGGAAGCCTAGGAGGCGCCGCCCAATAGCCTTCGGGACTCCACTCCACCCTGGCTGACTCCTGAGCCTTTCCTTCTCCTGAAGATATCTGGCAAGGCAGTGGCTTTTTCCTTTCTCGCCAGGGAATCGAGCCACAAGGCAGCGGAGGTTTTCCTTCTCCTGGATGCAAGGCAGGGGTCCGCTAGAGTGCAGGGCAGATCTGGAGCGCTGCCCCGGCAGCAGGGGCGGGACGGAGGCGGCAGGGGGCGCTGCGGGCAACGCGGCCTCCTGGCGAAGCCGACTTCCGCCCGATGGTGGGCGGGGCCGGGGGGAGCCGCAGAGCTACGAAACAGGGAGAGGGGTCCCGGCCCGCCCTGCGCCGGGCACTTCCGGGCTCAGGCTGCCTTCCATCCGCGCGGAGACGGGCGCGTCCGCGAGAACAACCGATGCTGCGCGGGGGGGGGGGGTGTTGAATATTGATACCGGAGGAAGGGGGGCAGCTCGGAGGCCCGTCTCCCTCCTGGGGGAGGCGCCCCCGCTTGAAAGCAGGGCTGGTCCCGGAGCCCCCCAGGCAAGCCGGCTCGGAGCAGGGCTCTCTCCTGGCAGGGAGGACCACCAACACAACACGGGTGCTGACCCTCCACACGTGCCGAGGAGGAAGCGAGCAGGGGAGATGGCAATGCTGTCCTCGTTGTGCGGAGCTGGAGTAGCCTTCACGTCTCGTGTGGACGGAAGGAGAGCCATTCTGAGTCTCCCTCTTCCCCGAGGCTCTTCGCATCCGTCTGTCTCAGGAGACAATGGAGTGCGCCTTCGGGGGTGACTCCGGGCTGTGTGCCTGGAGGTCCTGGGCTGCCCAGAGGACAAGATCTCTCTTGATCCTCTGACCTGGTCCAAAGGGAAGCAGATCAATATATTGGGCATGTTATGTATTGGGTGATCCGTTTTCCTGAGCTTGAGTCTGGACTAAGGATTCGGAGTTGCTGTCGTCTGATTCCATACAGGATGTTCAATCACAGAACTTTTCAGGATTTGGGCCTCTGCCATTGGCCCTTGAACTCTTGAGTTGTGATTCGCAGGTTGGAAGTTAAGACAGCCAATCACGTTGGAGGTGGGAGTGGCCCAGGCTTTCAGAAATGTATATAAGCAGTTGCTTTGCCCGTTTCCCAGTTATGTAGTTCAATAAAGGTTCTTGCTGTTATCACTGTCTTGCCATGTGGGAACCCACCTACAGTGCAGGGCACCAGCTAGGCTGCAGGAGTTGCCAGAAGGAGGCAAACAAGTGGCTTGAGAGACAGGTGGTAAAGTAGCAGATAAAAAGGCAAATGGCCTTGGAAAGGTGAAAACCCCCAGAACAGAGGCCTCATGGACCTTTTCTTCGTACTCTGTAATGGTGTTTTTTTACAGCAAAACCCAATCGTCAAGAGTAATCCAGTATTAAATCCAGAAATCTGAACATGGCCCAGCAGTTTTGCATCCTGGTCCACCAAATATTAAGAATCCCAAGCAAGCTAGGTTTATCCTATTTCTTGTAGTGGCCGGTGCTTCACATGGTGCCTTACAAATAGTGCAAGCTTACTTTATTATGCCATGTCTGCACATTATTTCAGCCTTGCAATAAAAAGCATAAAGCCTGTTAGTGACTGATCTGCCTGTTTGGAGAGTCCACCTTTTCTCTGATGTGCAAAGGTTGAGCACGGAGTCCTCCTCTCTGCTGGTACAACATCCTGTGCCTTGTTATAGGCAGCTTCCTGTCTCCCACATTGGATAAACCTTTCCAAAGTTTGAAAAAAATTGTAAGGGACAAAGAGGCAAAATGTGGAAAACCACATAAACATAAGCACATGACTAGAGCACAAGAGCACCATTTCAAATGGCTAGTATGCCTTTATTCTGGTCATTTTTTATTTTTTACTGTTAATGATCCGTTACAGCCTCATAACAGGAACCTCTTTCGGCTGAAGAACAAGGTTTTTTTTAAATTCCCTAAATCTAGACCTTTAAGGACTTGCAGACCCAATTCAATAGGCAGCTTCCATTTTAAAATTTCAGTCTGCTAAAAGCTTTCCTATTCGACAAAACTCATGCAGGCAATTGAGATATTTTAAGACCTCATCTCTGAGTTCCGGCAAGGCAGCATGGCGGCTGCAACAGCAGAAAAGAGCTCCTGAAGCCAGCCAGAGTAAAAGGCTCTGTCTGGCCGACTCCCGGGCTCCCAGGACTGCTGCCGCCAGCACTGCCAGCGGAGAGGAATCGGGGGTGCCCGGGGCCTCTATCAAAGGAGCCAAAACACCCCCCCACGACCTTGATTGAGCCGGAAAGGCACCCGACCACACCCCCAACAGCCGAGAGGAGCTCCAAAACCAGGAGGACAGTGGAGCTAACGCAAAGAGGGAGAAAGAAAGGGGGAGAGAGGAAGAAAAAGAAGAAAAAGCAAAAGGAGCCCCAACTTTACCGCTGCTGCCCCCATCTCTGCCGACGGGAAAGAAGAGGAGAGGTAGGGAAGGCAAAAGAGGCTCCGAAAAAACACGTGGCTGAGCCGACCGGAGCTCCAGCGGCAAGGAAAACAGGAAAGCCGCATAACAAAGGAGATCGCAGAAAGGAAGAAACTACCCCCTTCTTTTTTCCTTCTTTTTTTTTTTTGTTTGTTTTTTTGTTTGTTTGTTTTGTTAATCCTTTTCTTTTTAACCCCTTCCCCCCCTTTTTGCTCTCCTCTCTCTCCACCCTTCCTTATTTTTTCCTATTATCCCACCCTTCCATCCCCAACATTGTTTTCTATCCCCTTTATTTTTTAAAATCAACCCCCCCCCTTTTAGCCTGTTTGTCAGTTTGTTTCTGAGGGGGGAGCCCTTTCTTCCTCCCGCTCTTTTAAAATAAGACTTTTCCCCCATACCATTGCCACAGCTCACCCTCCCTCCCTCACCCCTCTTTTCTTCTCCTTCCTTTCCCCACCCTTCCCCCTCCTCCTCTCCTTTTCTCTCCCTCCTCCCTCTCTCCATCCCCCCTTCCCCTAAAGGAAACACACACACACATCCATATCACCATATCATACTTTGCGCCCCGCAAACAATAGCTAAAACTACTGCTGCAATCTAATACCGCTGATATTCCTGTCCTATCTCTCCTCTCTATTTCAACTCTCTTTTGTCTCTCTCTCTCTCTCTCTCTTTTACTCCAATCTCCCCTCTCCCCCACCTCCCCCCTTCTTCTTTCTTTCTTCTTCTTCCCTTTTTCTCCCTCCACCCTTTACATAGAGCCTATTTGTCTGTCTCTGTTTCTGAGCGCACTCCCAACCCCAACTCCCACCTTAGCTGGACCCCAGTACCCCTTTTGGGTATATACAACCCCCTCCTAAACACATATTTCCCCTGGCCCCACCCCTCTAATCTTTTGCATCTCTACCTGCTAACCCCCCCCTTTATATGAACTGTCTGCCCGTTAGTCTACCCATCTCTGCTTACCTGCCCCCCCCGCTTTGGCGGCACCGCTGAGGCAACTACAGAAACCCTAGAGAAGTTCTCAAAACACAGGCTAGAAGTGACACAAATGACCACCTAATTCAAACGCTCTGTTTAAGCCACCAAGAAAGAACGCCTGATCAGCTCAGCAACCCAACAATACCCAGGAATCACCACTGCCACAACTCCTAACCACCACACGCCCTACTCCAAGAGGACGCCAAGCCAACCTCAAACCAAAACCATCAGGGAGACTGAGATGACACCAACCAGGGAGATGACAAACAATGCTAAGACGGTAACTCCCCTTCAAGATGATGACCACCCAATAACGAAACGAGATTTGAGGGAAATGGAAGCAAGATTAGAAGCACGATTAGAAGAAACACTGAAGGCCACAATGGCTCCCATGCAGGTACTAATCAACAACCTAACCTCCAAAGTGGAAGCTCTAGAGAACAAGAACCAAATGCAAGAAAGAATAATAGAGCAATACCGGGAGGAGAACGCACGTGTGAACAAGAAACTGGACGAACTGGTAAACCAAATTGAAGCAGAACACAGAGAGATGAAAATTAAGCAAGCCGACCTTGAAGACCGCAATAGACGTTGTAACATCCGCTTCCGCAACTTTCCTGAAAAAACAGAGGAGAAAAGCCCAGCAGACCTAATTATACGCTGGCTGAAAAACACAATCCCAAGCCTGAAACTTGAGGCAGATGACTTGGAGAGGGCTCACAGAGCCCTAAAACCTATGCCAAAACCCAGCGCCCCCCCAAGAGACATCATTGTATGCTTCACACGCTACAAAAAGAAGGAAGAGGTATGGTACCACCTCAGAAACTCAACCAACCTTCGATATGGAGAAATCCCCATACTGGCCTTACAGGACTTATCTCAGGATACCCTAAACCGAAGGAAAAGCTTGCGCCCATGCACCCAGCGTCTCCAACAAGCAGGGATCAAATACCGATGGGGCTTCCCCTTCCGCCTCATTGTAACAACCAATACAACACAACACATGGCTACCAACATACCTGAGGCCCTGCAACTACTAAAGAACCTTGAACTCGACCTCCCACCGGAATGGCAACCGACAAACCCACCAAGTGACAGCCCCAACCATGAGGAAACAACAGCAAACAACTGGACGACGGTACAGAAGAAAAAGAAACAGAAGCGGCACAACAGTGCAAACCAATACAGAGAAGCATCACGCTCAGAATCGTCCCGCCGGCCATATGACACAAGAAACCAGACCAAGATTAACCAAACCAACTCATCGCAGATGGACAACCCTACAACAACAACAACCCCAGCTGAATGAAGCAACCAGGAAAAAACCACAAACTGAAGGACTGGTGATTCCCCCCTGTGCCCCCTCTCTCCACCCAACAACATCGATTTCGTTAACACCATCAACATCCTCCCCCAGCCCCGCACCCCCACAGAAATCCCCGCCCCAACACCAGTCCAGACGACCTCAACCACATTCCACATCACCCACACCTTCAACATCCCCATACCCCATACTAAGAAAAAACAACTCCAACCTTAATAACACAACCCACAGTCAGGCTAAAATCTGATACCCAACCAGCACTATGGTGGCACCAGAGCGTACCAGCACCCACATCCCCACCCCAACACACCAACAATGTTGCTCATAACATTGGCAACATTGCTTACGAACCTTATACCTGACAGCGACGTTACAAAGTCACTTCACACTGTCTCACTGATCACCCCCTATCGCAAACAACAGGGGGGATGGCCTGTCCTTGAACACGGCCTTCCACACCAGCTGAGACCTAGGACCAACCGGCTAAATGCCAGATGGCCTAAAATACCCCAAACAAACACCTATATGACTACATATAGGAAACTCTCTACAACTTACCCCCTACTCTTTAACCCAAATCTTACTCTAATCCCATTAGCCCCCCACCCGCCACACCCTAGGTCAGCGCAACCCCACTGGTACTTTAAACAACACGAAGAGAGAGATACAAGACAACCCAAACGGGTTGGCAGGGAATCGCCCCACATAATAGATAAGCAAGATGGCTAACCTAAAAGCAATTACATTAAACGTGAGGGGCTGGGAAACCCCATCAAAAGAAAACGCATCACCTCATACATAAACACCATGAAACCACACATCACCTTCCTACAAGAAATACACAACCCACCCAAAGGCAGCAAACTCCTGAGCGACCCCCGCTTCAGTCAACAGTGGGTCGCACGAGGCTCAGGGAAAGCTCGTGGTGTAGCCATAATACTCAGTAGAGACCTGAACTTCACTGCCACAACAGTCCTCAAGGACAAAAAGGCAGATTCATTTTCGCTAAAGGGACACTAGATGGCAAAATCAAACTGACAATTGGCTCCATATATGCCCCAAACACGAAACAATTAGAATTCTTCCAGAAGACACTAAACAAATTCCTCTCCTTCTCTGAAGGGGAAGCAATCCTAGGAGGGGACCTCAATCTAAATATGAAAGGCATAGCCCTGAAAGATATCCACCCTACAACCCCATGGGCAACCTTCCTCCGAAGGAAACCCCCAACAACTAGGAACCCTTACAAGTTACTAAAAATGCTAAAAAGCAGGGGTCTCTACGACATTTGGGGTGAGCAAAACCCGGGAGACATCAGCCATACATTCCAATCGGGACGCCATGATACAGTATCCAGACTGGACAGCATTCTACTCACACAGGGTCTGATCCCCTCAGTGGAATCAACAAACATAGGTAACATTAAAATCACAGATCACGCCCCAGTAGAAGTCATCGTTAAAATAGGAGAAGGAACACAAACCACCCCATCATGGTCCTTCAGTCCCATCCTAACTACAAACAAACAAATTAGAGAGAGTCTCACAAAAACCCTCCAAAACTACTTCAAGGAAAACGATGTAAACAATATAACAACCCCCCTCCTATGGGACGCAATGAAAGCGGTCACCAGAGGAGCTTGCATAAAAGAGAAAACATTCCTTAAAAAACAAACCTCCTCAAAAATTAGCAAAATAGAACAAGACATCACAGCCCTCTCATCACGCTACAAACAAACAGGATCTAAAAACTCCTCAAACTTATGGAACAAAAAAGGAGAGAACTAGACTCCCTAGAAATTAACAAAACAATGATCAACATTCTATACTCTAAACAACGTTTCTACGAATATGGAGGAAAAACTCCAGATTACTAGCAAATAGATGCAGGAAAAAAGCACTCAAAACAAGAATACACTGCATCACCAAAAAGACGGCAACATAACATTCTCCCCGAAGAAATAAACTCAGAATTTGCAGAATTCTACTCCAACCTATACACCTCCCATAACCCACCAGAGAAGGAAATCAAAAATTTCTAGCAGGACTGTCCATGCCTACCCTAACTGATGAGGAACAGGAATTCATGGACAGCCCTATCACCCCAGAGGAAATAGATGCGGTCCTCAAAAACCTGAAACCACACAAAGCCCCAGGCCCAGACGGCTTCACAGCAGAATTCTATAGGAAATTCAAAGAACCCTTGATGCCCTACATGACCCGCCTATTCAACGACATCATAAAAGGGGGCCCCATCCCCAAAACCTGGACCCACTCCAAAATAGTCTCCATCCCAAAACCACTAAAAGACAGCCTCAAAGTAGAATCATACCGCCCAATCTCATTAATAAACCAAGACTACAAGATATTCACATCAATCTTGGCCAACCGCCTAAAAACCTTCCTACACAAGTTAGTAGCCCCAGACCAGACTGGCTTTGTCCCTGGCCGCAATATAACAGACCCCATCAGGAAACTACTGAACCTGATCGAACACAGCAAGGCAACCAAACTCCCATTGACAATTATGTCCCTAGACATCCTCAAAGCCTTTGATTGCTTAGAGTGGAAATACATATTAGCAGTACTAACTAACATGAAATTTGGCCCCAACTTCCTACAAATTCTCAAACAAATATACTCCCAAGCCTCAGCAAAATGCAGAACTAACAATATGGATTCTAATACTATAGCTATCCAAAGAGGCACGAAACAAGGATGCCCACTGTCTCCCTTCTTATTTATCCTGGCTCTGGAACCCTTAGCAATCAGCATCCGAGCAGCCACAGACATCAAGGGAGTGGAAATAAAAGGCAGAACCTATAAATTAGGGCTCTTTGCAGATGACCTAATGGTCACAACACCAGACCCCATAAGCACAGCAACCTCCCTAATCAGAGAACTCAACACATTTGCAATGGTGTCGGGCCTACAGGTAAATTTTACAAAGTCAGAAGCTATGTGCTTCAACACCCCTCCTCACACCCAAAAAGAACTCACGAAGGTCACCAAAATAAAACTTTGCCACACCAAGTTCAGATACCTAGGGGTACAAATAACCAGAAACCTCAATAAATTGTACCTCCACAACTACAAGCCCCTGTGGCGACAAATTAACAAAGACCTAAAGAGATGGAATAACATGAATTTCACTCTCTCAGACAAAATAGCCATGATCAAAATGATCACACTCCCAAAACTAACCTACCTATTCCAAACCCTCCCAATCTGGATCCCCTCAACCCAACTTCGCAGTTGGCAGAGAAAACTACACTCTTTCATCTTCTCACATAAAAAACCAAGAATAAGCCTCAAATACCTGCACCTCCCCACCTCAGAAGGAGGATGGGGAATCCCCAACATAGAAGCATATTACAATGCCAACCAAATACGCCATATAATCCCATATATACTAGAAGATGAGACAAAACAATGGGTACACCTAGAGAGGGACACAATTGAAAATACCTGCACCACAACATACCCATTCCTCCCAAACAAACTAAAGAAAATTCCCACAACACTTAACAGGTACACACAGACCATGCTCAAAGCATGGAAAACACAAATAGGCAAACTATCCCCAACCCCATCCCCACTAATCCCCCTGGCGTACCACCCATTATTCCACCATGCAGCACAAAACCTCCAGATAAAAACCTGGCAAACCAAAGGCTTATATCGCCTAATAGACTTTTATAAAAATAACAAACCCTTGTCAACACAAGAAATACAAGACAAACTAGAAGACACCCAAATGCCCTGGTTAACACAACACCAACTACATGCCCTCTTAAACAACCCAACAGTAAAATCAGCAGCAACTAGGCCCCTGACAACCTTCGAAAACCTCCTCCTAACAACAAAAGGAAACGGTAAAGGGACGGTATCCGCAATATACAAAATACTACTCCAAAATCCCGCAAATCCCTAGATGCAATCAAAAAACAATGGGAGAATGACATAGGCTATGAGATTAACCCCACTCAATGGACCAGAATGTGGTCTAACCCCCCTTTAAATCCATATCAACGAAAAGAAAAGAACTCACACTGAAACTCACCTACAGGTGGTACCTAACACCAAGGAAACTAGCGCTAATACACCCAGGAACCTCACCAAAATGCTGGAGAGGGTGCACCTCCACAGGCACATACCTCCACATGTGGTGGGAGTGTCCCAAAATCCAACTATTCTGGACAACAGCCATACAAGAAATATGTAAAATAACTAAGCAAGTAATAGACATCACCCCAGAATTGGCCCTACTAAACATCTTCCAAGACAACAATGCCCATTTACACCACAAAGAACTCATAACCCACCTACTTTCAGCAGCCAGAAACACCATAACCAGACACTGGAGAGACCTGTCAGGAGTAAACATGGACCAATGGTACCAAATAGTATGGGAAACAGCCCTACTAGAAAAATTAACTAATAAACTGAAACTGACACGGGGACAAACAGAAGAAGACGTCTTCACCCTGGTATGGCTCCCCTTTATCACATACACAGCCCAACAGGACAATGACAATAATCCACCAACAGCATACAAATCAATATGGCTAACCTGATCCAAAACACCCACCCACCTCACTCACACACGAAAACAAAGATCACCACAGCCAATCACAAGCAGACAATCACACCCTAGGCCAACCCCAACCTCTCTCACCACCAAAGGAACACAAGTGAACAACACAAGCAACGCTGACACCAAACTCTACATACATTAAACATAATAGAAACACCGCCACCCGACCCCACCCCCATCCATCTTCCCTCTCTCCCCCCCCCATTCTTTGTTCCTTTTTTTTTTTCTCCCCCCTAATGCCTCAACAAATGAAATGGATTTGTAAAAATGTTACATGAAAAAAATATATATACGAGGCAGTACACTTACTTCTGTAAAACAAGAAAATCCTTAATAAAATATTTAATAATAAAAAAAAAAGACCTCATCTCTGATTTTAAATTTTTTTCTTTTTACATGGCTTTTGTGTCACTGGTTTCAGCAGCTATTAATGAGGATATAACCAAAAGGCAAAGAGAAACATCTGCAGCCTGCTCCTGGATCTCTGCTCCTGGGTGGGGAGATATTCCAGGAAGGGCTAGAATCTGCACTCATAATTTATTCACTTATGAGTATATATACCCTGCCTACTAACTGAAAGATGTGAAAGGGTGTGTGTGTGATTATAGCAAAACCAAACAGGAAAAGAGTGCTCTGCAGTTATAAATTGATTTTATTTTGAAAATAATGCTATTATTAATCCTAGAAGGATAGGAGGAAAGCTTCAGAATTAGGCATTCAAGAAGCGTTTGTTAAATCCAAAACTTTTGCTATATAAAAATGTGATAATGGAACTCCCTTGCATTGCTCCTTTAAAGCAAAAGGTTACCAACCTCTCTTCAAAGCCTGACACCTTCCCTGCATCTTCCATATAAATATATCTTTTAAAATTCTTCCAGGCCTTTTAAACCCCTGCAATTTTAACAGATTATGTGATTGTCATGTTTTGAGCTATTGCTTACAAGCTGTGTAACTTTATCTTTGCTTCTCTTTCTGCCAGGAAGGATTCTCTTTAAATGCTGCAAGCTGTAATTTTTATAATAGAGGACCCCCCCCCCCATTTAAGTGTGTTCAATTCATGCACAACTGTGCATATGCGTAGCACCAAAAACCCAATGGGGGAGAGACCTGAAGAGCCTCTACAAAACCCCAATGCACCTCCAGCCGACAAAGACTCCCTGGAGCCCAGAGGGCATCCTCTTTAGGGTCTGGGAAAGAGCTCCTTGCAAGCTGAAGTCGCAGCACGGTGCCCCCCATTTTTGCACATTTCACTTATGCGTGCAGGGGACCAGAACGTTACCCCCGTGTAAACGGGGAGTCGCCTGTACAGAATTTCTAAAAGGTTTTAGTGTTTTCATGCTGGGTCTTTACCGAGCAGTCATCTCTAACTAGAAGCCAGAAACACATAAGGATGCATTCAGTGACAAAGGCAAGCAGACTGCAGTCACAAGAGAAGCCCACGGGGGGGGCAGGGGGGAGGCAAGAGCTGAAAAAGCAGATGCAAAGGTATGAGAGAGGAGCCAGGAGGTGCACCCAGTGAGGAACTGGAGAGTGATGGCAGAGACCAGCGAGGAAGATGATGTGTCTCAGCATCAAAAACATCTGGAGGTGTTGGGCACAGGTGTGTAGACACACAGGTGGCTTTGCCCCCACCGATGATGATCCTTCACAAGGTCCTGTAGCCCCTGGGCAGGAAAAGGGCTTCCTCCACCCCCCTTTCAAACCCCAATTCCCAATTAAGCCTTTGCTTAAGTCCTGTGCCACAATGTTTAGGAAGACCCTTGTGGTATCTCGGAGATTTTGTCCAGTGACTTCAGCAGTTCAGCCACCACCTGCAGCTCTTTCGCGCCAGAGAGCAGCTGCCTGGAATGAAAGCAGGAGGTTGTTAGAAAGAAAGGGGGGGGGATGAATGTGAGAGTGACTGCTTAGGCCAGGAATTACTTATTTATAACAATATTTGTATGACCACTGTATCATAAAGATATATATCAAAGCAGTTTACAGCAATAAAAACATAAAACCATACAATAAAAACCACAAAAAAGTTAAAAACAAACATCCATTAACCACTGTAGAAGGATGCATTCTAAATTGTCCATGGAGGCCTAGCAGAACAAAAATGTTTTCAGCAGGCGTTTAAAAGTTGGCATTGAAAAAGTTGGCTTGCTGAATCTCCAGTGGCAGAGAGTACCACAGGACTGGACCAAAGACAGTAAAGGCTCAGTTTCTTGTTGCTGTCAAATGAACCTCACCAACTAAGGAACGCCCAACAGCCGTCCTGCAGATGATCTTGGTGATCAAGCTGGGGCATAAAGGTCTGGGATAGAAGAGTTCAGGGGCTCCCTGAGGCACCCTGGGCCTATTGAACCTGGCACAGCAATAAGTGGGCTTACTGGCAACTCCCTTATCCCCAACTGCACCCTTGGCAGGTTTTCAAGGAGGCCATGAAAGCATTTGGCTCAGAATAGAAGCTGGCCTACGCAGACATGGACATCTGAGTGAACTTTGGGGAACCTGGATAAAGTGGAGCAGAGACTGAGCTGCATTCCTAGCACACAATTCAAGAGAAGCCCAAGCTATTACTTCCATCTCTTTCGATTACAGATACAGGTAACTCCCATCCTGAATGGTAAGGGAAGTGCAGGGCTGGGGGGCGCTGCCAGGGTCCAAGCCCCCCCCCCCCCCGGCCTCCTCCTCAAAGCTGGGCAAGTACTTACAAGGCTTTGGCATGTCATACCGGTTGCAGACAGATCATTAAAAAAACACAATACTCACCTAGTGACACAAACGGGACTTAAAATGCTGGGCTCCCTGTTTCCACCCAACTCGGACTTGTCCACACTGAACATCCGTGGCTCTGTGGGATTTCACACAGGAGGCCGGAAAATGCCAGAGGCAGAACTTGGGAGAGTCTGCCTGCAAAACTAGCCCTCTGCCCAATGAGCTACAGCCCTTCCCAAGTTTGTCTTGATGGCAAGGGCTGAGGACTGAAACCATGCTTCGTTTTCAGGGGAAGGGTTGTAGCTCCACACGCAGAAGGTCCTGGGTTCCATTTCCAATGGAATCTGCGGGAGACCCCCTGCCTAAAACCCTGGAGAGCTGCTGCCAGTCAGTGTAGACAATACGAAGTTAGATGGACCAATTGTTCTGACTCTGTAGAAGGCAGCTTCCTAAGTTTCTACCCTGTTCACCTTTTTAACACATGGCTGCTGCTTTGAAGTTTCAGGGTCTTCAAGGAAGCGGCTTGTTGGGGGCTTGTGGAAGTCGGCTGGAGTTCATCACATCTCTCGCTGTGTGCTGGAGGCCCAGCAGAGTCTTCAGAGATGCCTCGGCTATGGGGAAAACTCCTCTCCCACACAGTTCAGAGGAACCAAGTGTGTCTTGTCTCCACACGCAAGACGAATCTAAACACTACTGACTACTGTATTGGCCCGAATATAAGCCACACTTTTTTTTTCCAAATTCCGACTGTGAAAAGTTAAAGTGTGGCTTAAATTCGTTACCTTACAAAAATTGGCTTTTACAATATTGCTGCTGAAACAGACATATGGTAAAATGGAACAATTTTTTTTTTATTGCCGATTTGCAAGCTTGAGACTGTTGTGCAATTAACCCACAGGATTTTATTCTACATTTGCCATTTACAGGTGTGAGTGCCTGCGGAATTGTAGCAACTGAATAGCGATTTCAGTGATTGTTTGGTAACTTTTGCTGGCTTGCAAGATCGAAGGCTTAAATTGGCTCAGAGTTACAATTCTACCAACCACAGCAATTTTCAGCCTGTAACCCAATTTTAAGGGAGCGGCTTATATTCGGGTATTGTCTTTTTTTCCTCCCCCCCCCTAAATTTTAAAGGTGCAGCTTATTTATGGGTATGGCTTATATTTGGGCCAGTATGGTACTGTATAGTTCTTTAGGTCTCTGAATTAAAGATACATGTGGACAGAGAGATCTGCTAACACATGGTCTGATAATGCCAAAGTTGCAGGTTCCCTCCCTGCATGGGACAGCTGCATACTCCTGCATTGCAGAGGGTTGGACTAGATGATCCTCAGGGTCCCTTCCAATTCTATGATTCTATGCTAGCTGTATTCTACTGAGAATTCTACTGAGTAAAACCCATCCTCAAAGACTCAGTCAAACAGGACCGGACAAGGAGAAGACAGAAGCAATGCCCTAGAGACTGTTATCCTTGTCTTCTCATTCCTGAAACAATGAGGGCGAATGTCTCTGCAAGTCATACCACTGACCGCTGATGTTGTTATGTTGCCTGGCACCTTATCTCAGAGCATGTGTGTGTGTGTGTGTGTGTGTGTGTGTGTGTGTGATGTGCTAACTCAAGGCCTGGACTGCGTCATTTAACTCATTTGTTTACATCACACAAGATGGCTCATCTATCTCTCGTTGAGTTGCAAGTTGACTGGGGTTCATGTAGATTTTAATCTACAGATGCCGGATGTTGAAATGTACCTGATGGATGGTTGGGACTTTGTGATGACGGCGAGGAGATTCTGCAAGGCAGCACTGGCATTTTGCTGCACTATGGCCAGGTTAGCCGAGTGGCTAGATTTCAAGGCTTCATTTTCTAACCTGTAGTTCTCCACCTGAACCTTTAAGGTAAAAAACAGGAGGGGGGGATACATCAGTGGCTCACCACCCCCAGCTACAGAGACATGTGGATAAAAAGCACAGAGGAGCTAGCTCAAAGGATCCTGGAGATGCCAGCAAGCAAGATTAGTTGAGAACGTTATTGCAAACAATGCAAGTCTGCTAAGCAGGTTAATTATTTTTTTTAAAAAAAGCATTTTTCACCCTGCTTTTTCTGCCAAAACGTGTATTTAAAGCCCTTGGCTTTCCCCAAAGCATCCTGGGAACTGTAGTTAACCCCAAAGAACTATAACCCCCAGCACCCTTAAACTACGTTTCCCAGGATTCTTTGGGAGAAGCCAGGTGCTTTGAATTTATGGCGTGTAGCTAGCCACACACACAACACGTGGTCTGGGCAAGTTTCCTGGCAAAGTTCAGCCGTGTCTCGCCTTCAACCTGCAACGTCTCCTCAGCCTCATAAACAGAACAGGAGAAGCGCCTGGCGGCTGGGTCAGGCCAGGGGCCCGTCTGGTTCCTCATCCTGTTCTCACAGGGGCCAACCAAATGCTCACGATGGGAAACCCGCAAGCAAGAGCCAACTTTCCCCTCTCGCCCTTTCCAGCAACTGGGATTCAGAAGCTGCCTCTGCCATCCTGGCTAGGAGCCAGCTTAGTCCTCCCCTCCTCCCTGAATCGGTCTAATCCTCTTTTGGAGCCCTCCAGGTGGGTGACCCTCATGGCCTCTTGCGGGAGAGTCCCCCAGTTTAACTCTCCACCCTCCTCAGCTTTGCCTTAGCAGGTGCTCAGAAACACAAATGTTTGGCTTTTAAAAAGGACTGAGAAGAAAAGGAGACCCAACGGAGGAGGCCCCCAGGCCGTACCTGGAGGAGGCTGTTGTGCTGCTTCAGCTTCACAGTGCTGGTTTCAGCCTTCATGGCCCGTTTCTGGAATAGAGAAGAGCAGGGCTGGTCACTGGAGCCGGAAGAATAAAAGGGGGGGGGAGATCCTGAGGTCCCGCTATCAGTCAGAGGCAGTAGGCCTCTCACGACCAGCCGCCTGGAGCCACATGCACTCCTTGTGGGCTTTCCACGGGGGGGGGGGGGGAGCAGCGTCCCACCAGAGTCTAGGAGCAGAATCCCCCCACCTGCTCGCTGTTATGAGTCAGCTTCCATCACAGATGGATCACATTCCCGTTTCGCACAGCTTTCCAGGGGCCACACGCAGGACCAGAGGAAAGAGTGCAGAGCAGCTGAGATAAAGTTGACCTTTTGTGCAGTTGGCATCTTTCTCCAGGCCCTCAGAAGGCAGCCTTCTCTCAAGGACACCGTCCAGGCCGGCAGAAGCCCTCAAAGGGGGCAGGAAGTAAGGCTGATTTGGGGATGGCCTGTGGAGGGTCTTTGGGGCTGGCAGCCTCTCCACGAGCTGCTGGGAGGAGCTGCCCATTGCCCCACCACCACCAAGAGATGGGTCAAGCGAGGGGGGCAGGTAGAGAGATCTGCTTCCATCTGAGATCTCAGAAACAAGTTGAGGATAACAGAGATCACTGTCCCCTAGAAAGCAGGTATATTATTCAGCAGTTGAGACACAGGGAAGAGTGCCCATTACAGAGCCATCCCAGGGCTGGGAGGGCCACGGTCTTCCTCCCCTGGCAGGCCAGACTCACCGCCATCAGCTCAAGGTTCTCCTCCACCTGCTGCACCATCGCCTCCAAGTCCCGCGTCTCCTTCTCCTCTTTCCGCCGACTCTCCTCCAGGGTCCTTTCCAGCTGCTTGATTCTAGTTTACAAAAGGCAACAGCAGAGAATCAAGCATTGCCTTTGTGGGGGGGGGGGTGGCTCCCTAGCTCAGCAATTCCCAAACTTTTGGGGGCCACCACCTCCTTGCTTCCATATATTCCTCCCCCCTTGGTGGCCCCTACCCTATAAACAGGATCATTCAGAATAGTGGTTTGCACAGCGCACTAAGGTAACAGCACAAAAAAAGTTCAAAACAGTAACAATTTATTGCACCTTCATTCAAAATCAAATTAAAACTATTTAAAACAAATTAACAATTGAAGCTTTTAAACAAAACAGATTTGCTGCCTCCTCCTTGCCTCTTAGCGCCCCCCCCCCATCTCACTGCCTCCCAGTGGGATTGGCCATTTTAGTAATCACCTTAGCTGATAAAGGACCAATTCAATTAGTATAAATTTGCAAGAGCATAGCAATACTTTGCAAGTGTGAAAGCCATCATCTCAGAAGAGATGACTCTCCCCCCCCCCCGCAGGCCCATTCAAGGCAAGAGAAAATGACTCTTCAAGAGATTCAAAAAAATTGCAGGTGCAAATATTAAGGACTTATATTAAAAATAATACTATATGTGCTGCTCAATTGATTGGGAACACGTTTTAAGATGACTTAAAGGCATTCTTAATCAATGAATCCAAGTGACTGATTCACTGTTGAAGTCATAACAAAAATACTTTTCGAGGTTTGGGTTTTTGGTTTTTTTTTAAGGGCTTGTTATTTAGCTATGTTGGAGGAATTTTTTGTGAGAAACACAGTATGTGTACCTCTCTGCCTGACTCTCAGAAACTGCTTGAAGATGGCTGATCTTACTCCTAAACTTGGAATTTTCTTCTTTTAACTGCAAAAGGAAGAGCAAAAGAAATACCTAATTGAACAAATGTTTGCCTCGTATATCAGTAGCAAAGTTGTTTGGATGAAACTGGATTAAGACAATGTGTATTTTGGGATAAAGAAAAACATGAATATCCAAATTTTTGGTCAAGGACCCAGGTTTGACTCTGTTTGCAAAATTAAAGGGATTTTGAATTATTAGGGGGGGAAAGGAACCGAGGAAGAATCCAGAGTTCATGGAGCCCAGAGGGCCAGTATGAAGTCAGGATGTTGAAGGTGCCTTTAGGGTAGCCATATTTCAAACAAACCAAGACATATCAGGAATTTTCCTGATGTATGGCAAGCCTACTTTAAGACACCAAAACCCCATCTTTCCACAACCAGGTTACTGGCTGGGATACAGGGCCTCAAAGTAGCCTTTGAGCAGTCCCTGGGGCGAGTTTCAAAAGTGTGTGTGATTTGGGGGAAGTGGGGAGTGGAACAACTCTCACTGTTAATTATAATAACCTTCTGATGTTTTTAAATACTAGTCTTATTAATAATTTTAATGTTTATTGTAAGCTACTCATAAGATTTGTTACATTCAAGAGGCATATGAATAAAACAAAAAATTAAGGGGGGGGAGATACTGCTCCTCCCGAAAAGCCTGAGGTGAACACAGGCCCCTGGGGGCCCATATGGTCCAGCCTACACAGAGGCCGCAATGGAAAGCCCACAAGCGGGGCCGGAGTGCAACAGCAACTCTTCAGCTGTGCTCCCACCAGCTGGCATTCTGGGGTAGACTGCCCCTGGGCAGGGAGGCTCCTGCTATCCCACTAAACCAGGCATAGGCAAACTCAGCCCTCCAGATGTTTTGAGACTACAAGTCCCATCATCCCTGACCACTGGTCCTGTTAGCTAGGGGTGATGGGAGTTGTAGTCCCAACACATCTGGAGGGTCGAGTTTGCCTATGCCTGCACTAAATGTTCATATGGAGAACTAAGCTGGATTGGCCCAAAGGGAGCCCATCTGGTCCCGCCTCCTGTCCTCACAGTGGCCAACCAAGATGCCGCAACGAGAAGCCCCAAAACAGGACTGGAGCAAGAGCTCAGAAGCATTACTGCCTCCAACAGGGGCGGCGGCAAAAATAAATTGGGTGGCAGGAATTAAGAAGGGCTACAGAACACTTCCTTCCCTTGCCCAGCCTGGGAACCTCGAAGCAGACCCATTTGCCAGGGAGCAATCCTGGCCTCCCAGCTCATTCAGGAGACGTGGAAGGAGGAGCATTAGGAAGAGACCCAAGCAGCCTACAATTCAGATTCCCATCTTCCTCACTTCTTCGTAAGTCGGCTGGCAAGGAGGCAGATAAAAGCTGTCCCCCCCGGCAGCTCCATCCACAGGCAAGCTCTGATCCTCCTTGGCCCCCAGCTTCCACGGAGTAAACCTCTGGAGCTCAGACAGGTCAGAGGGATTGCAGCAGAGAGAGTCACGGGTGCTGTCCAGGGAGGTGCTGGGCATCCTGCCCAGGTGGGCCTCTTCAACGGCTGATGGCTGGTAGGTGCTGCTCCATTCGCTGTCCTCGTCTTCATCCTCCAGCGAGGAGTTAGTTGCCATTGGGTTCGGGGGAAACAGCTTGTGGAAGGCCACATCCAAAGACCCAGGGGACGAGGTGCTGTCGCCCAGGAGGAGTGAGAACCTGGAGGAATCCTAAAATGTCAAAGGGGCGAAATCTGTTCTCAGCCTAAGGAAGAGCCTTGGGATACTTGAAAAACGCAGCCCATCACTCAGGAAAAGAAACCCATGGATACCTGACTGTAGTTGCTTAAGAGCAGCCCAGAGAGAAGCGGCTCCGCTGCAGCTCCCAAACACCGTGTGTGTGTGTGTGTGTGTGTGTGTGTGTGTGTCACTCCCCTCTCCCCTGCCTTTGACTCCCAGAGGGGGCTGTAGGGGCCAGCCTGAGAGGGTGCAGGCAGCACAGGCACAGCGTTCCCACCGCTGGAGGAGGAGGGGGGAAAGGAGGAGCCATGCAGGACAGCAGCACCCCCCTCTCACCGCGCAGCCCCTTGGCACCTGGGGCAGGTCTCTCCTCCCGCCCCCCCTTTCCTCCGCCAGTAGCCTTCTCTCTGCAGAGCCACTACTCTTCCCACCTGTGGCGCAGGAAAGAGGGAGGCCCGTGAGTGCGGGGAGGTGTGGGAGGTTCCTCGGGGGGGGGGGGACTGAGCCACTTGCCCCCTTGATTCCTAGTGCCCCCCATCGCCCGCTTTGCCCCCCAGGCCTTACCTTGGGGCTGCTGGTGCTTGACCCCGAGGAGGCCAGAGCAACGCCGCTCAGCCCCTTTGCTTCCTCCAGGACAGGGGCTGCCAAATACTGGTTCTTGCTCCGCACAAACTCCATGAAGGAGAAGGGGTTGGCCTCTTCCTCCTCAGGTGCAATGGAAGATCCAACTGGAGGAGGAAGCCAAGGAAGGAAGGAAGCCTTACAAACAGGGGAAGGAATAAGAGGGAAGATCTGGGACTGGGGGGGGGGGGGAATGCCCAGCCCCACCCCAGGGATGCTCATTTTGCTTGCAGCTGCAAACACACACCTGCCTTGACTATGATAAGGGGCGACTTTTATGGCTCCCCCTGGAAAAAACAGGAGAGACGCCTAGCAGTTAGAGCAAGGGTCAGCAAACTTTTTGAGCAGGGGCCAGTCCACTGTCCCTCAGACCTTGTGGGGGACCGGACTATTTTTTTTTGGGGGGGGATGAACGAATTCCTATGCCCCACAAATAACCCAGAGATGCATTTTAAATAAAAGCACACATTCTACTCATGTAAAAACACACTGATTTCCGGACTGCCTGCGGGCCGGATTTAGAAGGCGACTGGGCCGGATCTGGCCCCTGGGCCTTAGGTTGCCTACCCATGAGTCAGAGCTTCAGGCTCGGGCCTGGAGAGAGATTCTGGTGGAGTCCCCAAGGGGCATGGCCTGGGGAGCCTCACCCACCTCACAGGGCTGCTGTTGTGGGGATTCAGTGGGGAGAACCGCCCTGGGGTTTTGGAAGAAGGGTGCTGTACTAATTTAGTTAATAATGAAAATAACGCCCCCTTTAACTCCCTGGGAATACAAAAGCAGTCAAAAGCAAAGGACTAGTCCAGCGGGGACTTCCTCCTCCTCTCTCGCAGGAGCCTCGGCTGCCTCTTTCCTTTCAAGCGCTTTTTACAACCAAGACCCTCCTTGTTCTTGCCGAGGCAGCGCTCCAGGCAGCTCCTGCTGAGCCGCTTCCAAGGGAGGCGCTCTGCCCGCGCTCAGGAGCACCGCCCTCCGAGCTCGGCTTCTGACCCTCTTCTCTCCCGGCGTCCCGCCCAAGGCGCTCTGCCCATGCTCAGAGTCCTACCGGCGGGGCCCGCCCGGGGCTGCTGGCGCCCGAAGGAGGCTTCGCCCGCGGCGGGAGGGCGGCCGGGCCCCGCCATGGAGCCGCGCCGAGGGAGCCCCGCCGAGGAGGCGCTTCCGGGCGGGAGGGAGAGCCAAGAAAGGGCAGAGTCGCACGCGCGGCCACAACTTCCGGCACTCCGTCGGCACTTTCTCTCGAGGACGCGCGTCAAGCACGACCCGCCCCCCCCCCTGCTCCTGGGAACTGTAGTTTGTTCCGTGTGGCAGGAAGGACTGCGGAGGCAAGGGGCCCCGCCCGGCAAGCGAGGGGGAGAAGGTGCTGCATCCTGCGGGAAAGGCCAGGTGGAGCTGGAAGGGGGCCCGGGGCCCCTAGTCCAGCCCCGGCAAGGAGCAACGGAAACAGGATCAAATCTCTTTTCTGATGAGAGCAGCTTTTGCATCTCATTTGGAAACCAAGGACCCAGAGTCTGGAGGAAGAATGCTTGAAGTCCAGTGTGAAGTTTCCACTGCCTGTGTTGATTTGGGGAGCCATGTCATCAGCTGGTGTTGGTCCACTGTGCTTCATTAAGTCCAGAGTCAACGCAGCCATCTACCAAGAGATTTTGGAGCACTTCATGCTTCCTTCCGCAGACGAGCTTTATGGGGATGCTGACTTCATTTTCCAGCAGGACTTTGGCACCTGCCCACACTGCCATAAGTACCAAAACCTGGTTCAATGCCCATGGGATTACTGTGTTTGATCGGCCAGCAAACTCATCTGACCTGAACCCCGTAGAGAATCTATGGGGCACTGCCAAGAGAAAGATGAGAGACATGAGACCAAGCAATGCAGAAGAGCTGAAGGCTGCTATTGAAGCATCCTGGTCTTCCATAACACCACAGGCTGATAGCATCCATGCCACACTGCATTGAGGCAGTAAATGATGCAAAAGGGGCCCAAACCAAGTACTGAGTACATGTGCATGCTTCTACTTCTCAGAGGTCCAATATTTCTCTATTTGCAGTCCTTCTTTTGCTGATTTCATTTAATATTCTAATTTTCTGAGATAGTTAATTTGGGGTTTTCATCAGCTGTACGCAATGATCATCACAATAACAAATAAAGATTTGACATATCTCGCTTTGCATGTCATGAGTCTATCTCATATAATAGTTTCACCTTTTAAGTTGAATTACTGAAATAAATGAACTTTTCCACGATATTCTAATTTTCTGAGTTTCACCTGTAACCTCCCGTATTCTATTTTATCGAACACTGCTTCAGTGACTTTTTGTTGCGAAGAGGTTTATAAATCTGCAAATGCGCCTTTCATGGGCTTATTTCAAAACACTTTCAATGGTTTAGAATCGTAGTTCAGGAGTCCTCTTCTATGCTCATATGCTTGCCCAAGTACCAAACTCCAGAACGCTGCTTTAAAGAAACAAAATCCAATTTCTTCCTATGTCACACACTGGCCTTTAGAATGCCACTGTGGTCCGCCTTCGAATACGAGGACTTTTGTGCCCCTGTGTGCATCTTCACAGAAAGGTAGTTTTCAAATCTCCATACCGCCATCGCACGGCACCAGTCAAAATCCTCCACTAGGAAATGTCCAGAAGCACAGAAGCCCTAATGAGGTGAAGCTGATCATCCTTGGTACATCTTGACCGGCCCTTTGAAAGCGACTAAGGTGTAGAACAGATCTAAAGGGACATTTCAAATAGGTGAAAGTACGTTAAAATTGGTATTTGTCACGTGGTACGATAAATTTGTATTTATACTTGTAGAATACTACACACTGTTGCAAGATCAACACATGGGGTAACACCACAGGTGCTTGGGGCATCATCACTCTTTAACCCCTGTGAATATCAAGCCATGTAACATGCTACACAGCTGGAGTTTTCCTTGTACAGTACTGCCATCTGCTGCATTTTGACATTATGACCAGCAGCAGTGGAGAACCCACCTTCCTTATGTGTGTGTGTGTGTACACACACACATGCACTAAAATTAGAAAATAAAAGATAATAATTTATTATTTATACCCCACCTATCTGGCTGGGTTTCCCCAGCCACTCTGGGCGGCTTCCAGCAAAATATTAAAATATAATAATTCATCAAATATTAAAAGCTTCCATGTATCATTTTGCTTTGTGGTTTGTGTTATTACGATGGAAAACTTAATAAAATTTATTTTAAAAAAATAAAATATATATATTAAAAGCTTCCCTAAACAGGGCTGCCTTCAGATATTATATAATAATAAATTATTATTATTAAGATAAGTCCATTCAGTGTACAGTGGTATCTCAGGTTACATACGCTTCAGGTTACAGACTCTGCTAACGCAGAAATAGTACCTCGGGTTAAGAACTTTGCTTCAGGATGAGAACAGAAATCATGCTCCGGCGGCGCAGCGGTAGCGGGAGGCCCCATTAGCTACAGTGGTACCTCAGGTTAAGAACAGTTTCAGGTTAAGAACAGACCTCCAGAATGAATTAATTTATTAACCTGAGGTACCACTTTACTGAAGGGAACCAGGCAGGGGGCCTTCTCGGTGGTGGCGCCCTCCCATCCGATGTCAAGGAGATAAAGAACCACGCGACTTTTAGAAGACATCAGGGAAGTTTTTAATGCCTGACATTTTATTATTTTGCTGCAAGCCACCCTGAGTGGTGGTGGAAGCCCAGTCAGATGGGCGAGGTTTAAATAAAAACATTATTCTTATTTCTTATTCATTACTCTGTGCCTGCCTTTCCCCCTCACTGACTGGAAGCAGCTGCAGCGCCACCCTCAGGGAAACCCAAGGCCGCCCCGAGGCTGCAGGTTGGACCCCCGGCGCAGGGGGCGCCGCCTCTGCCGGCCTGGCGAGGTTGGGACCCTTCTAGGAGCTCCTCTCGCTGCACGAGGCCCCTAGGGAGCACTTCCGGGGCAACCGGGGCCATGACCCCCTCGCCTGGCCGCGCCCTTCCCGGCGACGTTCCGACTCGCCCCACAGCCCGGGAAGGCGGCAGCCCCCGCGCACGGAGGGACGCTGCCCGCGCAGCCACGTCGCGGAAGAGGGCCGCTCGGCTGCCCGGCAACGGATCGAGCGTGCCCCGCCCTCCTCCGCGCCAATGAGCGCCACGTGGCCGGTGCTGCCCAATGACGGCGCGGTCCGCGGAGCTTGAGGTTGGCCGGCGCCGCCGAGGCCCCAAGGTGGCCCCGACCAGGGAAAGAGGGGCTCGCAGAGAGAGGGCGGGACTCTCTCAGGAAGGCAGTTCAAAAAGCAGCCGCGCCGGGGTCTGCTTTGTGGTTTCATTCCGTATTTTTATGCTGGGAACCGGCCTGAGATCTTCAGATGAAGCGCAGTATACAAATGCAATAAATAATATAAAATAAATAAATAAACAGGTTAGTAGTGGGCGCACAGATGAGTATCATCCTCATTGGTTATTGCCTTCTCCCTACTTCCATACAAAAAGAAAAATACAAGTTTTATCTGGCCAATGATTCTGCCCTCAAAGACCTCCAGCCTGGGACAGTCTGCAAAATAACCACGTAGACCAGGGATGGACAGCCATCACCTCCAACCCACATGGCCAATGGCAAAGGATGAGGACCAGAGTCCAGCAGCATCAGGTTTTTCCCATCCCAGATGTAGACAGAGGTTGCATATGCACCATTTATTTAAAGCACATGGCTGCCAAAGACTCCCTGCAACTGTAGTTTGCTCAAGGGAACTGTAGTTAGCTCTAATAGTCAAACTACAGTTCCCAGGAGTCTTTCACAGAAGCCAGAAGCTTTAAATTTATGCTTTGTTCATGAGCATAAGCGGTCATTCTTCTATAATCAGGATTAAGGACAAATAATTTTGTGGCATAGAAAAGAATATCCGTTTCACAAGCGAAGGAAGATGTCTAGGGTTGCCATATTTTGAAGAGCAAAGAAGAGGATGCTATGACAGCCATTCAAAGCAAATAAGTGTAATTTGTATCAAATTTTACCCCTGAAAAAGAGGGTGTGTCCTGCAAAAAGAGGGCACTCCTAGTTTGGGAGGTGAGCGTGGAAGCCTGACGATAATGTTGCCCTGACTGATGTGGATGCGAGCAGAGCAAACTTGCCCACTTCTCACTAGGGAAGAGTATCCAAATGGGCCCCAGCATGAAAGGCAGCAATGACGCTAGAAGAGGCCATTTTTCCTAGATGGCATTCATGTTTCTTGCATTGGGCACCTGAGAAGATAGCTGGCTGAGCCTCTCTTTACTGAAGTTACAATCCAAGCAGGAAAGTTTGCGCACCCCCCCCCCCCCCCCCCGGAGGCCAGGCTTGCATCTCTCAGGGCGTTGCATGAAGACTTGCTGGACACAGAGGAATGGTGGGAGGCACCCTTTGGGGAATTCCCAAGGGAAGAAGGCTTAGAGCTTGCACATTGGTGGTGGGACCATGATGGGCGAAAAGCGGGAGAAGACTGAGAAGAGGAGTTGGCAGAAGCTGAAGAGGTAACAGGTCTTAGTGAGCAGGAAGTGTCTGTTGCAGAGAGAAGTCCAGAGTCAGTATCAGAAACTGAAGCAAGAGAGGAGAGAGGCCAAGAGGCAGAGATGAGTAGATGAGTCAGACGGGTGAAGAAGCCAGGGTGTCTCCTGTGACCAGTTCCCCTCCCTGCTGGTCTCCCAAGATGAGAAGAGGGATGAAGAGGGAGGAGCAGAGACAGGTGTGCTGGCGTATTCTCAGATTGCTTGGAAAGGACCTGGTGGCAGAGGGGGAATTTTGGCAGCTGTGGAAGGTGGGGACCTTCAGCCTCCACAACTGCCTAATAGAGGCAAGACCTATGAGAAGGGTTGCTGTGCTCATTAGGCCTGGCTCCCCTGAGCTGGCCTGGTTTCTGTTAATAAAGAGTTAACTTCACATACTCTGTGGATTTCTGGCTGACTGGCTCCCTGACAGGTAGGACCCATACCAATGGATTCCAGTTACAAGAAAGGAAATTCCAACTCAACATCAGGAAGAACGTTCTGAGGGTAAGAGCTGTTTGACAGTGGGAGGGACTCCCTGGAAGGGTGGTGGACTCTGCTTCTCTGGAAGTTTATAAACAGAACTTGGATGGCCATCTGCTAGGGATTCTTTAGTTGTTATTCCTGCATTACAGATTATTTCAGGGTTG